TCTCGTCCCCGTTCTATACTTCTCTGTCCCAGTCTTCGCCTGTTGCATGTTGATACTGGTGATAATACTGGTAATAACAGTGGTGAAGAACTGTAGACATATTGCAGGCTTTTTAAAAGAATAAACATATATAGCCTATTTAGTTAGCGTTGAGATATGTTACTAGCCGCCAAGATGCTAATATGCACCGGCATCTATTATTAGAAGCCATGGTATTATTATAGTGGATCAGATGCTACTATGTACACATGCACATATCTATGCCATGCGAGGAACACTGCATTATTAAGCACTTGCATGCATTTTTAAAATTCCTCTATTATCAAGGGAGGCCTTTCAAGTCCAAATTGTAATATGGTATATGTTACATCTCTGCAGAGCTTGACAATATCTACAGCGACTAGAGTTTCTCAACTGTCGAATCGAATCGAATATGGGCCTTATTCGAATTCGATTCGATTTTTTGATTTGAATATCGAGTCGAATAAAAGTCGAATCGAATCGAATCGGAGCTCTATTCGAATTCGAAAATATCGAATCGAATCGAATGAGACCACTATTCAAATTCGAAAAAATCGAATCGAATCGAATCGAATGCCGAATATCGAATATTCTTGAGAAACACTAACAGCGACCATTAGAGAAGAGTGTATGTATAATATCCATCATGTAAAACAACCACTGTAACATCCCTTGCATAACTATCCCACTAAATACCAACCTATTCTCCAAACAACAAAGTCTTATTATTTTTCGCACACCAATCTCTTGAATGTGTCCACCTACTATTAAACTGTACCCCTTACTTCGAGATTAAGGGTAGTACTTCTTCTATGTGATCATCTAAAGCACTTGTATCCTCAGCTGTATTTTGTCGTGAAATACAGGGGAGAGATTACATTTTAAGAAAACATGTGCTATCTATTGCTATTTTAAAGTGCTCCAATCAATTGATCAACCAAAACGCGATTTCGACCCTTTTTTTGAAATGCTCATTCATCAATGTTCCGACCGGCCCTCAGATTCCTGTGATTCATTCTTTTGATTCGTAACTTCATTCAGCGCCACTTGCCTTTTTTGCATGGACCGACATCGGATCATCGCTAGAATTGAAATGCCCGATGTTGGTTGATCAGTTAATTGATTAATTGCATTATTATTTTCTTTTCAAAGTTCGGAGGTCTTTTTATTTTCTATCCACCTTCAGACTTCAATGACGTACTTCTACAATCCTATATGACCTTCTATCAAAGTTTGTAGTTCGTACCCAAAGTCTTTTGTGTATGACCTATATGCATGATGTTACACGGGTTTAGCACGTGTTTAGCTATTTTTTTAATACCACAAGCTCAATACACTTTCTACAGATAAATTGAAAGCAGTTACGTAAAAAAGACATTAGGTGGAATCTTAAAATCTTTAATGCGCGAACCAGTCATTCTCAATAGAGTGTAATATCATCACAATGTGTGAAATCATGCTAGAGCCGTGTAACAAAATTTACTTTCACGATATCTTCTATAAATGAATAAAAGTCCCGCAAGTTTCCTATTTTCTAGGTCGCACACCATGTCCTCTGTATTTAATTGCTTTCAATTTATCTGTAGAAAGTGTATTGAGCTTGTGGTATTAAAAAAATAGCTAAACACGTGCTAAACCCGTGTAACGTCATGCATATAGGTCATACACAAAAGACTTTGGGTACGAACTACAAACTTTGATAGAAGGTCATATAGGATTGTAGAAGTACGTCATTGAAGTCTGAAGGTGGATAGAAAATAAAAAGACCTCCGAACTTTGAAAAGAAAATAATAATGCAATTAATCAATTAACTGATCAACCAACATCGGGCATTTCAATTCTAGCGATGATCCGATGTCGGTCCATGCAAAAAAAGGCAAGTGGCGCTGAATGAAGTTACGAATCAAGAGAATGAATCACAGGAATCTGAGGGCTGGTCGGAACATTGATGAATGAGCATTTCAAAAAAAGGGTCGAAATCGCGTTTTGGTTGATCAATTGATTGGAGCACTTTATTTCATGTTCTATTGCCGACTTTAAAGAGATACATCAGCTATGGAAGTCAACACTGTATTCCTTGGGCATTGGATATTTTGTATATGCCTTATTATATCCTTTGCACATGGAGAGGCCACAAGCGCCAAGCAGTTTTAATAAGCAAGTGCTATTAATATCCAATGTGGAAGTGTCCCTTGAATTAGTATAAATAAAGGGGTCCACTTCCCTCTTGCTTAATCTTTATCTAGTAGCCAACTGTAACAGGATCATAGGTCATACTGCGCCTCATTAGTCAGCACATATTAGTCAGTACCTATTAGTCATCACCTATTAGTCATCACCCATTAGTCAGCACCCATTAGTCAGTACCCCATTAGTCAGCACCGCAGTCAGTACCCCATTAGTCAGCACCGCATTAGTCAGCACTCCCAGTAGTCAGCGCCCATTAGTCAGCAACATCCACTCTGTATATATAGCCCCAATTCTCGTAATATCACCATTATCAATTCTTGCACCTTTCAACCTTGCTCTCCTGTTTCCTCTTGTCTCTTCCTTGTCCTTGTCCCTGTTTCCTCTTGTCTCTTCCTTGTTCTTGTCCTTGTCCCCTGGCCTTTATCTCTGTCCCTATTACACCAACCAACAATTATCCATACCTATACAACCAGCCATACCTATACAACCATTCATACCTATACAACCATCCATACCTACATAACCATCCTTTATTGCAATTCTTTATATCACAGTGTATTAAGCAGTTGCAATCTACTACACCTAAACTGACAAGTCATTCACACCCGCAATAAGTCGTGTAAATATTACATTTTACATATCCAAAAACAACATGTACATCCAGTTGACCATCGACGTAATTACCAAGGCTCTCGAGCTGTTTTGTTCCAAGAAGAATGTAGACTTCAAGGAAAAAGATGCAAAGAAGGTTTTTAAGTCGCTTGTTGAGGATGATGAAGTGGAGATGTACTACTTTTGTGGTGCCATCTGCACCAAGTCGAAGCGCAGTTGGATGAAAGAAGTTGGTGATGAAGGCATGCATTGTTATGTCCACGATCCTGCGCGCAAGTGTCAAGGCACAACCATTAAGGGTGCTAATTGTGGTAGTGTAGCCAAACTTGGTCAAACATACTGTGGACGTCATCAAGATCAAGATAGAGGTCATATAAAACGTAGTAACAACAAGGCACCTGCCAACAAGCGTACCAAGTCTTCTTGGGCATCTTGAAAGATTTGATACGCTTGTTGGCAGGTGCCTTGTTGTTACTACGTTTTATATGACCTCTATCTTGATCTTGATGACGTCCACAGTATGTTTGACCAAGTTTGGCTACACTACCACAATTAGCACCCTTAATGGTTGTGCCTTGACACTTGCGCGCAGGATCGTGGACATAACAATGCATGCCTTCATCACCAACTTCTTTCATCCAACTGCGCTTCGACTTGGTGCAGATGGCGCCACAAAACTTGGAAGTTACGATTGTTATGATATTTGTTGATATACAGATCGTTGGTAAACATGCCAATGGTGAAAAAATAAATGTCATAAAGAGTGCATGCATTGTAGAACATCTTAGATATAAATTTAGATAGCACATAGGGTCAAAGGTCTACAGCATATTTGGCACACAAAGAAACCTCAGAACCATGCCAATAACTCTGGCTCTGATTCAGTTGTGCGGGTACTTTGTACGAGTTTAATAAGTATTGCGTTTTCCTAAAATAAAATAAATGCCATTAATAACGTTACCTGACTGCTGCGCGTGATCGTACTGCGTAGTCTCTGAACTAGAACTCAGGGGAGGAAGGGCATTTGCGGATGATTCATGTAGCGGCCGTGTCGTAGCGGATCTGCTGTGACCAAGCTCCTCCTTGGCAGCTAGTAGTGGCAAACAAAAAGTTATTGTTACTCAAAGCATTCGGGGGTCGACCAAACATAATTCAGACTTTTCATGCAACTAACCTTCTAATTGGTGGTCGATCTCGCCGGTAAGCAAGTCCGCTGCTCCTGCTCGCACTGCTTCCGGAACTTTGTTTGTAATTATAACATTGTACTCATTCTTGCAGGCGGCTCTGAGCTCCTCCGTGTAATCCAGTCTCAAAGCCTGCTCATCATCCTGTTCCCGACAGGTACAAACGTAGTTCGTATAACAGAGATAGGTCGAGCGATAATCCTTGTGCCCGTGGAGGTCCTGTAAAGTGTATTCAGTGAAGCTCAGCATTATTGTCGAACGGCGCTCCTATTTAGATGACAAAAATTGGAAGCCGGGTTGGAAGCCTCCGTGCCGAATGTGTTAGCTGGCTAGATTGTCATAGGAATCTGTGAAGCCTGTATTATCACGCAAAAAGGGTCTGCAAGGACCAATTGAGGCATAGGGCGGCAATGTTCCCCCGGACCTCCAAGAGGGTCGACCATTCAACTTGGAGGTTCATGTGGGCCCGACCACTTTAGAACTGCCACATCTGTGGTTAACGTTCACCATCAAATAGCTCAACGCAAAAAAATAAAAAAATAAGTAGATCGACAAAGACCAGTTGAGGCATAAGGCGGCAATGTTCCCCCGGACCTCCAGGAAGGCAGACCATTCAACCTGGAGGCTCATGTGGGCCCGACCGCTTTTAGAACAACAGCTGCATCTGTAGCACGCGTTCACCATCAGCCAGTCCAAGGTATGAATGTAAAGGAAGAATACAAAAAGGACGCGCCAATTACAAAACCAAGCGGGCAATCGCTTACTTAAACGTGTGCGGAAGAGGAAGAGGATGGTATGACAAGTATGACTTTTGGTCTGAAAAAGGGCGCGGAAACAGGACAATGGGCGCGAGAATTACGTCATCGAAGTTAGTAATCTCGCGCCATCGCTCACGTGACCCGACACTATGGAGCATGCTGACAAGCATGCATATCAAACTATGGATGATATTGCTATGATACATCCCGTAATATGGAGAAACTCCTGCGTTCATTATTTCCTTGACTTGTTCTTGGTGTGGACGGATGGTGTATCAGCCGTGGGAACGACATCAGTGTTGGGGTCCTCGACTGAGACGATCGAAGTGGCACGTCTCTTTCTGGTTGGGCCACTCACAGTGGTCGTCGCCGCCATCGACGGGCTGGCTGCTGCTGATCCTCCTCCAGCATTGCCGCCCACATTGACGTCCATGGCCTCAGGTGGTCCATCTGCTCCCTCTCCGCCACCACCACCACCACTGTCGCCACCAGTAGTAACATCCATCCATGGGTAAGTTCCGTCTCGACGCTGAGGTTGGAGGTAGAGCGGCCGCTGCTGGTGGATCAGATGGCCCTTGATGGCATTGTTCATGTTTTTCGATGCCATCACATCACGCTGCCAGAAGCGCTTACAGATCTTGCAAAAGAGCGTCCACCAGTCCGACGTCGCACAAACAAAGTCATGGCAGTATGGGCATCGTTTGGATGAAAAGTACTCACTGATCCCGATGACCAAATAGCCCAACGAACGAGCCTAAGTCAAGACAAAAAATAGAGGTATTAGCAAGTCGCTATAAAGGAATGGCCCTGCTGAACAGTCGTCGCAAAGATGTGCCCTACCAGATTGATGAAAAACGCTTGAAAGGTGCCGTTGAGTCCAGGTGGGCCATGTACACCAGTAAACTTGGCCAGTCCAATTGCGATCACAACTCGTCGATGTGGCATCCTTGGCCGCCCAACAGATCCGCCGATCATTTTGAGCAGGCCCTCAGCAACCTTGCAGAATTCCTCTTGCCGACACACCTCGGAGTCCCACTTGTGTTTCCAGAAGTTGGTTTGATTGTAGAAGTTGTCCAAATCTTCCTCTGATGCTCGGCGCGCGGCAACGTACTCTCGAAACGAGGCACCTTCTCTCATGAGAGGCGGCAGAGCGGTCTCAATGTCCTGAATGGCCCTTCCGGTAGATGATCCGGTGGTGAATTCCTTTCTGTCCTCGAGCCAGCCGGCAAAGCTGTCCGATGGTCGCGACACAGCCTTGCGCTTGACCACCAGATCAAAGTACCGAGTCGTCTGAGGTTCCTTCAGCTTGTGCGCCTTTTGCCTTGCCCTTTGCCGTCTTCGATAACCGGGCTTCCGCTTGCCTCGTCGTGTCTTTTCTTCTTCTTCAGCTTCTTGTCTCGTTCCTTGCCGTGGGGTTGCGCTAATGTTGCAGGGGTCTGACCGGGTGGGAGTGAGATGGTGGCGCCGATTAGGCAGGAGGTACCCAAGTCGAGCGACAGAACTCCAACTTGACTAGGGTCAGCACCCGACAGGTTCTCCACATCTGTGGCAGTAGAGAAGACATTGCGGACCTCTGTCAGATATCCGTTGGTGCCGCCGATGGTGGTGACGAGCGCGTTGGGCAACTTGTTCTCGGGAAAACGACGGTATCTGACGGACTGAATCTCTTTCAGTTTAAAGGCCAGCAGCTGCAGCAAACGGCCGTTAGTATGGATCGAGCCTTTGAGAACATAGCCCTTGCCATGCCATTCCTTGGGATCAAACTTCTCGGCCCGTAGACATCCGAGGTGCTCCCGAAGTCCTTCTTTCCCGTCCTTGCCGTCCATATCCATGATTGTTGTCGTTTTGCGGAAGCCTTTGTCGTGCTTGTTTGGCGGAAGGCCAACATCCGACAGGAAAGTAGTCACGAAGCGACCAGGGGTCGTGCTGGTCAGCCAGTTCAGAGCGTCAGCTTGCGAGGGATTGATGGTTGGATCCTGAAAGAAACGATCCTTGATTATCATACTGCGGATCTTGTCCTTGAGGACCGGCCAGGCCCAGAACAGCGGCAGCAGCTGCCGTTCAGAGAAGCCAATATAGCGAGCTGCCAATGGTGAGAGGGGCGCTATGCGTCTCAATCTACCGCTGGATTTGTTTAGACGAAGATAATTCTCGATGGCAGGCAGGTTGGAGTTGATCTTGGGGAGTGTTGTGCCAGGTTGGCATGGTGGTTGTGAGTTGATCTATTGTAAAGAGGACAAAGACATTGGGTCGGAAAAAGTTTGATTAGTGTTGATCTCCATGCATTTATTCCGTGACAAAGCTTGGGTTGACAACTTCACGTTACCTTGTTCTCAAGTGCGACCGATACATCATTTTTACAGAACGGTAGAATTGCTTGGTGGTCGATTCGAGAAGCGCGCTTGTTGAGTAAGACACCATGCGTCGAGGAGCAGGGGGCAAGGCGATGCCCAAGGAGGCGGCACGTGCAAGCAGCTGTCCGACTTGGCGCTCGATAACCGTCTTGAACTTGGTCTTGGGAGAGCAGATATGTGCCAGCAAAATCTGGTAGAAAGCAATAAACGGCTTGTCCATTGCCGACGGCTCAGCATCTTCGTCGACATCATCCTCTAGGTCCTCCTCACCTGCATCCTCGGCGGTTGTGCCAGCGGAACTGCTGCTGCTTTCCTGCGAATCCTGGTGGGGCTTAGGCGATAGGCGAATTTTGGACTTGACAGTGGGACATAGCGTGTTCAGGATGGTTCGGTCCTCCTCGGTCTGACCACGCTCAAAGATGGTCTCGATGAACGAGCCAAAAAAAACTCCTGTGCGCGTCTCATCGTCACGCGAGCTTGCTCGACAATGTCCAGTATGCAGGCGGAGACATCGGATTGTTGCTGTTGCTGTTGCTGCTTTGACGAGGGGAGTTGGTTGTCGTCAGTGGTGGTTCCTGCCGCTGCCCGGTTGCTGTTGGCTCTGATCGTGCCGACGGGAAGGGAGACAAGGGGATGCTCCCACACCATAGCATTGATCAGCTGCTGCTTGTCCATCTCCTCAATCTTGCGCGGTGGCTTCTTGAGTAGCTCCATTTCCTTTTTGAGTCGTCGCTCGTCACGCTGCCGCATCTTCTCGGCCTGCTTCTTCTCGTTTTCGGCTATCGACTGCTGGTAACGCGCTTCTTGTTTCGCCGTGTACGGCTTCAACTGGTACTGCCTGCATATATATGGCGGCTCATGCTGCTGCGGTTTTGACCGTGCCTTGGGCGAGTATCGTGGCCGATGCACCTGTCGCGAGAATCCAGGCTGGTGAGCTGGCCGGTCGATCACATGGTGTCGTCGAAACTCTTTGTGCTTGCCCTCCCGTTCGGGTTTGGTGTCACTGAAGAATGTACCAGAATGCATGAGGAGCAAAACAATGTGTTAGAGTATTTGCAAATAATGACGAAACTGATATCAGCAAGTCATATGGGAGAAGAGCACAATGGGTTACCTCTTGCTGCTCGTGATCATGCGCTTCTGTGCCTTGGCCAATTCATGCTGCTCTTTGATTGAATGGTATTGCTGAAGGAGGACATTGTACGACATGGAGGGCGCAGAGGAGGTCGTGAGCGGTGTTACTGACTGTGCAGTCGACGATGGATCAGAGATTACGCCTGCTGGAACAGCAATCTCCTGAGTCATCGTGGTAAACACGAGAATAGAAGCTGTAAAATCGATCTCGTCTTGGTTGCGGCCGACCACATGTGGACTTCTGAGGTATTCTTGCACCAGTGATGGCACGTCTAATATAGAAAGGTATCAAAAGAAGTTATGGTGAGTCTGGTCATGTCCACAATGAAGAGAGACCTCCAGATATACTAGCAAGTCCTTTGTTCTTACCTCCATCTGGTAGATCCTTGATAATCTTGTAGTTAGTGGCGATACCCAGGGATGGAATGTTCTTGTTATAGTCATTGGAGGAGACGCTTGCCAGAGCAGTGAATTTGGTGGTCGACAGACCTATCTGGGCCAACACCGACACCTTGTTGTACTCGAGGACCTTGAACTCATCTCGCTTGCCCACAGAACACCACATGAACTTAACCGGATCGTACGCGAAAAAATATGAGTCTTGGGACAGCACGATGTCCGTGGGTTGACAGTCAGCAGCGATCGCGTTATCCGCCTCCGTCCGGCAGAGACGCGCGTCCTGTTGTTGACCAAGTAAGAAATCAACAAAGTCCTCGCGATCCTGAAGGGACCATGTGAATCCTCCTCGCAGATTCTTGTCGACGTTCTTAAACATGGCCTTGGTGGGTGGTTAGCCTCCGCCGATACGTTCGCTAAGTGTGTTGGTGGCGACCTCGGCGGCCATGAGAGCCTTGACACGTTTCGCGTTCCGCTCATGGTGAGCTTCTTTCTTCTCGAGAGCAGGGAGGCCGTCCACGTAGAACACCATGCGTAAGGGGTCGCCGTACTTCTTGATGTGTGCAAACAAAATGGCATGTGCTTTTGACTTGTCGTGTGCATATTTGATGTACGCCCATAGAATCTTGCTGTAAAACGAGAGAACATCAACGCGCACCATGGCGTCGTCAGGCAGGGGGTAGCGCTTGGGGTGACGAAGGGTAGGATTGTATCCTTTTTTCCTTCTGAGCCACCAGTACAATCCTTTTAAGCCCATGAGGAGGAAGCTCGTGTGCGTGTGTGACAGTAAGAGTTCATTAAATGAGAATATGGGAAAGGGATGGGACATTCATTTCAGCGAAAACAGAGACGAAGGGCGTGAGAAATACATCACCGATGATATTAAATCGCATTTGCTGAGAGGATTTACAACTGCATGAGCAGAACCTGTTTCCGGGCGTCACGCAAGTACCAAGCTTCAGCCAACCCTCCAGCCAATAAGACGTATTACAAAACATCATTAACGTATTTCTTACGTCTATTACCACCTTTTCCGATTTTAAGTTGAATACGAAAAGACCATTCGAGTCCTGAATCATACTATGTGGTCTGTTTCCAACCAGCACAATTCACTGGTTTCGAGCATTGGTACAGCACCTCAGCCGCACGGCACAAAAAAAAAAGGCTTGGTCTTTCATCTTTATGACATGCATCTAACCCTTTCATCAACACCATTGAACACAACATGAGCACCCCAGCCAAAGAATATCCGATCTTATGGTGGAAACAGGAAGGCAGAGAAGGCATTGACGGCTGGGAGGTCACTGGCTGCGACCTTCCCTACACCTGCCGGAATTCCCTGAACGAGTCGTACTGGGACCAGTCGCCGCTTGTCCTTGTCAACGTTGGCCAGGTTGAACATGGTCTGCCGCCCCAGGAGGAATTTGACGCTGGCAAGAAGGCAATGATCTTTTACGGAGGTAGGTTGTCTTTCCTGTGCGTTGTTCTCTCTCTCCGTTCACTGTCCTCTGTCGTCTCCTTTTTTTTTCTGCGATCTCTCTCTCTCTCCCCCCCCCCCCCCCCTTTCCCCCCCTTATTCACCTCGACACTCGTTCCTAACGGCCAACATACTTGTCAACCATTGCATTGCTCGTTGTTGCATCCATTTTCTTAAAAAAAAAGCGGAGGCACCCAAGTACTTTGAACGGGATCCCAAGATCATCGGCCGGTTCACATACAGGTTCACATTCAACCCAACATCTGATTATGTCGTTCCATATTTTGACACCGACATAATCGACATGGTCCTCCAGCCACCACCAGTGTCCCTCGAGCACAAGAACACCATGAGGAAGCAAGGATTCGTCAACAGCCAGGGGAAAGGGCTCGCGCCAATTGCATGGATCGTCAGCAACTGCGACTCGTTCAGCGGCCGCCATTTCTACGTCTACCAGCTCCAAAAGTACATCGACATTGACATCTACGGCCACTGCAACCCGACACGGCCCTGGCCCACGGACATCAATGGCAGGGATCTCTCTCCCGAGCAGATTGTCCAACAGTACAAGTTTTACCTGGCAATTGAAAACAACAACTGCGACTACTATGTGACAGAGAAGCTGCAGCGGGCGTACAAGGCAGCGGCCATCCCCATTGTCGATGGCCCCAAGGATTATAGCGCCTTTGCAGCCACTCGCATCGCTCTCATCCAGACTGACGACCACACACCCAAGTCGCTCGCCCGCCTTGTTAAGGAGCTGGACAGCAACGACGACCTGTACAGGAACCGCATTGGATACAAGTATCCCAAGGACCCATCACATCGTCCCACCACCAAGGACCTCTCGCCATACTTTGTCAGGACATGGACCAACCCCAATACCAATCCACGAAAGGAAGGAAGCTATCGTCAAGCATGGCCACCTTCGTTCGATGAGTCCATCTGCCGCGTCTGTGAACTCGCACACGACATCTCTGAAGGGCTTGTGCAGCTGGATCCAATGCAGCGGCTCCAAGCGGACACGACGTGCGTCCTCAAGAAGCACTACCATATGACATGGTTTATAGAGTACCACTGGCGCATCGCCCTTGCCATCCTCACATCCATGGCCGTCCTTGTGTACTTGCTCACTCGACAACCAGTCAAGCAGTTGTGGATGCCCCTCGTCAAGTCGGTCCTGCCACATCGCTGGCGACGGGACAACACCTATATGGAGCTGTCCATTGTCAAAGACGACTTAATCAACTAGAATGCTTCTTAATAGACCCTACTTTGTTCCACCACTGGAAGGTGGCATGCATCTTTATTGTGGTTCATTCGTTTTGGTTTTTGTTGGCTTGGAAAATCTTTGGCACAGCAGTAGAGGGAGAGGGGAGCACTTTTAGTTTTTTCCGATAGCCCAACCTTACCTTTTGCCCGCTTCCATTTCACTGCCATCCCCGCTGTCGTTGGTGTATTTGTTCGTTTCATTCTTTATCATTCTTTCTTTCTTTCTTTCTTTCCTCTTCTCTCCTCCCCTGTACCTAAAATATCTATCAATAATCCAGCAGCAGCAGCCAATATCAACAAAGGAGTTTCCGATTCTGTGGTGAACAACCTGGTTCTGGGCCGACGAGAAGGAAGGCTGGCTCATCGACAAGTGCGGCCTGCCCTATAACTGTCGCATGACCCACAACCGCGCCGTCTACAACTAGGCCAGCACCATTGTTTTCCATGGGTCCATGTTCCACGAGAATATCAAGGACAGTTATCACTAATCAAGGATCTTCCGCCGCTCGAGGATGCTCAACATCCAAAGAAAGTATAGGTCATGAACACAGGTATAGCATGTGGGCTACATAAGCTTTCATAAACGCTGGAGAAAATACTGCGACAACAATCACCCCTGACAATCCTTTTGTTTTTCTTTCTATCGTCTTTCCGTTTTGCGAAAAAAAATAAATAGCCAAGGCACCCAAGCCATTCCAGTATGATCCACAGCTAATGGGCCTATTCACTCATGTATGGCCACACCATCTCGAGAGCGACATTGTCGAGACGTACTTTGGCAGCGGACGAACAGGAAACCTAAGCTACCTCAAGAGTATCATGGCCAAACCAGCATACACCATTCAGGAGAAGAACCACTTTCGGCGAGGAGGAGGAGAAGAGAAGGAACAGGAAGAGAAGGAGATCAAGGGCAACAATCACAATAGCAAAGAGCATTAGCGCCCATCGCTTGATTGTCAGAAACTGCAAAGCCGATAACAAGCGGCATTACTTTGTCAATCAGCTGCAAAAGCACATCCTCATCGATATCTATGACCGAGCTCAATGCATGTCCAACAGGGTTCATTTTTTTGTAACAGCACAGGCCAATAGAAGTGTCTTCTCATTCAGGACTCGCATTACTACTTTGCCTATTCTTCTGCGCATGTTACTTTTGAATGTCTATGTACCCCCTTGACCCTTCTTTCTCTTTCTCATACAACAAACAAAAGGTTTTCACAGTACCAAGGCACAAACACGCAGCAAAAAAGGCATAAGTCAAAAGGTGGTCTATCAGGGTATCATTTATTATGCGTGTGTGTGTGTGTGTGTGTGAAAGAAAGAAAGAAGGAAAAAAATAAGCAAAGGAGACATCTAATGAAAAACAAAGAAATGGAGACACATAAAGATTACACCCATCGCTCTCCAGTCTCGATCGCAGAGACAACCTTCTTGAGGACAGTCTCGACTCGGTCGTTTAGGAAGACGGTGCCAACAATGCCAGCATTCTTCTTGGTATTAGCGTCATCCTGTTCCGATGCACCCTCCAAAGCCGCAGCGACTGCTATCTCTCGCTTCATCTCATCCTGAATAATCATCGGGATCGTCAGCATCACCTTTGACAACTTGAGTGTCAACCGGAAACGTCCTAGCACATCCAGATATGCCAAAGACCGCATGCTGTGGTGAATTTCACCGAGTTGTTGCACCTGGTCATGTACCAGCGTCATGTACTTTTTGCATCCTATTTGGTATATAAAGAAAACGGGGATAGCGTGAGTTGATAAGATATCTCCAGCGCTAGGGTCAAAGCGATTGTCAAGTCCTTGCTGTTGTCCAATTGGAGATTCCTGGAGAGCTGAAGGCCGGTGAATATGATCTTACCATGAAGAACGAACCGCAACCGGAGGAACATCTCCTCAATCACGCCGATAACATCATCTCCGAGTCGTACTCCTCCTGCAGTGTTGTTCATCGTGTCTATTGAAAGTTGGATGGACAATAGGAGAGCAAAATTAGTAGTGTCCTTGATCATCATTCAATTGTGCATGCCTAGAACATGCATTGGCCATATCCCCAACACTCTGCATGCCCCACTTACTGATCATGTTGCGGATGACCTCAAAGTCGCCGTCCATGAATTCGAAAAACACTTGTGAGAGAACGCTCTGGAGTGTCTCATCGCTCCCCAGCATGCTCTTGCCCGATGACCCTCCTGTGGAATCATAAACGAACCGAGAGGATGGCTTCGACAGTGTTTCATATGCCAAAGACAATTCTATGAGAGATAATGTCAAACGAGCCGTTAATACATAAGAATAACCCAAAGTCAAGGCTAACAAATAAAGTCAGAGCATGCGCCATGGGGTGTGTGTGTATATGCTTGTGTATGTGTGTCTGTGTGGAGGGGTGTCATTGGGCCGAATGACAATTGGGTTGGGTGGCAGGTGCAACGCAACGAGATAACAACAAATAAACGTAAGCAAAAACTCAGCAGTGAAAAAAAAAAAAAAGACGAGAATGGACTACAGCTAGGCCGTGCATATTTTTTTTTTCTCGTTTCTTTTTGTTGAGGGCATTGACATGCTCCTCCACGTGTAAATAGGTAACACAATCTCGTGTTAAAGACCGCGAAAAAAAAAAATATCGATTCAGGCTAGTTCAAAGGGTTGTGTCCTGCTGCCTCTTCTTTTTGAATGGTGATAACCATCGTTATCTATTGAGTGAAAGAGGGGATGGGACTTACTTTGGAAGGCTTCGGTTGCCCTTGGGTACTCGGGGAACTTGTCTGGGTGGCAGACTCTTGACTTTGCGATGTAAGCCCTATCGAAACAGTTAAACAATAATAGATGCAAACAGTAGACAGATGAGTCGTTATGAACCTGGTCAATGATGCAATTCCTTATCAAGGGGCGAAGGCACACAAGAGGGAGAGAAATAGGGACAAGGCACAAACAGAGACATACAGAGATAGGAGGCAAAGGGAAGGAAAGAGGGAAGGGAGGAAGTATAGAAAGGGGCTTATTGAACAGGCGTTTCGAATAGCCAAAAACAAACAAATGAGAAAAGAAAACAACTGTGTCTCTTTACCTTCGGATCTCTTCAGAGGTAGCGTTACGGTTTACCGCGAGGACACGGTAAAGATTCTCAGTCTCGAGAATGTCGTCGACGATTTTGTATCGCTCTTCTGCAGTTGCAGGAGCCTTGGGGGGTTGGCTCGCGTTTTCCTTGGCACTGTTATTGTTGCTGCTGCTGTTGTCGCTGCTGCTATTATTGTTGTGGTTGCCCCTCCTGCTGCTGTCGTTAGTATGGGCATTCGGATAAGTGTTACGTTTGTTGTAACCGTTGGCTGAACTGGAGTGCTGTTGCGAAGACGACCGGCTGCTACTGCTGTTTCCCCCTTGTCCGTCTGCTGCTCCTCCCTGAGGCTTCTTCCTGGAAAAATTGTAGGGTGAGTGACCGGCTTCAAAGGCAGAGGCAGAGTCCAATTGAGGGGAAGAGGGTGGTGTTCTGGGTGTAGAAGAGATGGATGGGTTCCTTTTGCGGGCTGGTCGACGTTCGCTGCTAGATCCTGAATGGCTGTAGTGGTTGGGTGAGTGTGGCGGGGTCATGGGAGTAGTAGAACTGGAGGTGGTGGAAGAGGGGCCATTGGGCTGACTTCGACTAAAGTTATAGTTGGTGCTGGACTGTCTGCGACTGTGAGAGGAAGAGGAGGAGGAATATCGCTTGTTGTTGCCGGTGCTGTCTCTTGAGTGGGAGTGATGGTGAGAGTGATGGTGGTGATGGTGGTGAGAGCCGGGTCCTGTGACAGTGGTGGTGGTAGCAGGGTTGGGTTTTCCTTGCTGCTTGCCTAGGGCAGCTGATGTGCCGGACCATACAGTGGAGGCGATAGAGTATGTGAGATTAGGGATGAACGACATCAAGTATATGTGGGGGATTGGGAAGTATGTGTGTGAGGGGGAGGGTGAGGGTGAGGGATTTATATATGAATGTATGTGAGAGGGGGAGAGAGGGGGAGAGAGGGGGAGAGGGGGAGAGAGTGAGCGAGCGAGCGAGTGAGTGAGTGAGTGAGTGAAGAGTGAAGGGTGATTGTGCGTGAGAGAGGGAAGGGAGGGTCAGTGGAGTGAGGATGAAGCTTGAAGAGGATGGAAGGGGAGAAGAAGGAGGTCAAGGGTGGATGAGTGAGTAAAGGAAGGAGGAAAGGGTGTGGAGTGTAAAGAGAAGGGTGTAAGGTGTAGAAGGAAAGAAAGAGAGAAAGAAAGAAGAAGGGTGCAAAGTGTAGAGGGAAGAAAAAGAGAAGAAAAAAGGAGTCCATGGATGGATAGCAGGGGGGATATATGATATATGATATATGATATATGATATATGATATATGGTGTGTGTTTGAACTTTGACCTTTTGAAATGAATTGTTTGATATAGGAGAGTGAGCATCATCCTCTGCTGAGGCCCATGCATCATCATCATCTCTCCTCTCTTTGTATCTCAACATATTCAACAAAAAGAACAAAAAAAAAACATACCGTGTGCTTGGGCATGATGGGTTCGTCCTCTTTTAATCCTATCCCATCCTTGACAGGTCCAAGGTTACAAGAACTTCCATTGTTCGAGTCCAACACAACCAATCCACTCTCCCAACGCATGCTTGCCCCATGCGCTCTTCCCTTCCCCCTTTGATCCTCTTCTTTATTCCTGCACCCCTCACCCCCAAAACAAAAAAAAAACAATAACAAAAACAAATCACAAACACAAACTAGACGTTTCGTCCTTTTCCCTTTTTCCCTTCTTCCCATTCATCCTCTCTTTCCGTCCCTCCCAGTCCTTCCTTCCTTCTTTGCCTTTCCTTCCTTGCGTCCATCCCCATCTTCCTCCACCCGATTGCGCATCCTTTTTTATTTTCTTGTTCTCCTCTGTCAGCACAGCCAGCACAAAAAAAGAAAACTTTTAAAGCACAATGGCGTACGAGTTCAATAATCGCGGGAAGAAAAGAAAAAGAAAAAGAAAAAGTCTTTCTCTGCGTCTTTTTATTCAGTCGTTTGCACGTGCGAATGAGTGGGGGAAAAGGGGAAATAGGGTCACTCCGTCATGTCCATGTCACTGTCTGGTTGCTGGGGTGAAAAGGAAAGAAAGTAAAAAAAAGGTTGGCAGGGTCCTTTTTGCGGTTGGTGCTCCTTCTCCTATTGATAATGCTGTCACATTCGGACCTGATTTGTCTCTCTGTTCTACTTGGCAAGCACATCCTTGTAATAGTTGTTGTCTCCGTGTTATCGACTGTCCTTGTCTATCCCCTTCAGTGGTTTATCCGCTCCCTTTTTGTTCTCAATGCATCCTCGCATCCTTGTCAGATAGCAAAAGCAAAAAATGAGAGCATAGATAATGAAGAAACGAGTTGTGAGGCTGGCAAAGGGACCTAGTACCACACCTAGAACTGCTCTTCACCATCACCACTAACTACCACCCTCATCTCATCTTGTTGTGGTTCAAACTTCAAACAGGCAGCACCACCACACAACAACAAGCAGTGGATACGCAACAACGCTGAGCACTCCTACAGCAACAGGAAGTAACAGGCAGCAACACGGAGGAACTAGAAGCCAGCCATGGGCCCACGGATACAGCAGAAGACCACCTTCATATCCTCCTTCTCTCTCCCTCTCTCTCTCACACACTCTCTCACTCACTTGCTCGTTCGCTCAGGATCGCATGTACCGCCCAATCGACTTCATAAACGCCTCTAAGTCGTCCCGGTCAATCTCAATCACCGACTTGTCAAACCCAAGGTGCTTGACAGGTATCTTTTCGTTGTAGGAGATCCTCTCAAACACATTTCCGAATTTGCTAAGAGCGAGAAAGAGAGAATAGAAAAACAGCAAAACAGGTTGAGAGAGAGAGATGGGCAAATAAACAAACAGAAAGAAGCAAAAAGAAGATTAATAAACAAAAAGTGAACAGAAACGAAAAGGCAATAGATCAAACAATTATTGAGAGCACATAGATCTAACTAGAGAAGAAGAAAAAAGAAGAGATGACTTACTTGGGAATGACTTCGCCGATGACTGGCGACCCACTCACCCCTGTGACAACAAATGTCTGGGTATCTTCCTTCAAGACGGCAACGACAAGGGGGATCGGCCGATGTCCACTCTTGCTGCTCCCGTATTCCTATCAAATACAGTAAGAGATGGCCACGTTAGCCTTAATTGCATCCTCTCCTTTAAACACATGTATATATGTCATGAAATGCTCTCGCACTTGAACATGGATAGATCGACAGCCCTCGCTTACCCTGATCGCATAGACGAGGAACTGCGCCAGCTTGTGGAGAGAGAGAGGATCCCAAAAGACAGGCAGATCCGGCCCATCCTTCAGGGTCGCCACTCGACATTTTGACAGCGTGATGATGACCTGCTTCTCAATAATCGCGATGCCTTGGCGGATCACCGCCTTCTGCACCTGCATACACAGCTTCAGTCCTTGTCGAAGCTGGTCACCCTCTCCTCCAGAGCCATCCAGCGAGTCACAGGCTCGGAAAAAGTTTGCATGCCACCATGACGCCCTCTCGTCCTCGCCTCCTTGTACCGAACTGCTCACATCCGCCAACGCCGCCTTTGTCCTCATCTCCTCCGTTATCCACTCCGGGCTGTATTTCATCGCGACGAGGGACGCGGGTGAAGTCTCCAGCAGGCTAGTCACTGAATAGACGACGTCACTTGCGCTCATCAAACCCCTGTATCCATATGAGCGGGTGAATGAAGTGTACAGTACTTCGTGCAAACCGTACTCTGGTGCCACCATCTCGACCCGTTCCTTCAAGATCCTCTTCAAGTCAATGCTCATGTGTGCAAAGACCTGGTTACATTCCTCCAAAGAGAACCTAATTCAAGCCCAGATCGAAAAATATATGCACGGATTAGCCACATGGAAAACACTTTCCGCAAATCATCCACCATGCTGTAAGAGCAAAGCAACATCGCCAGCAGCTCCATAGCAATAACGTACCCCATTTTGGCAAGTAGTGCCAACAGCCTCTGTCGTCCTGGTTCCCGCCAGATGCCAAGCCTCGACGCCACGTAGTTTGAGTTGTACATACTCTCGTAGAGCGACCAGTGCCGGACCATCATGAAGCGGTACTCCTCGGTACACCGAATAGCTCCGTCGTCCACGCTGCTGCTCCTGCTCGCGCCACCTTGCTCTTCTGCCAACGCGCCGGCTCGGGCCAGTCGCTCCGACTCGTCCTTGTATGTTTGAGTGATCACCAAGTAGTCACGATGGCTGATCTGCTCGCTCAGGTATTGCGACGACAGTCCGACGATGGCTAACCTAAGTAGCGAAGAGAAGAGGGAAATAAAAGTTTGGTCAGGCCTTTTGAAGCTGCAGAATATTATCCGTTCATCCATGTCTCAATGGCGGCGAAAGGGGAGAATACGAACCAAAGCAGGTCCAACGAGGATCGATCGAGCTGGGTCGCCATCATATATGTCTGATTGGAGATCGATGTGCCCATGGTGGACCCTTTCGACATATACTCGACAATAATCGCCCGAGACTCCTTCCATTGACGGTTGACTTGACGTGGGGCCACCTCTGAGTCGACCCCTGTTTTCCGTCTTGTCCGCCGGTGGTCATCGTCTTCCCGGTCGTTCCTGTCATCGCCATCGTCTTCATCGTCCTCTTCGTCTTCCTGATCCGACTCGTCATCTTCATCGCCTTGATCGTACTCGTTTTCCTAGTTATATGAAGAGGCCAAATTCTGGAACAGTTAGGATGCGGTCGAAACAACGCCGATCTCCAAGTAGGTGTAGGACATTACAGCCAGACGAGTGCTTGTGAAAACATACTTCTGTAAAGATGATGGCGTCCTTCTCCTGCGCAAGGTCCTTGTCCAGATCGCTGTCGTGAAAGACGATAATCTCGTTGTTCCAGAATGCGTTGCGGAGGTTCACAGGTCGATGACTGTCTAGAACGTAGATGGTCACATCCTCCGAGAGTTCCATGTAGTCTTCCAAGTTGAACAATCCCCCGCAGTTTAACATCAGCACTGAACGGATCTATTTCACAAAAGTGATAAGAGAAGATGTTAAAATCCATTATAGATCTGAAAGAACATCGCGCTTAAAAGTGGCGATTGCTAAGAAGGTGCCACTGTGAACTTACTGAGGCACTCATGATCTTGGACTCTGCCCGGATATCATCCATCCCAGAGACGGGTACCACTACGTAGCTAATGCAATCTGACTTGAGCAGAGTCTATTTCGAACAAGAGGTTTGGCAGAATGTTGTGTGAGTTCCCCTGAATGTTGTTGAAGTTGACGTGGTGTCTGCACCCAGTGAGAGAATAAAGCCGACAGGACGCCGTTGCCCGCAGACTGAAATAAAGGATCCTTACGGTCCACATGCGGAAGGCGCAGATAGAGTCAACATCTGCAGACACAAAGAAGAGTACGGTGCTGCTGGCCCCTCCGTCTCCGAACGCGGCATTCTTGATCCTCTTGTAGGCAAGCGAGTAGTTGGCGAGTTTGACGTGACCCATGTCTGATTCCTATTTTATGAAAGGCTTTGTTATCCAGGTGATGTCCTCCGGTCAATGGGTAATGGGTAGTCCCGACGACGAGACTGAAAACGAGGAGAGAGGTTGGGGAGAGAGAGAGTGAGATGAGTCGAATGTCATTCACAATGTTGAACAAAGAAGAGAGATCAAAACAGGGTTGCCACCACTTAAGGGTCCAGAAGGCGCGTCTTGATTTTTGTAATCTTTTTTAATTGCTTTCATCGCGTCGAAACTATTATCGATTTTCTAGAGCGACGATGGGTGCTCCGCCGCTACTCCAGCGGCCGATCCGCAGTGCAGGTGAATAATTCTCATATCCACCGTTCGCATAAACACTGCATCCGCCACTGCATCCCCACACACATGACAAACATCGTTCGCCGTGATCACCACTGGTCCCTGGGTCTCATACAACTGGATGAGCTCTTCGCTTATCCGTAGGTTCTCTCCTAAAGAAAGTCCTTTGACGACCTGGATCTCTTTAAAGTCATGATGACTCCTCCGCAACGATCGTAGCAAATATTCCTGAAGTGACTCTACCGACCAATACTCTGGCAGGAATTGAACCACCTACGAAAAGTTGAAGCACGTCTGTTAGTCACCAAAGCCGACTAAGAAATGACGGTAAATGAACAGTTTAACAGCCGGGAGGAGCCAACTTACCTCAGAAATGTCCAAGTACGACGACTGAGAATTGAGCAGTCGAAGGGTCAGGTTCATTCCACCATCGTCCTCGGGCAGCCGAAGATATTCTTTCAGCAGAACCATGAACAGCTTTCTCCGCTTGTCGAGCTCGGTAGCTGTCACTTTCGGTACATCTCCTTCACTCGTTGTCGCTGCCTTTGTTCCTTTGCTGCGGCTCTTGAAGTTACCGCCACTCAAGCACAAAATCTCGGCTCCCTGGTAATCCTTGACCTCTTGCACCAAATTCCCAATACACTCATCAAACTCTCCCGTCTAGAAATAGAAACAATCATAAATTAATTCGTGTAATTTCACCACATGCGCAATCATAGCGAGCGTACATAACGTCAAAAAAGTAGTTCGCTTACCCGTGCTAGCAGCAAAGCGACTTCGTACCGGAGAATAGGGATGCTCTTCACTTTGGCCAAAATCTCGTCTGCATCCAAAACGGGAGTTGACTGCAAGAGCTGAGAGAGCTTGGCGCGATAGCTGCTAATTGGGTCCACCTTGCTGTTAGACTGAAGGTACGACAAGAAGGTATCCATGATTCCTGCGGATTCCAAAGACTTGATATCTCCCGAGGCCATCAACTTGCGAGTTTGTTGCTCCTTGAACTCGTTGACTATTGTACATGAAGGAGACAGAGAATATGAGTACTTGGTCTTTGTTGGTACGCTGAAGTCACTAAGAATTGTCGTATGTAAGCTTACTGAGTTCCTGGTGTTTCGTTGATGATTGTGAATTTGCCGCCGCACGGACGATGTTGTCAACGTAAAGTTGAGACAGCATTGTACGATGTTTAGGCACCTATTTCCAATGTAATAACATCTCCATTAGTTTCTTGACATGCCTTGACTGGTGCAAACTTGAAAATTGATGACCCCAGATCAAAACTTACTTCACTCTTTCTCTGCGTGACCAGGTATTCAAGATAGGTCATGATACCTTCCTGGCTGACCTTGCTCCTGAAACTCTCTAGCACCCGATCCGGGTCAAACAAAGCAGCGCGCTTAGAGTCTCCTGGCATGAAAATCTACATACACAAGAATAAAAAATGCGGTTAGTACTGGCTGGGGGCGCCAACAGTGTCGCGTTTCTATCTGACGTGAGCTAACGAGATACCTTCAATCCAATGGTCTCGTCTCGGCCAACAATCCACCATCCGTACTCCTCAATAACCGCCACATCTTGAAGCGAGAGCAACAGAGTCGCCATATCCTGCAAGCTGACAGTCGATGAACTATCTTCCAGTTCTCCCTGGATCAAGCTATTGTAGTTCGAGCAATATAGTTATGTTAGTACCTGTATGCATCACGGTTTCGAAAAAGACAACGATTTATAGCTCATTTATACCAAAGGACAGTTACCTCTTCCAGATCTCCAATGCGGCCCCTTGCTTCTTGTGTGATTTGTACCAGATGGACAGCGCATAATGCTTGCCAGTGCTCCTAAGCTTGGCCTCCGAAAGATCCTGTCTGCACGCGTTCGCAGTTCCGAGAAGTTGTAACAGATTCTTGTCGTCACCACTGTCGACCCAAAGCCCCAGTAGCGCCGTGTCGATAGCCTACAAGTAACCAAATATAAAGGTGTAAGAGTTTCAAACAGATCTCTTCACTGCTGTCAGATCGATTGTGCACCATTGGGATTAAGCGTACCTCTGCGATAGGTCCTGGACGTCCTTTGGTTGTTCTGTACTGCCGCTTGCACTTGACGAGGTACTGCAGGAAGACTTCCTTGGCATTCGTCAAAAACATATTCCCGAGCTCGGGTCCTTGATCTCCATTTCTAGCCACTGCTCTATTAACTAGAAGAGGCCAAATAGATATTAACATACAGTCCCACACCGAATTAACAAGAGAAAATGATATTCAAAGGAAGGAACACTTACTGATATCTTGGATAGTACCGCGTTGATTCAAGAGTTCACGGACGCCTCCAAAGAGCTTGACATTGGCGATGAGATCTGGCTGCTGCAGAACATCCGGGAACATAGAGATGATGACTCTTGGGTCGATTCGGCCGCGCAAGAAGAGCGCAAAGGCGTCCTCAAAAAGCGTCTCCTCGAGGTATATCAATCCTGATTTCTGGTGAATAAAGTCGAGCTCGGCCTGAAGGCGTTCCCGATGTCGATTTTCATCTGAAATGGTTGCGTTCGCCTTTTCTGACAATAGTAATGCTTCTTCGACACGACCTTGTTGAAGCAAGTTATCGGCCTAAAAAACGACAGTAGTATGATTGTCAAGAGTGAGTAGATTGACCAGATTGAACAAAAAATAATTTGGTCCGCAAATATTGTGAGGGGCAATGAATATTCGGCCTACATGCAGGACGAGGGGTGTGGTGACGAGTGCGGACACAGTGTCCTTTCCCGCAAACAAAACTCTTGCCAACACAGTTGCAATTCGATTGGTCTCCTGCTGACTCTGACTCTCCGCCTCTGATGGGTGCGAGGACTGGTATACCAACGCCCTTGCAAGTGACGACATCCACACCGCTAAACCAGGTCCTTGCACGAGCGTTCTTATTTCCAGGGCAGAGTCGAATCTCATGGTTTGGACCAGTTTTTGGTCGAGAATGTTGTGAACCTCGATAATGTTGCCGCGCAAAAGTGCAGCCACATAGGGAAATTCGATTCCTAATGCCCGTGGATAGCTGGACCACTGTAGCGTTCCACGGACTGGATCTCCAGCTCCTGAACAAAAAATACCAATGGCGGTCTGTCCTGAAGTGGTTGCACTCGCCAAAAGGAACTCGTTCTCTGTGACGGCAATGCAGACAGGCTTCAAGACTTGAGCACTGGATCCTGAATTCTGAACGACTGGGAGCACCGGGATCATCCTGCCCACTCGATTGTCGATCAAATTGAAATCGTTGGCGTCGGCCAAGCAAGTAAAGTTCTTCCACATTGTTACCACCAACGCTCCTTTCGGAAGACCGAGTTCCTATTGAATGTCAAATGCAAACGAGTGCGAGTGTGAGTAGAGCTGATCTGGCTCATCATTGACGTGCTTGGCGCCATTCTGTTGTACCTGTCCTTTGAAGGGATACCTTTGGATCTGAGATGACGTCAGGCCACACGCTGTAATATTGAATGATCCGTCGTTTGATGACGCAGAGCCGAACGCTGCCATCCTCAGAAACGTCTCCCGATTGTGCACTATCTTCGCAGAACGCCGTTACTCCTTTGATGGGTGGAAAATTCTGCGGAGGAAATGGCTGAAAGTCTGGCAGACTGTAGAACGTGAGCTGAGAGTCTGCAACAGACCAACCCCAATACATGTTAGTAGGTCGTTCTACAGTAATTGACAACGGAGATTGAGAACTTGAAATGTTCAAACGACACGTACCACAGAGGAGAATGGCAATCCGAAGAGCCGATATTACCATAATCCTTTCCACGACCTTCTTTCCGAACCCCAGCGCCCTCCTTCGCACCAGACGTGATCTGGGCAGATCCTATAGTGAGAAACACGGTTCACCGTCAGAATATATGTCAATGATCTATTTCACCGCTACCATGGTGCCATCGACAGCAAGAGGAGGAGAGTAGGAAGGCACATACGGACTGGGAGGCGATTTGCTCTTCAATGAAATAGTGGAGAAGATGCCCATCCGATGTTCCCAGATAAAGATGGTTTTCTATCAAAAACAAAGCCAAAGCCGGCGTCATTATTAGTCACTGTCATTACCGCGTAATAACCCTTGATGTAAGTGAATCCTGCATATCTTTCACAGAATGCACGGGGAATGTCCCACGTACCAAAACTATCCAACGATTCTACAACAGGGCGCGTGTTCCTGTTGAATATGCTGGTGCTCTTGGGGACAGGGCTGTTGGTTCCCGAGGGACTGACTGTGGACGAACGGTCGAGAAAGGACCTTCCTTGGGATGCTGATGACTCGCTGGCTGCAGCGGAAGCGTCATCAAGGTGCACGCCACGTAAAAGCGGTTGGACTGTGAACGTCGAGAACATGTGCAGATGTCGACCTGCCTATGACTAGATGGGGTGAATGAATGTCGCTTCTGGCACAGACAGGGACGAGTGCTTCCTATAAGCTGTAAGTGGGGTCGGGAGGTAGTCCGCAAGTGAGGGAGTGAAGTGAATTGCAAGTTTGGACGAGCGAGATGTAAAAGTAAGTTGAGAGAAGAAAAGTAGAGAACCGTGTGCTGAATGTACCACGATAATTGTACCTTTGCCTTGGCGTTCGTCTCTCACGAATCGAGTATCGATTTTGTGACGACTGACCAGCCATTTTATCGATTTTTTAGTGGCGCTTTCCTGGACCTGCAGACGAGAGGCACCAGTAGCATCCTTGGAGTCGCAACAATGACGCATATACCTGGGCCACCATGAAGGCAGACAGAGAGAACCTGTCTTGAAGGTCAAAAGAGAATATATTTCCACTGGTTCCGGTGCTATGCCTTGTAGTTATTTTTGTCATTCATTTTGTCCTATGGCTCTTTCACACTCTCAGGAACACACGAAAAAGGTCAACTGAAACCCGTGACTCTGATACTTTTCTGTCCACGACTTTTTTATTTCTTTTCTTCCTTCGTTTGTTCACGCACTCATTCCCTTCTTCACATCAACCAATCAACCTTTGCCGAAATGCCTTCTGCAAACGACTCCACCACAACAACAGTAGCAACAACCCTATACCCCCACCACACCGACTTTACTGGTCGTGACCCCCCACCCACCGACGGCTACAGCTGGGACCAGATCACCAACGCTATCAGTACGTTTGCTTCTTCTCACCCTTCGATCCCTCTTTCGTGTCACTTTTCCCTCTCCTTTGTGGTAGAATAAAGCATATTAACAGCAACTACCCCATCTAAATGAACCATTGAATAGAATCAAACTCGTTGCATGGCCTGAGACGCACAGACAAGGGTCAATATGAATACGAACAATGGCAGGACAAGATCGACCGCCAGACTTACAAGAACGTCGGTGAATACATTGCTTTTGTCATCCTCCAATGGCCCAACCTCCAGGACCCTGCCGACACCATTGAACACGTCAATAACAACAATACCACAGAATCAAGTCGGTCAAAGTCCAAGGAGGAGAGATACAAGATGATCGAACCACGCCTGACCCTGCGTCTGAACCATTACCCCTTCCCTGTCCAACAGTCCATCCAATACTTCGTCCTCTGGTCTACTCGGGACATGTCCGTCCTCTCAGAACGGACCCGTCTCGAAACCTACCTCCAACTCCAATTCATCGGGAACCAGGATCCCTTGGCCGGACCTATAGTAGAGAAGGCTCTGTCGCCAGAGGTCTACCCCCCAGCGGAGGGGAATAAGAAGCAGTGGATATGGTTTATCAACCCTATCGAGCTCCGCAGCGTTGCCACTGTCCATCATATCCATGTCTTTGTCCGCGATGTCGATCTCTCTGAACCCAATGAAATCTTCTTTGAGCGTCCATAAGTCATCACGTTTAGAGAATTTACATTTCTCAACCAGCACAACAACTAGAGATAAGATAAGATAATAACAATAACAAAAAATACGGCATATCAAGATTGAAAAGACTTGAACTTGGGTAGACTTGGATTCGCTTAGGTATTACTACCGCCTATTCACACTCTCAAGAAGATTTCAACTGTGTTTTACTGTATCGGAATGCGGACGAAATTAATATTTTTACTTGTGGTTACAGCAAACGTCGTTTGAGATAAAGAAGGTCCATTCATTCCCAAAGTCAAGCAGAATATTTAAGAGTGCGCTTTATTTTCCGCAAGCTGATATGTACAATGGCTCTTTCTACTGTGCCATGTTCAGAACTACGCTCATAGCTTCCTCCCCTTCTCTTTTTCGTGTCTTGTTTTTTTTTTGTGTAACTCTAGCCAAAGTGACTTCAACCGAGTATGGAAAGTGTCTATTCAAAAAAGGGGGCGCCTAGGCTCTAGGTCGACTTGGCAAAGGGATTCAAAGGGATAACCTTGATAACGGGAGGCGACACGTTCATCTCGGCTGAGATGAGGACCTGGACGTGGCCAAACGTCTTGACCTTGCTCAGGTTATGAGCCAGTTCATCGCTCGCGTCGTCTGCACCCTTGGCATCCGAGGAGCGAGGAGCTGAACGACCATCATCGTCGTCATAATCGCTGTCGTCGTCAAACAATCCGCGCTCGTCATCGTAGGCGTTGGTGGCATCGTCGGGATGATCCATGGCGTGAAATCCTCCAGCGCGAGGCTTAAAGTCGGGCTCTGCAGCATTCTGAAGGGACAAGGGCTGGTTGGGGGACAGCGACTGCCTCCTGCTAGCCAGGCCATCCGCCTGCTCATCGTCCGCGGTCTTGAAGGCCTGAGTACCCCAGTAAAGCTTCAACACATCCATCTCTTCGTTCCAGTAGAAGCTCTCAAGCGGCAATTGATCGAGGTGGATACGCTTCTCAAGTGCAAACTCGGGCACGAGAACATCGAACGCGTTATCCATGACTTGAACGACAATCGCATCCCGAACCACCTCTCCCTTGGACTCGGTCAAGTGCTTCAGGAGAGCACTCAGATAGAGGTGATTGCTCTGCTCCTGGGCCAACTTGGCGGCATCCTTTCGGAGATTACATTGGTTAGCGCTCTTTTGGCACGACTCCTTGTTCAGGTAAAACTTTTGGTCTATTCACAGCAAAGAAGGGGGAAAACAGCAAAAGAAATGGAAAAAACACGTCAGTGTCGTTGTTTGTTTTGATCTCGTCGGTTTCTTTATACGCGTTGTTTTTGTAGTTGTCCGAGCGTTGTCGCTCTGAGGGGGGAAGGGGAAGGTCGCTATCGGGAATAGGCGCGCTGTGTCATCCTTGCCATCTCGATAAACAAAAAACATCTTGCCCGAACATCTTCCCACCGCCAGCAATGGAAAAAGGACTCGCAATGACCCCGTCGCTCTCAGATCCTCCGATCCCTCTCGACTCGCCCTGCCTTCTTTTTTTTCACGCTATCTACCCCATCCAACCTCTTTCGGACTGAGCATACACCCGGCGACACATCCATCTCCCTCCACAAAGGACTTCCCACTTGCCACGCAACTCTTGAGTGATCAACACTCCTAGAGGATCCGGGACAACCATCATACGACCACACGAGAAAAATAGGGAGGAGAACGCGGAATAAAGGAAAACAAAAAACAATGACCAAGCGGACTTGAGCCGCCAGGGCACGTCCGAATGGCCAACAAGCCCCTTCGCAGAAGGGGTGGTGGGTGGTGTTTTTGTCCTGAATTCGCCCTATGGCTCAACATAGCAGCTTCCATGACTGACCGAGACGTTGGCCAGCAACTCACCTCCAGTCAAGGATGCCTCCAGAAGACGATGGACAATGATATCGGCGTAGCGACGGATGGGCGATGTGAAATGTGTGTAGAGAGGGGTATTGAGGGCGTAGTGGTGGTATCTTGTCGGAGGGAGAACGCCGCTGCAGATGTACTTGGCGCGGTGCATAGGCTTGACCACCAAGAGGCGGATGACCTTGCGGACATCCGGGTCCTGAATGGCGTCCATCGACGTCTGGAGAGCGCCGGCGCTCGAGGCATCGAGCTCGATTCCAATCTTTTTCATGTGCTGAATAAAGTCGGCCATGCGCTTCTCGAGGGGTTCCTCGTGGCGACGGAGAAGGGCTTGCTCGGGGAAAAAGTCAAAGATCTGCTTGGCGACACTCATGTTGGCGAGCAACATGAACTCTTCAATCAAACGGTTGCTCTCCTTGAGCTCAAACACAGTCGCATCCAGAGGGTTCTGCATGTTGTCGGTCTCGAAAGCCAACTTGATCGAGTTGACCGAGAGCGCGCCATTGTCGAAACGCCTTTGGCGAAGAATTTGTGACAATTTCTAATTCGGGGAATCGGTAAAAAAAGTTAGCTCATGTCATTTTATACCATTGTGCCAACTGTGTGACCAAGTGCTCTTCAAGAATGCTTACAAAGAAGGTCTTGATGTTGTCTTCGACGGTGGCGCGAGGGTGGTCAAAGACCTGGACCTTGGGATCCAAAGCGCCGGTGGTAATGACTCTCTGGGCATCGTCATAGGAAAGCTGGGCGCATGAGCGGATGAGGGTCTTGGCAAAGGTGGTCTCCAAGATATCTCCTGCCTCGGACATTCTCCAAAAGACGGAGAAGGTCAAGCGGTCAACATTGGCGATCAAACTGCAGAGATCCTCACTGAGAACGTTGGGAAGCATAGGGATAGCCTTCTGCACAAGATAGACAGTGGTGGCTCTTGACTTTGCTTCTCTGTCAAGTGCAGATCCGACTTTGATAAAGTGCGATACGTCAGCAATGTGAACTCCGACCTCGAAGGTACCGTCTTCCAAGCGGACGCACGACACAGCATCATCCAGATCCTTGGCAGTTGCAGGGTCGATGGTGAAGGTACAGCTTTGGCGCAAATCACGACGGGCTCCCTGTTCCTTGTCGGGGATGCTCCAGGGAAGCTCTGGCAGGCACTTTTCGACCTTTTCACCAAAGGCTGAGGTTGTGATGTTGTTGTCTGCCAAAAGCGCCTCTGTCTCAATCTCAATGTTGCCAATGTCGCCGAGCTCACGCTCCAAGTGACCGAAAGGATGAAGAGAGCTCAAAGGCCAGCGCTTAATGGTCGCGATGAACAGTTTGTGGGCGTATGAGGCATGGTTGTCGACAAAGTCAGCAGGGGCTTGATCGATAGGGATCGCGATCAAGGGCACGCGTTTGTCCGTCTACAAAGAAAATAAGAATATCGCGTCAATACGAGGCCATTTTCTCAACATTTGCTGTTTGACAATGCTTCAAACAAACAAACAAACAAACAAACAAACAAGACAGACAGACGGAACACTTACGGGCTTGAACCAAACAATACGAGGTTGACCCTTGTGATCGTCATCATCCTGTCGGCGACGCTCGTTCTTCTTGGTCGATCCGCTGGGACGCTGGAGGGTCAAGGTTCCTGAAAACATCTGGACGAGAGAACGCTCGACAATGGAGACGACACGGCCGCAGTACTTTGGCTTGATGTCCTCGACGTCGGCCTCGCCTGCCTCCTCAACATCCTCTGAGCGCTTGTACTTTTTCTTCTCCTTGCCACCCTCGAGCTTTTGTTGAGGCATGTCCTCAAAGTCAATCAATTCAATGCCGACCACATCACCCTCCAGTGCACGGTTGCGATCCTTGCTTCCGCAAATGTAGACATCGCCCTCAGGAAGTGAGTCGACAGTGACATAGGCATCAGAGCGGTTCCTCTTGTTGATCCTGAGGACTCCTTGGACGTACTTGTGCTTTTGCTTGGTCAGCAACGAATGAAAGTCGGAATAGGTCAGGTGGGCCATGAAGAGGGGACGACGGCCGTTAGCATTGTCTTTGAGAAGTATGCTGTCTCTGTTTGACCCGATGTTAGAACCCACGGGAGTAGCTGTTTATAGTTTGAGAGGAAGGTGTGAAGAATGAGCGCCGATTAGAAAAAAATGGGATTGAAGGTTGCTGGTAAGAAAAAAAATATATATAACGGGAAGGGACCAATAGAAAGGCAAACGGGATGCTACTCTTTGCGGCATTGTGAATCAAATCATGAAAGGTTGACTTACACATGCGCCAGTCCTTGCGGTCCAGATCCTTGGATGGTGCCATGGATGAAAGTCGGCGGTTGGCGGTGGTAGTGGAAGTCAATCCTGGGGCGAGAACCGAAGTGCGAGAGGGAGTCATGGAATTGAAGGCAGTGGTGTAACGACGACGGTCAATGTCATCGTTATTGACCTGACTCTGCCCAAAGTTTTGAAAGGCCGCCGAACCAGAGCCAGGCTGCATGTGGCTGGGCAACTTTGATGCGAACTCAGCCAACGACCCAAGGTCGACATTGGAGATAGAGCGACGGTGGGGGGCCTTGTTGGCAGAGAGACTGGAACGGTGTCCCATACTACCTTTGCCCTCGAGGGCTGATAAGGCATCTGCAACAGCGTCTGCTTCTTCGTCGTCAGAGTCAAAGGTGGTACGAGGGGCGTAGGAGCGTCCCTCCTGAAGGGCGGCGACCTCTTCGGGACGGATGATGACCGAACGGCGATTGGGCTGATATCCAGTGGAGGCAGGGGGTGTCTCTGAGGCAGGGGGGGTGTAGAAGGGACTCTCGGCCGAATTGAGGAGGATAGATCGGCGGTTTCGCTGCTTGGAGGGATCGTTGTAGTCGGTTGAGCCGGCACCGAAGGAACCCATCTCTTGAGGCAAGACAACAGAACGTCGGTTGTTGGCCTTTCGAGCAGGGTCCAACGCCTGGGAAAACAATGCGGATAAAAAAGTTTTTTTTTTGGGCTTGTGAGCAATCAGACAACACATATGAGGCGTTCAGACAAACACATATGAGGCATTCAGACAAACACATATGAGGCATTCAGACAAACACATATGAAGCATGGACATAATCAAATATGCCCCCCCCCCCCCAAGTCGTTCTTCCATCAGTGATTTCTGTTTAAACACTTTTCTTTTCACGTTTGACACTTTTAGAAGTCGGGCAGGAAGATATAAGGCAAGAAGGCGAAAGGACAACACGGCTAGGGCTGTGAACAATTTAGAAAAACTTACGGTCGAATCATCCGTCTTGTTGGTGGTGACTCCTGGGATAACGGGACGCTTAGAGTCCGAGACGGAGAGACGGCGGAGTGTGGCGACGGTGGACTGGAGGGCATTCTCGATGGTAGTACCGCGGGGAGGTTGGGAGATATGGAGGGTAGTTGAGTTGCTGTTCGTGCTTGGAGACTCTTTGGCAGCAGGGATGGTACTAAGCCCGCTGGCAGCATTCAAGTGACTCATGGAGGTGCGAGAGGGCAACGATGACATTGATTGCCGTTTCTCATGGCGAGGGAGAGGCTGCTGCTGTTGTCCCTGCTGCTGTCCTTGCTGCTGCTGCCCCTGCTGGTCGAACGAACTGTTGGTGTTGTTGTTGCTGTTAGTGTTATAGTTGTTGACGGCGGGGAGGGTCTTGAGGGAGCTAATCATATCCTGAAGGGACTGGAGCGTCTTGGGGGCGCTATCCTTGTTGTTTTCCTGGCCAAAATGGGCGAGCTGCTCCTTCATTGATTTCGAGCGAACGTGGCCACGTTGGGAGTTGTTTCCTGAGGCAGGAGGAGGGCCACCGCTGTTACCAATGGACGATGTTCCTGAGACGAGGTTGTTGCCACCAGAGGCTGAGACAGGACCACTTCCTCCGCCGACAACCGACAATCTGGTGCTGGAGGCAGCGGTGCTGATAGAGGTTGCTGTTGAAGCATTGGAAGAGTTTGACGAAGAGTTGTGTCGAAGGGAAGGACGTTCGGGTGTGTGGTGCTGTTCGATTTCAGCGACGGTGGGGAGACCCTGGCCGAGTCGACTGAACTTTTCGGTTCCTGCGGCGAGGCTGGCGGAGGAACGGCGGCTGGATGGGCTCGAAGTAGAATTGTTGGAGAAGGCACCGGTGCCAGGGCCAAAGGCAAAGGTCGAGCTAGCAGTGGACGCCGAGTCTCGAGACATTTTTTTTTAGTTATATATGGCAGGACTGTGGGAACAGTGTGGGTGCTGGGGTTATGCTGGTATGTGAGGGAAGTATTAATTGATGAGGAGAGATCACTCACTACACAGACAAAGGTGTGTGAGGATGAGCGAAAAGGGATGGAATGAGAGCAAAAAAGGGAAAAGGAAAGAAGGGTGTGAAGGGTGCGAGGGGAGGAGAGGGAAAGGAGGAGAGGGTGAGGGAAGAAGGGGATGGGGGAGAAAAGAAAAAAAAAAGAGAGGAAGGGCAAGTATTGGGATAACAAGAAAAAGGGTGGAGGGAGGAAGGAACAAAGAAGGGAGGGGAAGAGAAGAGAAGGGAAGGGAAGAGAAGAGAAGAGAAGAGAAGAGAAGGAAGAAGCAATTAAAGAGGGGAAAAGACAAAGAGAAAAGGAAAAGGGACGAATAGGAAACGAACAATTGAAAGAGAAACGACAACGTCAAGAGACTGACAGAGAGACAGCCAACCCCGCCCAGCCGTGGTCAAGCAAGAAAAAACGAGGAGGAGGAGGAGGGGGGAGATGAGATGTAGAGGGAGAGAGGGGTGAGGAACGGTGTTATTTTGAGGGTGTGTGTGTTTGTGCTATGTGCATCTGCCATGGGAGCATGCTTGCTTGCAGGGAGCAGAGAACAGACGACAAGCGATATGTCCAATTGGACACCTCTTTTAGAGATGGGCGCTATTGTTGTTGTTGTTGCTGTTGCTGTTGCTGTTGTTGCTGTTGCTGTTGCTGTTGCTGTTGCACCATGGTACCACTATGTATGATATATGCAGAGAGAGAGAGAGAGACAGAGAGGGGGGGGCTGAGGAGGGCGCTCAACAGAAAGGTGTGACATGGTGCCTCCCCTTCTCTCCTTTCTTGCAGAACCGACAGCATTGGGTGACATAGCACAGTGATCGACTTTTGTCAATAAGAGAAACCGTTTTTCTAATTGAACATCCGCAATTCTCATCATAATCCGCAATTTGAGAAATCTCCGCTGGACCCATTCCTTTTTATTCATCATATTCAGGAACCCCTGCTGTTATTTTTTCTTTTCTTTCTTCTTTCTCTCTCTTCTTTCTCGTCTTCCCTTCCTTCCCATCCTGCCTTTAACCCTTGCAACCAACCATACTCACAACCACATCAAAATCCACACAAATGTCGACCCAACACTGCCAGTTCTTCCTCACAAAGAAGGGTTGTCGTAATGGTGACAACTGTCGCTTCTCTCACAACAACACTCCCACACCCGCTCCCACCAGATCAACAACATCACCCACCACAGACTCGTCTTCAATCACACAAGCAACTGCACCGGGACCTCGCAGGAGAGTAGTCCCTCCAGCAACACGCCAACCAGTCCGGAAACCCGTCCCTGCATCCCTTCAAAACCTCGACGAGGACACCGCCGCCGCATCCCTCCGATCCTTCGAAATCACCCAACTCGCCTCCCGATTCGCCTCTTCCCTCACCCCTCGGTCGGCCTCTTCTTCTTCTGTCACTGACGAGGAAAGCGACAACTTTGAACTTAAGATCGTTCCCAGCGATCCCGACTTTCCGTACGAGATCAGTGCCCTCCACGTCCTCCTGGCAGTCCCAAAATCCTACCCGACAGAGCCATGCTCTGTCCAAGTCCTGAATCGAGATATCCCCAAGGGGTTTGCCACCAATCTCGAGCGTGGTTTCGATCAGGCTGCGGCTCAACAACAGAAATCGCTGCTTGCTCATCTGAATTGGCTGGACGTCAACATGGAGCAGCTCCTTCAGAAGCCTCCTGCGCCTACTATCCGCTTTATTGGACACGCCAACAACAATAGTAACTCTTCTTCTAGGAAAAGCTCACCTTCGAACGACACTTCGTCACCTGTTCTGCCACCCCCTCTTCCACGTTCCTCAGCAGAGTCTACGAAAAAGAACAATACCCCTCCAAAACTTACACAGGCACCAGCACCAGCACCGTCACCTCAACAACCACCTCCACCAGTCCAAAAGACGTACACGCCAGCAGAACGCGACCAAGCCAACGTCCAACGCCAAAAACAAATGAATCAAATCCAAGCCCGCTTCCGATCCTCCTTCGAATCCCTCTCTCCAACATCCGTCAACATCTCACTCGAATCAACCGACAAGGACAAGATGCCTGTCAAATGGCAGGGCCCTCTCTGGATTGTTCTCTTGGTCCCTGTTCTGTACCCGCTTGAGCCTTGTGATATCCGGTTGAGGGAGAATGGCAACAATCCCGAAATTGAGATCTGGCGCGCAAGGCATGTCTCCCCTCCTTTTTTTTTTGCTTGTCGTCATATTTATCGTGTGATTTAATTATTTACTTGTGCAACGGCTAACATGCATACATATCATGCATTATGATGTTGAATATGGTAATAGGAATGTGGAGCAAGGGTTCCGCAAGATTGTGGCAACAATGCCACAGCTATCCCTCTTCCAACTATTGAACCAACTGAATCGTGACCTCAAGGACCTCATGAGCCTCCCCCCACCTTCAACAGCCCCCTCACCTACGCCTCAACCTTCATCCGCCCCCACCGCTCAGTCATCGCCTTTAAAGGATACACCGCAGCCTGGGCAGGGATCGTCACGTTCAAGAGCAGCTGTCAACTTTTCTGAGACCGACAGGAACGAACACAAAGGAAAAGTGATCTATGTCGATGCGCTTCAGGAGCCTAGGAAGGGAAACTTTGATACCATCCAGGACCACGGTGCCATCACGAGTGACGACGAGGAAGACTATGACAGTTCCGAGACTGAGGAGGAATCGTCAGAGGAGAACCATGCTGAACCCACCACCACCAAAAACAACAACAATAGTGAGGACGATGGGTTCGACAGTGAGCAGGAAGAGGAAGAAGAAGCAGAGTCAGGGTCAAAGGCAGGAGGCCCCGTCATCGAATCGGCACCCAAACGCGGAATCGAGATCCGGATGCCAGACCTAAAACTCGACCACATCTCCCTCCTCTACTGCCGCTCTCTCTCCCTCCTGGTCCGCTGCAACCGCTGCAAAGCTCTCATCGATATGCCCGAACTCGTCCCCGACGAGTCTACCACTTCTTCCTCCTCGTCTACAACAACAGGATCAGGATCAGGATCAGGAGACAAGCGCAAGTGGAGGGCATGTGAGAACTGTCAGTCGTTGTTGGGGGCCCATTTTCGGACAGAGTACATCCACATGCAGTCGAGAACGATCGGATACTTGGATTTGGCGGGTTGTACTGCTTATGATATCTTGCCGAGTTCGTTTGTCCCCACTTGTGATGAGTGCGATCATGTCCACGGATCTGGACCGGACGAGCAGCATCAAGGAACAGTCGATCACCAAAACATTACCACCTCCACCACCGATACTTCAGAAACAACAATTGACTCTACATCAACTGCAACTTCAAAGCCCACCACAGTGCCCCAAAGGTCATCACCGACAGGATTCCGCCAAAAGGTCGGCCGCGGCATGTCAGCAACCGCCAACTGCCGGAAATGCCACGTCCGCCTCACCCTCACCCTCGACGGCGAAATCAAGTTTGTCAAACTGAGCCCAGGCGATCTCATGAAAGCCTCCTCCTCCGACCTCGATCTCCTCCCCCTCAAAAAGAAAAAGAACCTTGCCAAGAACAAGAACGGCCTTGAGTTTGAACTCCAAGTCGGTGAACCTCTCCCCAGAAAAGGCGCCTGTGACCATTACAAGAAATCCCGCCGTTGGTTCCGGTTCCCCTGTTGCTCCAAGATCTACCCTTGTCATCTGTGCCATGACGAGAAAGAGTCCGAGTCCCATGAGAGCGAGTATGCCAAGAGGATGATCTGCGGTCATTGCTCGCGCGAGCAGGCTGTCAGTGATAAACCCTGTGCCTGTGGTAAGAGTCCCATTCGCACTGCCGCTGGCTCGGGCGCCTTCTGGGAGGGTGGAGAGGGAATGCGAGACCGTACTCGGATGAGTCATAAGGATTCGAGGAAACATAAGGGGCTCCACAAGACCGTTGCCAAGAAACAGGTCGGCGCTGAGAACATTCGCAAGCGTGCACCCAAAACATAATCGTTAACGAATAAAAAAAACCCATTGGAATGGCTTTTTTTTGTATTTTTCTTAACGCTTCTTTTTGTGCTCGTGGAGGATCATGTCGTCATAGAGGACTGTGGGTCGAAGAGGCCATTGCTCAAACTTCAAGGCCACCTCGTTTAATTGCTCCAACGACATGTGCTTGACCTTTATGCTGTGGTCGAAACTCAGTCTCTTTAGCAAGATATCTGCTCCAGGTCCCAGCAATCTATTGTTTTGTGACAAGGACGTGTGTTTTGTTGAGGTTAGTGGCCCATTCCTATCTCTGTGACACACCATCGCGAAGGGGTTTTCCGTAGACGTAGAGAAGACGCGATTGATTTGAAGAACACACGTACTTGATGACTTTGTTGAGAGGGTTCGACTTGCTGGTGAATAAACTCCTCAGGCAGAAATCAAATACTTCCATCGGTACTACAAGGTTCATAAAACAAGAGAAAAGGATATTATAATCAGTATGAGGATAGCGAATGCGGAGCAAATTAAACGTCCAAGAAACAACAAAGTAGGGCGCTTACCATCAAGCTTGGGCACCTTGTGAGGGGCAAAGTGCACGAGCTCGTAGTCGTATGGCAAATGGAAGTGAGTAGCTCCGGGTCGCATGATTTGTGTCATCTCTGCAGCCGCTTCAGCCAAGACGCTCACTCTGTTCCTCGACGGAGTTCCTGGCGGCGAAATCAACCTCTATTGTAACGATTGAAATGGCATTGATATGCCGTCCTAGGAGTTAGTCGAGTGTTCTTTCTGAGTGCGTGACATTCGAAAAGAAATCGTCTAAGCACGCCCTTTCCCTCGCTTCCACGGTAATCATGTTATCGTACCTTGGCGGCATCCTTGAACATAAATATATACATTTCAACGCGCCCATACTTGAAGATTCCCATCTTCTCAGTGGAAGCTGTCAACAAGTCATGTAAACATTTCTCGCCCAATGTCGAATTAGGGATGGTCCCCACCAACAACACATTCGACTGGATATTCTCCCAATCCTGCGGGACCAGATCGGGGATCGCGTTGACCTTGGGGCCCAAGAGTTCGTCGAATGGATCTGAGAGTGGGTTCATGTTGTAGTTCTTGATCGCTCCATTTGACTCGTCTTCCAGTTTCTGTGTTTCAAGGAATGGGAAGTTGATCTTGTTAGACGCCTACATTGCAAATGGCAGCCTAAAGGCGCGATAAAGAGCAATTGAAATGGAATGTATCGTACCTTCAGAGAACTCTGAAACGTATCACCGTTCTCGACGGTGATAATCTTCTTTGCTCCAGCTAGGTACATCGATCTCGTAAGTTGACCAGGCCCTATCGATAAACATTTCAACGAGTGGATTCGTCAGTCAGTCACCTGCTGGTTCTCTTCGCTCAATATTGCTCCATGGCACGTACTTATGTTCATGCATCCAGTTCAAGCTTAGTACCCGAGAAGATCTCGAGGACAGATCGGTTAGGGTGTGACTCAAACTTCATTGACGCCGCAGCCAAGTCTACAAAAAGGCGTGATTAGGAAGAAGAAATGTAGATTAGCCTCTGGCCCACGAAGTCAAGTAGAACAGACAGGGGACTAATAACAGACGTTCAAAAGAGTTGAAACATACTGGCAACATCTTCGGTCATGACAGATACTCGTAGCTGACCACGCGCCCTGGATGCCTTGAAGACAGTGGGCCAGAGGTCCGTCGATATCAGGGGAGACAATGATCTGAATAGGGGTCTTGTGTGCATCATTTTGCTGATAGTGTTTCTTTCTACTTTTGTTGAGTAGACTAGAGTCGTTCAGTATGAGCTATCGTCCTAGCAGGCACTCTTGTTGTCAGGCAGGAAGTATGGTCGTTGTAGTCGTTGAATGCGAATGCGTTTAACGAATGAAGAGAACGAACTGAACTGTCGTTATGTGAAAGTTGCAAAGTGCAGCCGCCCCGAGCGCGGAAAATCAACAAATGCAGAGAAAAAAGTGACTGCCATTAATCAGTCCAAACTCGACACTGGGGCGAGCTGGGCGAAAGAGAATTGCCTTGAGATCCCATACAGAGTAGTGAAAGGAGAGAATGCTAAGAAGTTTATTACTTGTTGTTGCCGGCCTTCCACTGCTGGACCATCTGGAGAAGCTTGAAGTTGGGCTGTTCCTTTTGGTCATCAGGGAAGATGTAGTCGTAGTATTCCTCCCATTGAGACGATCCAGCCGCACTACCATCCGCAGACTCCACCTGGCGACGCTTCTTGACCATCTTGGGCATCAGATCCTGCACACTCTTCAGCGACTCGGCCGTACCCTGTGCCTGCTCAAACTCCTTCCACGCCTCTAACAGAATCACACGCTCTTCCTTCAGTCCCTGATCCTTCATCGTCTGGCTACCCTTCTTGAACACATCCCGAGCGATATCAGCCTGGCCCTCCTCTGGCACACTCGCCTCAAAATGCGCCCAACTGATCCAGACCTTGACGTGTGCTGTTCTCTCCAACAACTGCTTGTACAGCGACCGTGCGTGTGCCCATTGCTCCTCACCCACCTCAAAGTCGATATACGCCTTCCACAAGATCTCGGGCATATCCAGTTCTGGTTGCGCGACGGCCAAATTAAAGATGGCTCTGGCACGCTCGGTATCCTGCAATTCACTCTCCAACTCTGCGAATTTGATCCATGCCGCACAGGTCGACGGCGACCATTCCAAATACTTGGCATACAGTGTCCTCGCCCTGTCGATCGCACGCAGCTCCAGCTCCAGCTCAATATATCCCTTGAACAACTTGTCCTTGGGGCACATGCCTACTGCCATTCCCAGTGCCTTGCGCGCTGCACTCAAATCCAACTGGCGAATCTCAAACTTGGCATACAGCAACCAAATTTTGGCGAACGTAAACTTTTTGTGAGGAATAAGCTTGATGCAACCCTTGTACACCTGTCTCGCTCGCTCATAGTCCTAGTATTGGCAGAAATCAGACTCCAGTTAGTTCACTCTGTCGCTGAGCGTGTGTATAAGACCCAAGAAGAACGATAAAATTCCTGTTCCTCGGCTACAAGGCTTACTTTTGTTTCGAGTTCCTCGAAAAGGGCATATCTGATCCAGAGATAGATGTAGCGTCTCCAGAGTCGCTTCTCCTGAGCTGGCGGTACTTGGGCAATAGCGCGCTCATACACCTCACGAACACGATCCACATCTCCTGTACTCTCCTCGAGTTTTCCATAGTCAAACCAGGTATCATAGTTTTTGAGGTTCGTTGCCAGGTCCTATCATCACAAATCAATGACCGAGGCACGTTAGTTGCCTACGCTTGATAACCTCGTGCGACTACAAAAAAAAAAGGAACAGCACAAGTCCAAGATTCCAACGTACCGCCTCATATTGGAGTCGCCTCTTGCCGACAACAACATCCTCGATGCCATCCTTGTCGCCGTACTGCTTCTCAAACTGGACATATTGGTTGTAAAGCGCCTGCGATTTCGATCGAGGAATGCGATCCAAAGCGTACTTGTAAATAACTCGTGCTCTGTCGGTCTATCATAAGAATAGGAAATGTTAGTGACACTGTGCCTGACCAATGATGAAGCAAAGTTCTAAAGTAACCATAAAATAGCATATTGGAGCAATGGCGTACCTCCTTCAGCCGCGTCTCGAATTTGGCAAAGGAGATAAAGAGACGCTGTTCCATGAGCTCTTCCCCCATGACCTCAATGGCCCTTGTGAAAATCTCCCGAGCCTTCTCCGTCTTACCCTCACGCTCTTCAAACTCTGCCCACTTGATCCAGTTCTTGGGTTCGGGGTGAATGTGAACGAAGCGTTCATAGACCACGCGTGCCCGCTCCAGTTCCTTGTACCGCTTCTCAAACTTGACATACGCCATCCAAGCCTCCTCTTCTGGCTCCCATTGCATCCAGCGCTCGAAAATCTGACGTGCACGAGCCACTTCTTCCAGCATCTCCTCCATGTACGTGTATTTCAACCTATCCATATAGAAGTAGGCCGAAAAGCACTCATTAGTATTCTCTAGCATACACTTATCACTGCATTCACGAAGAGTCATCATCCAACAAAGGCTTACCAGAACTGATCACGACGGGGCAGGATGGTGACGATCCTGTCAAACAAGTTACGCGCCAGGGCAATGTTCTTGTGCTTCATCTCCATCTCGACATATTTGAGGTACAAGGTCGCGTTCTTGCTGTCGACGTGCAACGCACGTTCATAGATCGAGCGAGCTCTATTTTGTGATATAAATGACAAACAATCCTGTCAGTATGTGTGTTCCTTCCTTCCTGAAAATATGGCACCTCCTGTCTGAATACCAGACACTGACAGCAGTGATCAAAGAGCAAAAAAAGTACCTCTGGAGCTCATCCTGGCCTTCCTCCCAGGTGGCGTATTTGAGCCACTCGTTGATATGAAGTCGACTACGCTGGATACGGTCCTCAAACTCCTTGCGTTTCCGTCCTCTGTATTCCAACAACTCTGCTTGGTCGTGGATCTTTTGTTTGGGGGCCTTGATAGCGATTTCCTGACGCTCCTTGGCCTCTCGCAAAATCTGCTCCGCCGAGATTTGCACGGGCGCGGCATTCTTGTTTTTAATCTATTCATGTGATGAATGTAAGGGTATTGTTGGCTGGTTATTATTGCTGTTCTTTCTGGAGAACTGTTAAATGCAATTGAGCTGATGAGCGAGTGTTGATGTGTTGCATCCTTGCCTTGGGGGTTGCTTTGTCCATGGTGATGGAGAGGGAGGAATGAGTGAGGGGGACTGAAGAACAAAGGAGGGTCCAACGATGAACAAAAAACCGATCATTAAAAACTGAGTGACGTCATAAATTTTTTTCTTTAATATGCAGTTATGCTATGCGAAAAGTTGGAGGTAACCTCCCAGAACCCAATGGCTCTGACGCCTAGAAGGCGTTTTCCTCCTCCTCGTATTCAAATTCGCCCTTGGCGAGCTCGACCTGGAAGGCCTGGATAACATGGTCGCAGAGATCGGCCAAGTCGTCTAATCCCTTGTACATGGCATCTGCTGCTGTTGTGTTGTCGGAGGTCTGAATCCTGACGTTTGTCCTGGCTTCTGAGGGATGGGGAATCGAGTATGAAGCAAAGTCGACCTCAGAGCTATTATTGTCAACAGGAGATATAAGTACAATATGACGTTAGTACGGCGGATGCTGATAGCTTCCATGACACTGCAGATGAACATATTCATTCGTCTGACTGCTCTGTGATATCCATGAAATGGTGTGTCAAGTGCGTCGTGGTGCATACTTCTTCATAAGAGCCCAGCGGAGCGCGTTTCCGAGGGTGTGGTCCTCATCCTGTAAGCAAAAGGTGGCGCACTGGGGCTCAATCATAGTTCCTGGGACCTATCCGAGCAAGTACCATATAGGAAGTAAGGAGTTAACAATAGGTTCGGATACCCTCCAGACTCATTCCCTAGTATGAAGCACTCCTTCGTCTGTCGATTGACCCTCACTCTTGTGTAAGAGGAGAGCAAGTCTTGCTGTGTTGAGCAAGGGGTCCAGTGGTGTGACTTACGACGGAGACCTTGCCGGTGTCGACCTCGATTTGGTCCTCGTCCATGCGGCTAACAATTGTAGACATTGCTGTTATATGTGATGTGTATTTGTGTTGGTTGGAGGTGTCGTTGTGGTTGTTGGTTGCTGTTGTTGTGATGAGTTGAGACGGGCGAAGTCGAAGTGGTTGTTGAACAGCAGTTGAAAGAAGTGAATGGTGAACCAAAAAAAAAAAAAGTTGATCTCCAAAACATTGATGGTGGCTTAGCTTATTCGTATTTTATTCAATAGCTGACTGATTAAGGCAACGCTATAGTGATGGCTAAAGACGCGATTAGAAGGCCTTCTTCTTCTCGTCCACGCTCATACCGCCGGGTCCGAGAGTGACAAGGAGGAGCAAACCACCCATGATCGAAAGAGTCTGGAAAAAGTCGTACTTGAGGAAATCCTTCTGTGAGTGCGAGCTGTCGACAGACCACCAGTTGTTGACAACGATGTTGAACACCGACAAGAACAACACTAAAAACATGGCTGACAACTTGGCCTTGAAACCCACAGCAATCATGATGCAGGCAGCCAGGCCCACAACCGACGCAATCATCCTCGACAAAGTCCACGATCCATGGAGGGCGAAACCAACGAACAGGAAGATAAGGAGAACTCGGCCAGCGAGTTGGAAGTAGGTCCTCTTGTTGCTCTCGGTCATCGAAGGGAGCCCTGCGAACAATTGACGGCGCTTGCTCAGACTGTCAGAGACGACCATCAAGAGACCACCGATGACGGATAGGTTGCGGAGGAAGAAACTGGCGTCGAAAATAAGACCGTAGCCTAGTGCCTGTGTCACGACAACGCCAAAGAGCGCCCCGGCGGCATATTCTGTGTGTTTCCTTGCAATCACCAGCGTCGAGCAAACCAGCATCGTCTATTGAGGTATTGTATTGGAACGAAGAGAAAAGTCAGTTAACATTCCTCTTCATGATGGTGCTTGTCCCAGGGTCAAACAGTAGATCCGTGCAACCCTCTCACACCCTTCCCTGAAAATGCTAACATGGTCGCCCTCTGTCTCCTGCTCTCAATCTTCTCTCCTCGCCTTGTCTTTCCTTCCTCACCCCCTCTCTTTCTTTGTTGGTCTTTGTTATCACTGTTGGTTTCCCTGTCTCAACTGGCCCCTTATTTTTTTTTCTTTTTTTTACGCTTCCCTTGAACTTTGGGCTATGTCCAAATCGCAGCCCAACTCAAAGCTGCTCACGTCCTTGAACAACAGTTAAAAAAAGCAACTTACGAGGACGTTGGCGATCAGGAAGAAGTGACTGAGACCCCAAGGAAAGCCGCGGTGACGCTGGAGGTAGAAGAGCTGGTCTCCAAATTGGGTCGAGATACGGAGAGCATCCTCGAGAAAAGTGACAACGATGAGGAAGCGAGCGATGGCAGGGATATATGGCTTCAAGGGCTGACCGATCTTGTCGATCACCTCCTCAAACTTGCGCGAGTACTCCTGTACAATATCCATGTTGTGTCTGTTTGTTGGGTTGGGGTCGTGAGGTGGGTTGTTGTGTTCCTTTGGGTAAGTCTATGAGTTCAAGGGTAGGTCGAGTGGAATGAGTCCCATGAGAGAAATGAGTTTGCCTGTTAGTTTTACTTCATTCCTTTTCTTTCAAGAGAAAGTATGTCGAGAGTCGCGACGAACAATAGTGGCTATGACAATGCGAACAAAAGCATGTTGATAACGATGGCCATGGCGAGAAGAATACTTGCCTTTAGTTAGCGAAGAAGAGTGTCTTTTAAGGTGTCTGGGTATGAGTGTATGTGCGTGAGAAAGAGAAGGGGGGTAAGGGTAAAGTGGAGAGAAAGGAAGGGAGAAGGAGAGTAAAGAAAAAAGAGAAAGAAAGAAAGAAAGAAAGAGAGGAAGAAGAAAAGGAGTGAGTGAGACTGATAAAGGACCGCCATCACCCATCACCATCAATCAGAAACACCAGCACACGGTATAAACACGGTGCATTATATGCGAAGAGTGCTCGCCCCTTGTCTGCCACTTATGTCAACTTTACTTGACATCGCAGACATCCGAGCGGAGACAAAGGCATATGTGGGATATGGTATGTAATCAAATTACTTTCTGCTAATTGAATCAAAGGCAAATCAGGGCCAGCCCCTTCGTGTGATTTTTGTTATTGTCGAATTGCACTGACAAACAAACAATAGCCGGCATTTGCTTGTCACCAAGGCGAGGCAACAATGAGCAAAGGAACCATCCCTTTACCATCCCTCCAGTCATATCCGCCTCCATCCTTCCTCAGAAAAGTCGATCATTCTCGACCAAGAATAGTGGCTTCGAGCCGCATTCATTTGATCTTCCTTCAACAGTAAGTAATGCTCACGGCCACTCTATCGCAACTATATCGTCCCCTTCATCCCCTCAATCATTTATCATCCTCCAACGGCCAATCTATCTCCTATTAACAAAAGTCAACACATTACTCACCCATCATAGTCCATCACAAAGTATATTCGTTTGTTCGTTTGTTTGTTTTGACGTGGCGCCGACAAAAAAAAGAGTTTTCGATGAATGGAAAGGACCCTGGTATAACCCAATGCCAAAAAGGCCAGGCCCAATCAACTATCGAGTGACAGGGAGAGCAGGAGGGACGATAGAGAATGAATCGAGCGTTTGCTGCTTCACTGCAAAACAAACACGCCATCCCACAACTTTCACATCCGTCCACCCCGGGCTTCACTTTCGGTTCCCTTCCCTCTCGCTCTGACTATTCCCATGATCCGATACGTTGAGCGCCATAAACAAACACAACGGAGAGGTAGGGGTCAATCCCCCTTGACAACCCTGCCTGTCTGCCTATCCCTCATGCTCTCTTCTCGGTTTTCTCTTTTGCTCTTTAACCCTGCATTTATCTTCTCAGGCACCCATTCGCATCAACAAATAAACACAAACATTAAACACACCTTTAGCCCTCCCTTTGCTTGCTTACAGAAACCTTGACCCTTTTGAAGCTGTCAACAGATGGAATCATGCGAGCCATTGTCGAGTGTATGGCACCATTCCCATGGACTCTGTCCAATGGGAACGTCCCAGCGGCAACGGGTGTGGGAAAGACAGCACAAAGCAACAGGGTCAAAAGAGGAGGAGAAAGGGACGCCCACTCCCTTCTCACCGTCATCAGAGCCCACTCCCTCTTTATTCACACACTAATCGAGTCCTGACAGCCTTACCTGTTGCAAAGGACGAATGACCTATTTTACATCCAAGAGCAGTACATAACCTTACAGACAGTCTACCGTACCTCAAAGGCGCAAACCCCTAGCTCTTATTTATCGCGTGTTTGATTACCCACTTTGGAGTTGCTTGGTATGTCGTTATTTCAGTTTGCATCTCTGCAATCGGCCGTGGACTGAACTGGAGACCAAGGGTGTCCGTGGCCAGTAATTGGTTAATTGTGCTCGTTTGGCACGCGACTGTACATGAAGGCTGTTTGATTGTCCCTGGGGGTTTGAAGGACGAGAGTGGGGGAAAGGTAAGGGAGCGGGCTTACTTTAACCGCGACTGAAAGCAAAGTACTAGCACGCGTCCATCAGGCACAAGGCAGACGCGGTTCTAACGGAACGGACTGTCACTCCCACTCCTCAGCCACCATGCTTTCTCCTAAGGGATGAGAGAAGCAGGGAAAAAATAGGAAATTGAGAGGTGTGGCGCAATCATCGCATTAGAATCTCATTTTCTTCTTTCTTTGCTTCCCTCGTGCTCTGTCTCTCTCTCTCTCTCTCTCTCTCTCTCTCTCTCTCTCTCACTCTGTTCCGTCACCGACAAACAAGACAAGACAAGCACGCCAACCGTTATGTCAGCCAACCTGCAACATCTCAAGGCATACCTCCGTCAATCACTGGATTCGGGAAGTGGGTTCGTCAACCTTCTCGTCGGCCAGACCAACACCAGAATCAACTACTAACACCTACCACCGCCCCAGAAACAACAACAGCAGAATCAACAGTGACAACCTTTACCAACCCACGACCATCACAGCTCCAACTACCACCAGAACTCTGGACCCAAGTCTTCTCCTTCTTATACACCTCCCAACTCGGCTCCATCGCAGCCGTCAACAAGACTTGGCGGGACCTCGTGCAAGGTCTCCAAATATGGAGAGGCATCTCTTCCAAAGCGGGGCTACTGGTTCAATCCAAGTTTTTCTTGACAGATTATGACGGAGTCCCAGGCCATTTTATAGTAGTCCAGGAAAAGTCGCAGGAGATTTGTGAGGACTGCTTTGGGAAGTTTGCGTTGCAGGAAGTTGAGCGCGTTCTACCGATTGGGATTGATATCGACAAGTTTGGTACTATGAACAGGAACAGGAACAGCAACAACGACGGCGACGGCGAAGACAAGGATAACAACAGCAATTCTGCACCAGGAACAGCTCCAGTCCTTCCAGATCTCATGATCCAGATGTGACGCCCCTGCCGAATCGACTATTACATCAAGCTCCCAGAACCCATCCCCAAACGCTTAGACCACTTCCACTGCAAAGACACCTCCTACAAAATCATGCCCAGGATCGACAGGAAGACCGCTTGTACGAAACACGGCCTCTCAGACGCCCACATCCGCCTTCTCCCCTCCTAGGATGCCCTTTTTTTATGCCCCTCCATCCATGTAAACGAAGACAGTTACCAACTCCGTCGTGACGGACAAAGACGACAGATGCGCAGGATAATTTTCCAAGAACCAGATGTCCTCCAACTAGCTCGAAAAGTCCACGGAGGCGATGTCGGGATCGCCTACTTTTGGACCACCAAGAAATTTTATTATCGCAGGCTATGGAACCATTCGGAACCACAGGATGATGCCGCTAAACGGCGACAGCTTTATTTGAGGTCGTTGATGTATGATCGAGGGATTGCGCCCCCGATACGGTCGGTTGCTTGTGATGCATTTGTGGAGAGCGGTCAGGGGGATCCGAAGGAGATTGTGGAGGAATTGGGTGGCGGGGATTGGTTTTTGAGCCGTACCAACTATTATCTTCCAAACAAGATTGGGACTCGACAGATCAAGCTTCGCCTATTACCAGATCAACGTCAGACTCGACTTCAAGAATTGTTCCATGGTCAAAAAGGAGATGTGAAAGAAGAAGTGGAGGAGGAGGAGGAGGAGGAGGAGGAGGAGGAGGATGGAGAGTGGTACAAACTATCGGTCCTCAACAACTGGCTGCAAGCCCGTCTCGAAGACGGACTCTACCAATCCTACAAACTCGACCCCAAGGGACCCGAAACTCCACCTGAATCGATATGGGTCATACTGCCCTCGTCCATGCTGCAGGGTGTATCGTCAAGGTCTTGGAGGATGAGAGGAGAGGGAAGGAGTTTGGGGTGGAAGAGTTGGAAGAGTTTGGGTTGACGATAGAACAGATTAGGGAGATGATCGATAGGATGGTAGGTAGGGGTCGTGGTTCGGAGGAGGTTTTTATGTTGTCGGCACTCCTTGAGGAAGAACTCGGGGATGGGTGGGATACGGTGGTGGTTCAACGAGTCAAGAACCTTCTTCAGTCTCACCTATCCTAATCCACATGTAAATAAACAAAGTCACTCACACCTGCAGCATTGTACAAGCAAAAGTAACAGAAAAACACGAGGCGGGAGCATGAACATGTTGAAAGTGTGTGTTATTGGAAGAGCACAAAAGCAGCAAAGAGAAACAAAATGCTACAGGTTTAGACGGCCTCGGTAGCGATGGCTTCCACCTCTTGCGCTCCCGCTTGCGGTTGTTGGGTTTCATCCGCGGCATCAACAACAGCAGGATGATCCTCCTTGGGTGATTCTTCGGCGACAGGGTCTTGAACGTGGTCATGCTCGTGGACATGAGCATGGGCATGGGCGGCAGCACCAGCAGTCATCACGCCCAGAGTCAACTTGGCGTTCAGCTCCTCGACCTCCTTGATCAACCGGACATTCTCGTCAATACGCATCGCGCCCAGAGTGATCTTGGCATTCAACTCCTCGTTCTCCCGCAGCAGTCTAGCGTTCTCCTCCTGCAATCGTGCGCATGTATCCTGCAACTCGCCGACGTAGGCTTTCTTCTTCTTACGACACTCCTTGGCCGCCACTCGGTTCCTCAACAGTCGACGTTGCCGCCTCTCGTCATTCGTCATGTTGCGACTGCTCGTCCGCTTGCCGCTCAATGTCTCGTCTTCGTCCTGAGAGGATGCAGAGTCGTTTCCAGCGTCGGGGTCCGCAGTGGCGACGTCTGCAGCAGCTGCTGGCACGGGGATCGAGGCGATGATGCCTTGGACAGCAGCGTCCTGTTGCTGTTGGGTAGTGGGGGTGGTCTCTGGTTGGGGTGTTGGCTGTTGAAGCTGCAGGTTGTTGTGAAGAGTGCTGACGGTCAAGGGCGACTGTGCCAGGGCACTAGCCAGTGCACTCGATGTTAGCTGCTCCAGGGTTGCTTGGTTGTTGGGATTGGTTGAGAAGGAAGCCATCTGTGCCGGGTCCATCTTGGCCACCTGATGGATCCGCTCCAGGTCGGCCATGATACTCGAGTGGAATGTGGCACTCAGGTGATTCGTCTTGGCTGCTGCGGTGATGGCTTCGTGGATTGTAGGGCTGACACGAGCAGCGGCGTCGGTTGTAGTGGTATCCTTGGCGACAACGGAGGTGGATTCTGCAATGGTCGTCTCGGCAACTATGGGGGTGGCCTCTTCTGCCAGGGGCGTATCCATGTTGGTATCATCTGAATCAACAGTAGAGATCTGGACTTCGACAGAGGTCGTGTGACTCGGGCTGTTGTGGGTGCTTGTATTGAGGCTGCTGTTGTTGGAGATGATACCGCTAGCCTGCGCAGCTGCATTGGTGTTGTTGTTGAGATCTTCCTGAAGCTTGCGGAGCTTGACGCTGTCCTCGATAGCGTCCTCGTCGTCCTCGGCGGCCCGCTTGAGTCGTGCGCTGGCCGAGACGAGGCTCTCGATGGCCTCGAGGCTGTCGATACGGAGGGCATCGAGGTGGTGCTGTGTGGTAAATGAAGCGGTGCTATCCCCTGCAGCCACGGCGGCGACGATAGCGGCATTGACGGCGTTCACTTCCTCGGCCATGGTTGTTGTGGGAAGGTTTGAGTCGTCATAGGATGGGAGAGTCATGGTTGTTGATATATGGTGGTAGTGGTGGTGGTGGTGGTGGTGGTGATGATGATAGTGTAGTCTTGGCAGAGTGAAGAGGAGGACGGTGTGCTATGCTATCAGCAGTGCCACGGAAGTATCGAAAGAGACCAGTCAGCAACAGTGCGCACTTCAAGTACAGCCTCCATGGGCATAGTATTGATGCCTGGAAGTGAGGTTGAGCATGTCCGGTTGTCTGGTGGGGTGTGTTGATGATGACTTCATAAACAGCAGGTGATGATGTTGGATTGATTGGAGTTGTTGTTGCAGTTTGTCATTAACGATGATCCCAGAGCAAAAGCCTTTTTGTTGATTGTGTTCGCTCGACCAAGGAACAAACAATAGCTAAGAGATGGGCAAAGCTGTGTTTCCTTTTACTCTTTCCTTTCTTACCTTTCTGACGTCGACAATGGGATTCGTCACCGGATGATGATGATTGGGGAAAAGAGTGAGGTGTGGAATCAAGGCAACCTGCAAAGGTCCCCAACAGAAAAAAAAATACAAAGACGTCTGTCTTTGTTATCCTATTCGCCGAATCACGTGCATCTTTGTTTAATCTCTACTACCTATTTATTACGCTATCTTGCTACACAGTGGTGCCACCGCGGAAGAGGACAATGTTCATGCCGTCAAAGGGCAGAAACTGCCTGCTGACCGGTTCAAACTGGCTAGGACCACCACCACCACCACTTTCATGCATAAAAGTGTCCTTCTCTGTAAGGTACTGGATGAAATCAAGCGTAGTCTTCACCTCGCCACCATCGATCAGTCTCCGGTCAGGGTTTTCGTGTGCAAAGACACAGCAGGGGACAACTGCAAACGGTTTGTTGTGCTTGAGCGCCATGGTCACAATTGGCTCTGTTGCCTGATCTGGGTGCATGCCAATCAAAATAGACGCACTCTCAAACACATCCTTCTGGTCCACTGCAAATTGCTCGTCCAGGATCGTACACAGCCTCGGAACCACAAACTGCGCCTCCTGTTCCTTTTTGATCCGCCGTCTCTCCTTCACTCTGTCAACTTCCTCATCCTTCTGCTCATCCTCCTGTTGGTTCTCTGCACTAGAAGTAGACTGGACAGGGGACCAGCGCTGGTGAATGTTGCCATCGCCTCCTGCCTCAATGTCAAGCTGCCTCTGAATGACATCCATAAGATTCCGCCGCTGATATGACTTGTCTTTGCGGACATTAGGCTCGACAACGGTTGAATGGACCCCAAACATATGCTTGAGGAACAATGAGATCTCGCCCTTACCACCAGCAACATCCAGAACTCCTGACCCAGAATTGAGGTACTCTCGCCCAAACGTATCGACCAGCCAACGACAGAAAATAAACGCCCGCTGAGAATGTGGGACCTTGGATGGGATCGAGTGTGGGTCGTCCTGAAGTTTGGATCTCTCTCGCCGGGCCAGAGTCCGTTCCCTCACCCACATTTCCTGTATCCGGGCATAGTCATCTCCGGTCGGGTGTAACTTCTTACAGTCCTGCTTCAGGCACTTTTGCGAGTTGATCCAAAACTTGCAATAGTCCGTCCATACTGGCGTTGAGGCGGTTGCTGTTGTTGGTGCTGTTGGGCGTGTTGTTAAAGTAGGGGATGTGTTATAGGTGGAGGGTGAGGCAGTGACTTTGTTCTTGCTGTTGTTGTTGGTGGTGTTGACTTGCTGTTTGAGTCCCATGGCGGGTTCGGTGGGGAATGGGTCGTCGCCTGGCCATGCCTTGAGGACGGTGAAATCGGTAGCCTGATAGACCTCATGCTCCCGACAAGCTTGCTCGTCCTGGGATGCGTCAAAGACCTCGAGGTTGATAGTGTCTCCACAACGGACCTTTTTCCAGCAGGAGACCAGATCGTGATCTGTGAGTGACCGAGGCAAGTTGGAGCGAGTATCGTCTGAACGGAATAGGATTGTGCACCTGTTGTTAGGTTCTTGTGTCCGCAGGTCGATGAAGAAGAGTCGTTTGTAGCATCGTCTTGAGTGGACGATCTGTCCTGTGAGCCGTATTGGTGAGTGTTGTTGTTGTTCGTTGATGTCCTGTGGTTGTTTCTGTGCTTGGACTTGTTCGTGATGAGCGGTTGCAGTTGGCATGGTTGTTTGGGAGTGTGTGTGTGTGTGAGATGAAGGAGTGTAAAAAGTAAAAAAAGTAAAAAAAGTAAAAAAAGTTTTTCCCGATGGTCGTTCGTTTCTTCGTTGTGGGAGACAAAGGGAGGCAAAGGGAGGCAAAGGGAGACAAAGGGAGACAAAAGAGGACAAAGGGACAACGGTCGTTTTTCCCGCCAGCCAATCAAAGCGCATCATTGCAAATTGGCCATTGTCCCTTTCGTTCCTGAGCTCTCCTTTCCCTTTTCTCCCTCTATGTTCTCCTTAGCCCGGTTTGGGTCGCTGGATTCTTTTTGTTCGTTGTACCTTTCATCCTTTTTCCTTCTTTACCCATTCCCTCCCTTCCCTTCCTTCTCTTTTGCACTCTAACCACCCTTCTCTCTCCTTCCTCTCTCTCTCTCTCTCTCTCTCCCCTCTCTCTCTCTCTTCTCCTCACTTTCATCCACTCAAGAGTGCGAGTGGTGTCACCTCTTCTTTCTCCCTTTCCTTTCCCCTCTCCGCCTACAGAGAGCAACTTTCCATCATCATCATCTCGCGCACCTTGCATCTTTTTTATTCATCATCTTCCTTTCAGTCGTCACCCTTGACTGTCGTGACACTCATTCAACAGTAATAAGACAAGTGACCACCTGGGACTAATAGGTATGCTGCCTCACAACAACAACAATAGTCCTTCTGACGCTTGGAAGCAAGGAAAACAATAGCAACCGTTCTCACCAAATAATGCTCAACAATCAAACCTCCTCCTCCTCCTCGTTTTTTTCATATAATTTGTTCCTGCTCATAACGTATATATACAATAGACACCACCTGCCTGCCTGCACAGACAAATAACAGCAGGTTCACCTCTCAATGGTTGGCTCTTCCCGATACAATGGCCCGGGCGCTGCTCTCCGTGGCCAGACTCGTGCCCCCAGACAGCGCTCCCGTCCAGGCGACGACAGCTCCTCTGTCATCAGCAATGACTACCCCGTAGATTCTTCCCCCTCCGTAAGTACCCCCTTCCTCACTTTACTCTGGCAGGTCCTGAGTCCCCTCTTTGATCTGCAAACGACGCGGCTCATTTATTTTTGTTTAATTAAAACATAATGTCTGGACCATTGGTCCGGATCTTAGTCTGAATACTAAAGCCCGCTCTAATATATATATCATAACCATTATTCCATTCCTCCTTCCAACGAAAAGATCGTAGGGGCAGACCGACAGCGTGGCGCAACGGACAGGCAAGATTCAGGAGCACCGACATCTGGCCATCCAGACATCATCAGCCCCCGCCCTTTCCAACAATCCCACCAACGCCAGTGGTCCGACACCTCGTCCCTCCAAGGTGGCCCTCTCCCCCCTCGCCATCATCAACCTTATCAGGGATCTCATAACAGCAACTACCAGTCTCCTTACATGGGTCCTTCATCTGCATCACCTGTCTCTCCACCTCCTCGCTCCTCCTCGCCTTCTTCCTCCTCGGCTTATTTCCCCAATCAACACTCTCACGGTAACAATCCAAGGCAGCACGGACACGGTGGCGGACAAGGCAACAGCCCTTACAACAGCGGTCCTCGTTCTGCAGCAGGCAATGGATACAACAGCCACTATGATCAGAGCCCCATGATGTCGCCCGGCAGTCCCGACAGCTGGCGATCACCTCCCTCTGGTCCTCGCGGTGGTGGTGGTGGCTACACCCCACAAACTCAATACGCACCTTCGACTCAGTATCAGCCACAGAGAGATGATTATGGTCGGTCCAGGGGAGGATACCCCCAAGAATCCGATTCGGACGATTATTACAGTCGCCAAGGAGGAAGCGTCGTTTCGGGCTACGGTCCTGGACCAAGACATGATCAGGGTCCAGGCCGTTATCAGCAGGACGACCGCGGTCGGACTCTGAGTTACTCGACTTCAATTGCTTCCAACACATCGTCCGTCCTTGCAGCGCGCCGTGCCAGGAATGAAAGGAACGAGCGGAGCCAACGCCAGAACAACGCCCAGGCTGACGAGTGGCTCACCTCCCCTACAGGAACAGAGAACGACACCGAGATTCTTCCTTGGAGCGACGATGAGGCAATTGTCACCAAGGCTATCCGCTCACCCCCTACTGGATACTCGAACGAGAAGCATCTGCCACCCATTCCACGAGGAGGCGGAGGAGGAACTCAACAGCTTCCAGCTCAGCAGACCAAGGATATGTATTCTGACCAGCCTACGTCTGGCCGCAAAATGGACTCGGACATGATCAAGGTCGAGGTTGGTGGTACCACTACAGTCATCCCTACATCACCCGACGCTGGACCAGGCATCAACTTTATCAAGAACATCAGCCCTCCCAACTCACTACCTACCAACTATGGTGCTCAATCCCAAGGACTAACGGGTGCCAGTCAATCCATCACAGGAGCAGCCACGTCTCTGAGAGCTGCAGCAGTGTTTAGTGAGCAAAAGACCAAGGTAGCGGAGCAACAATCACCCACCACATCTCGCCCCTTCAATAGACGCACCTCTTCAGAGTGGGGAGGGCAGCGTATCAGTTTGGACGACATGCTCGCAGCTCCTTCTCCTTTGACCCGTGATGACCAGCAGCAAGCCAAGAACAGCTGGCAGGCATCTCCACCACTGCGCGCGCGGGGGGGTGGGTCTTCCACTTTCACCGACATGAAGAGCAAGCGCCGCAGTAGTTTGCCCGACAAGTTTGTCCCCGACTGGAACGAACACGCCCAGGCATGGAGGAGTAGCATTGGTCAGAAGCGCACTTCTTGGTTGGCTTCTGGCAAGGGCACCCACGACGACGACGACCAAAAGGAGGTGAAGGGCAAGGACGACTTTCTCAAGGAAAACCGGCAATGGGCTGACAGGATGGGAGACGTCAAGAAGGCAGCTCCCTCGGATTCTAAGCGATTCTCGGATCAGAGTAGCCTCCACCGTCGTTCTCGATCATGGTCTCCACGTCCACCAATTTCTCGCAGCGGCTCCAACAAGCAAAAGGACACTGCCTTGGGTCGTCGGGACTCTCTAGCCTCGACCCTTTCGAGATCTAGCAGATCTAGATCCCGTTCGCATTCTCGTTCGCGCTCAAGATCCTCTGGTCGCCGTTCACGCGACTTTTCACGATCAAGATCCAGATCTAGACCCCCTCTGTCCAAGGGAAAGGCTACATCCAGGTCAAGGTCAAGATCCATTTCAAGAGACAGGCGGTCAAGAGGCAGCAGGAGTTCCCGCTTCAGCTCCCTGTCAAGATCCCGTTCTCACTCTCCCGCACACTCCAGGTCGCGTTCAAGATCACCTGCCCATTCCAGGAGATCTCGCTCCCATTCTCGGTCACCTTCACCTGCTAAGAATATAAACGACATTGTGCCAGGAGGACGCCCTTCAGTAGATCTGGATACTTCTCGTCGCAAGTCGGATCGTTACTCGTGGGAGACCAACGACAACAACAACAGCAACAACAACAACAAGGAGCTTCAGCGCCTCTCATGGGAATCGGCTTCTCCCATGCCTCTGCCATTAACAAAGGACATGCCCAAGGAGGATGTTGTCCGAAAGCCCTTGGGAGGAGGTCTTTTGAGCGACTCGGACTCCGACAGCATGGACTCACCTCCTCTTAAAGTCCAGTACTCTCGTCGGCCCATCCACGACGACGACGACGATGACGACAAATCAACCTTTTCGTCCAAACATCCAGTATCCATCATCTCGACCTTCAACCTCCCACCAGCCACATCTCCAACGTCGCCGCCCGTGATGCCACCTCTTCCCGTCCCATCCTCCCCAACTGATACAAAGAAGGCCAATGGCATGATGGGAGCGTCTACCAGAGACTACCTCGACTACAAACCCATGGCGCCTCCTCCAATCCCCAACTCGCCCCCTCAGGCTCCTCAACAAAACCAGACCATGATGACCTCCGTCACCACCGTTTCGATTGAGGCCACCACCGCGACTATCTCCAGTTCCAGAGTGTCTGTCGACAGCTTCAAGAACGTCCCTGGTCAAACTGGCGCCAACAACAGCAATCGTAACTTGGACTTGACTGACACGGAGCTTGACACTGATTTTGATACTGACAATGAGTCAGTGGTTCCTAGTCGTCGTAATGCTCCTCCCACACCTATCAAGACCACCCAATTGACGCGTAACGAGTCTACAACGAGCTCGATCAGCGTGTTATCTGCGCGGTCCAACAGGTCGTTCATGTCGTCGTCCTCGTCGATCCTGTCTGGATCGCCTCCACCTCAGAGAGCCCCTCCACCCATCCCAGGTTCTGACAGCGGAGCCGGAGGAGCTGCTGCTGCTGCTGCTGCTGTTGCCGTCGTGGGAGCAGCGGCCGTTGTTGGATCAGGACTGTTTGGTGGCGCAAAGCGGTCAGCCAGTGGTGGAAGTGCCCGCGGTGTCCGATCTGGTCTGAGTAAGCAGATTCTGCCTCCTGCCGGACCACCACCACCACCACCTCCCTCTTCTGACATTGGCGCCACAGCCAACAAGCCCTCGTACGGTATCCTGCCCCCACCGATTCCGTCGTCCTTTACGGAGCCATCCTCGGTCGCTACCGTGGCTTCGGTTGCTGTAGTACCAACGACTGCTGCCATCCAGATCCAGATGCTTGCCGATGACGACCAGAGTCGCTCGCAGATGGGCGCTATTTCAATGGAGACCGACGACCGCCTGCTGACGCGCCTCAACAACCGTGTTGCGCAGCTGGAGAAGGAGCTCGAGTTTGCTCAGCAGGACCTCGAGGCCAGCCAGGACGATGCCATCGAGTTGCAGAACAAGGTCCGCGATCTGGAGCTGGAACTGGAGGAGCAGTCGGCCAAGGCAGGCGCGATCTCAAGCGAGCAACACCGCGGTCTCGAGCAAGAGCATGCTTCGGCCAAGTCTGCGTGGGACACCGAGCGTGACCAGCTTCTCAAGAGCCTTGAACAGCTTCGTGAGGACCATTTGGACGATCTTGAGACCAATCTTGATCTACAACGTAGTAAGCATGGCCGAGTCTTGGACGACCTCAAGGCGGAACATGCGGCGGCCTTGCTGGCAGAACAGGATCTCCTTCACGAAAAGCACACCCGAGCCCTGGACGATCAAGAGGACCGATTGAAGCGTGAGCACCAGGATGCGATGGATGAGCTTTTGGGACAGCTGGACACGATGCAAGCCAAGCATGCGGATGCCCTGCGGGATCAACAGTCCGAGCATGAAGCCAAGGCACTCGAGAGTGATGAGAGGTGGCGATCCCAGCTGGAGAATGCAGATGATGCTCTCGAAAACAAGTCTAAGGAGCTGGTTGCCATTGCCGTGGCTCACCAACAGGCACTTGAGGCTCACGAGCACCAACTTTCCGAGAAGGATCTGGTCTTGATCAAGTCGACTGCGGACCGTGAGCAGGCTGTCAAGGATCTGGAGCATCACAAGAGGGAGACGGAGCAGGCACTGGATCGTCTTGAGGCTGTGTTGGTCGAGGACAAGCAGGCCCATGCCGAGTTGATCAAGGACCTCGAGTCCAAGTCCATGAGGCTGGAGGGCCGCATTGCCGAGCTCGAGGGCGAGCTCCAGGAGCTGATGCAGGATAACGTCCAGATTGTCGAGGAGATGCAGAGACGTGAGGACTCCTGGGCTGAGGAGCGGGCTATGCTTCGTGCCAGCGCCAGTGACGGTAGTCAGGATCAAGATGCTAGGGTTCAGGAGTTGCATGAGCAGTTGATCGCGATGACAGAGTCGAAGCGACAGGCCGATTCGCAGTTCCAGGGCATTGTCAAGGGTCTGTTGAGAGAGGCTTCGACCAATAAGAAGGAGCTTGAGTCGAGCCGTAAGGAGAATGAGTCGAACCGTGAGCAGCTGGAGTCGCACCGTGAGCAGCTGGAGTCGAACCGCGAGCAGCTTGAACAGGAGCGCCAGACTCGGGAGGAGATGGTACAGCAGTTGGAGACGATCCATCAAGAGCTTGTCGGCATTCAGCAGGAGCGTCAGGCCCTCCAACAAGAACGCCATACCCTTCAGCAGGACAACGAGTCCCTCCACCAGCAGTACCAGTCGCTTCAGCAAGAGATCCAATCGCTGCAAGAGGAGAGGCACTCACTTCAGGAGAAGGAGAGATCGTTGCTTGAGCAGAAGGATCATGCTGAGCAAAAGTGGAACACTCTTGAGCGCAGCCAGCAGGATCTTGAGAGCCGGTACGAAACCCAGAAGCGCAGTGGCAGCGAGGCGGTGATGGCGATCCAGAAGGAGCTCGAAGACCGGTTGAAGGAATTGGAGCAGGTTCTGTCGAACGAGCAGGCCAAGGCTCAGGACCTCGAGAGGGCTCTGAACCAGACGCAGGCCAAGGCCAGTAAGGATATGCAGCAGGAGCAGTTCACGGCCCAGACACGTTTCGATCAGGTCGAGGCCGCTTTGAAGGCCAAGGAGGCGCAGGTGAAGAAGCTTGAGCAAGAGGCCGATGCGACGATCAAGATCCAGACGGATCTGTTGCAGAGCATGGAGCGTGATGCGGCCAATTCGAGCAAGAAGCTGGAGGCGAGTATGATGGGCAAGATGAAGGAGATGGAGAAGATGTTTGAGGAGGAGAAGCAGAGGTTGCAGCATCAGGTCCACCAGGAGCTCAGCCAGAGTTATGAGCAAGAAACTCTGGAGAGGGAGACGCGTCTTCAGCAGCAGTTGGATTCGATTCATCAGCAGGAGTTGTCGATGACCCGGCAAGAAGTCTCGAGCAAGTACGAACAGCAGTTGCAACAGTCGAAGCAGCAGTTTGAGCAACAGTTGCAGGCGTCGAAGGAGCAGGTACAGGTGTTGAAGCAGCAGTATGAGCAGCAGATGCAAGCCATCAAGCAGCAGCAAGAGGCTGCATTGGAGCAGACGACACAGTCGCTCGTGCAGCAGTCCAAGGCGATGGAGGAGCAACTGGAGAAGCTGAAGGAGGAAGTCGAGAGTGAGCGGTTAGAACGTGAGGTCGCTGTCAAGGATCGTACTTACCTCGAACGCCGTGTTGTGGGTCATGACCGTCGCCAAAAGGAACTCGAGAGTGGTCTTGAGGCAATTCAGGCAGAGTTGGACCAGTCCAGGGCCAAGTTCGGTCAGGACCTGCAGGAGGTTGAGCGGTCCAAGATGAGTCTTGAGCGCAAGTTGGGCATGGCCAAGGAGGATGTTGAGGAGTTGAATAAGATCCGGGATGAGCTTGAGGGAGACCGGGCGGAGCTCAGAAAGGAGTTGTCGCGTCTGAAGAAGGCTGGTCCTGCAAAGGGATCTGGTGGTGGTGGAGGTGGGGATAATGCGGCGTGGGAGGCAGAGAAGCGTGGGTTGAAGGATCAGGTGCGGGCGTTGGAGGATGAGGTTCAGATCATGCTTGAGAAGAACATGAACCTCACGATCGAGCTCAGCATGAAGTAGTTCTATGTCCTTTTTTGTTATTTATTATTCTCTGAAAGTTATTATCATAGATTTATACATTCGTCATTTAATTCAATACCCTTTCAGCAGAATAGACTGGATTCGTTTATTATCATTCCACTCTTGACTTTTTTTTTTTCATGTTTGTTATTTGTCTGGAGCGCTCCTGTGTATAGTATGTAGGTATAGTATGTAGGTATAGTATGTACGCCTTGCTAGTACTGCATAACAAGTTGCAAGTTGCAAGGCACCGGTCTAGGAAGTAGCTAGCTCATAAATTTCCTAGTCACGCCTCTTGCCTCTTGATCGTGAGGTCCATCTCTTTCACGTGGAATTTGTAGCAGCCAAAGAGAAAACCTTCTTTTCCAGGTGTCACTGTCCACGGATCCCTATCCAACAGACTTCCTTGATGTGTTGCTTCACCGTCCTCGATCCATCATCCACACACACACGTATCCACCCTTCCTTCTTCTCCACACCCTGCGAGGACAAACCCGATCCCCCTGATTCCCGTCATCCCTTCTTCTCTTCTTCCCTTCTTCTTCCTCCCTTCTTCCCTTCTTCCCTTCTGGCCCTACTTTTTCCTTTTCTTCTTTCTTCTTCTTCTCCTCCTCCTTCTCCTTCTCCTTCTCCTTCTCCTTCCCCACTCTTCAGACTTCCTCGCCCTAGGCTGACCAGCCACTTCTCATTCAAACCAAAGTCATCCACATTCATCCTCCATCCTTCTTCAACCCACTCATTCACCTCCCCCCTCCTTCCTTTCCTCATCAACTCACCGACACACACCCACAAATGCTCGGACATATCGCCGGAAGACCCTCGCCCTCCTGGGATAAGATCCAAGCGATCGTCGTCCTCCTCATGAGGTAGGTAGTCTACACATACACGTCCCTTCACTCCCCGCTGCTCTTTCTTATGGCTCACTTTTGTCCCTTTGACTTGTGGAGAACCAGGACGCCCTTTTCTAAACTCAACCCTTTCCGCATCAACTTCAAATCAAACCAAATAGCTATGTCGCACTCAGGAAGGTCCCAGCAGCAGGTCCGCGTCCATTCCAGAAGCTCCATAACCTCCTGAAAACATATACGCCGTGGCAGATCCTCATCGGTGCCCTCACCACGTTGTACGCTGCACACCACGCCGATCTCCTCCTCGGTCTTACCCCCGCCGAACCCGAAAAAAAGATGGTACGCCTGTCTTTCTTCGCCTTGTTTCTCTCACATCTTCCCCATCTCCTATCTTTTTCCTGTCCTTCCTTCCTTCCTTCCTTCCCTCCTCAAACCATCTCAATTGCTCCCTTGCTTCATTCCATGCACATATTTTTTGCATCGTACCCCTCTTCCCTCTTCCCCCCCTTTTCAGAAATGCAATTCCCTCGTGCTTGTCCGTTGTTGTTGTTCCATCAGTCTTGCTGCTCTCTGTGTACATAATCCATCTTGTATACATCTCTGTGCCATGATCACTCTTCTCTCTTCCCGCTCTAACAACAAAAACATATCATCCAATACATCTTCAAACAGTTCTCGCGTAGGTACACGCCTGGATACACCAGAGGCCTCTGGATCCTCTCCGCCCTCGACGCAGGATTCTTCACCTCCCAAAACATCCGCCCCAAACCCCTCCGCGACACAATGTCCGCCATCTTTTCCATCTTCTACCTCTTCTTCCCTAAACGCGCCGTCGAGAAGAACAACATGATGTTGAAGGTCATCACGGCGACCCATATGCGTCGGTCCTGGGAGAAGATGTTGCACCCTGCTATTCGGTTGATGACCTGGATCAATGCGCCGAGGTTGGGGATTCGAAGGGAGATTGTAGTTCGGCTGTCGAAGGGCGAGGGGTATCATTCGGATTCGGAGGTTGTAGTCACGATCTTGTTCAAGGGTACCGAGGAGGAGTATGCTTCTTCTGAATCTATCATCCTCGACATTCCAGGTGGCGGGTAAGTTCTTTCTTTCTTTTTTATTTGTTTTTGTTTTTGTTTTGTTGGTTATGAGGATGGATTATTCTGTGAATGACTTGAGACAAGAGAGAGAGAGAGAGAGAGAGAAAGAGAGAAGCGGGATGAAAATATTGTGTTTACTTGCAAAAACATCAAGAGGAGTTGGTGGACACGATCTACTGCAAGTTACTAAACACGAGGGAGAGACAAACATCCACTAACCGTCCTCACCGATGAACCTGTAATAGATTCGTCGCCATGCGTCCTTCGTGTCATGCGGATTACTTGATGGCGTGGGCTGGACAGACAAATATCCCCATTATCAGCATCGACTACAAGAAGGCTCCCGAGTTCCCCTTTCCCCACGGCCTCAACGAGTGTTTCGATATCTACAAGTTGATCGTCGCAACCAAGGGAACCTGCATTGGACTGAAGGGCGCAGTCCAACCCCGCATTGCCCTCACCGGTGACTCTGCGTACGTTTTTTATGCAGCTTTTTCATATGTCATCGAAATGCACTTGAAGGATATGGACTAACATATCTGTGATTTTTGTCTGTGCATAATGAAATAGAGGAGGCACGTTCGCGGCGTCGGCGATGAACATGATTATCGAGCACCGCCCAGTACTTCCCAAGCCCGTGGGTCTGTTGATGGTCTACCCCTGCATGCACGTCGGTCTTGACTTCTGGATCAGCAACAGCGACTTGGCAGTCATCGAGGAAGAGATCGAGCGCGGACATATTCCTGAGGATATCCTGAAGGCGCGTCCTGGACGTGGAGATGGCATGACCCTGAACAGCAAGGCTGCCTTCATGGATGACCAAGTCCTTGGTTCTTCGTTCGTAAGTGTGTGTTTTTTTTGTATCTCTTTACTGTCGTGCCTGGACAAAGAGGAGAACTAACCATTGAGTTGCTCTTTCCAATGAACACAAAATAGCTACGTGCGTTGATGGTGATGTACATTGGAGGGGACACAAAGCTGGACCACAAGTCAAACTACCTGGTCTCACCCATCTATACACCGGATCACATCCTGGCACAATATCCCCGTACCTACATCATCACTGGCGAGAAGGACCCCCTGGTCGACGACTCGATTATCTTCATGGCCAAGATGCGTCGCGCCAAGCGCGCAGCCGGGGCAGATCTCGAGAGCGACACCCTCCGAATTGTCTCTGGTGTCTCGCATGCGTTCATGCAGATGACTGGCGTCGTCCCCGAGATGAAGGAGCTGGTCCGTGTTGTTGGTGAGGAGCTTTTGGATATGATCAAGGCTCCTCAGGTTCAACTGGGAGTCCAGGCATGGGGTGATGCGAGTGTCCAGTCGGTTAAGGAAGGTGGGGAGGAGTCGGATCTGGGATTGGTCAATGTGCGTCCGGCAACATTGCCGAACCCTCGTCAGACCAGTGCTGCGGTCTTGAAGTGGGAGCAGGAATTCACTCGCGATGCCGTTACTATCTACGAGCACCGCCGTGTTGCCTACTTGGACCAGCTCGGCATTGATACTCACGACGACGACAGCGGTCATATCTGAACAGTTGCACTCCTTTCTGTTATTTTTTCCCCCATTTAGTTTCGATTAGTTAGACATTAGAGTAGAGATGAACAAGTTTTATTTTTTATTTTTTCTTGGACATAAAGTCATAGAATGCTTCCTGACTGACCTCTACACCTCCAATGGCCTTCATCCGCTTCTTTCCCTCTTTCTATAAGTGTGTGGAAGAAATGACAGGTGAAGAAGAGTAGAGAAAACGCGCAACATGTGAGAAACTTTGCAACAAGTGATGCCCCAAGGTACAACCACAAACGTATAAAAAAACAAAAAACAAAAACTGCCAAAAAAAAAAAACATTGCCAAAAAAAAACCTCCCCACAAGAGAAGCATTACCTGTTTGTTAAGAAGTTTCATCTTTCGAGAAACATCGCCTCCATAACACTTTGCGGTAACATTCTTGCGCATCGCACTCATCCCCTCGCGGGCAATAATCTTGTTCCCGACCGAGGCCTGGATCACAATTTCGAACAGTTGGCGGGAGAGGAGACCCTTGAGGCGTTTGACCCAGTCCCGGCCTACCAGTTCTGCTTGCGATCTGTGGAGAATGATGGAGAGCGCGTCTACCGGTTTCGAGTTTAGCACAATGTTCATCTACGTTTGGGGAGATTTTTTTTTTTTTTTTTGGGGGGGGGAGATGAAAATAATGGTATTGTTAATAAATGGGGGGTTGGTTTGAGCAAAAGCTGGGGGCGAAATGGCACATTTTTGTGTGTTTGCGACTCAAACGATTCCTTCCGATGTGTACCTTGACAAGGTCGGCGTCGTCGTAGCCGTCTTCTTCATAATCAAAGGATGCAAACCCACTCGACCGACCCTTCAACTCCTGATGGAAATCCGTGACGACCTCGGCCAGGGGTAACCTATACTTGAGTAGGACCCTGTTCTCGTCCAAATACGTGTGTTCCAACTGGACTCCTCTCCTCGACTATGCCATTTGTTACAAAAAAAAAAAAAAAAAAAGAGTAGAAAAGTCAGTTCCTTATACTTCTTGAGTCCTTAGGATCATGCGTCCATAACAAACATGTGAAAAAAGGAGAAAGGAAACTTACGCCGCATAGGACCATGATGTCGCCGAGATACTCGTTAGGGAAAATAATGGTCGACCGGACCATGGGTTCCTGAACACTCCTGACTTTTTGACTGATCTCGTCCATGTCCGGGAATTCTGTCGGGTTACGGATCAGCTTTTCGGTTCCATCGCGGTACTCGACTCTGTAGGGGACCGTTGGTGCCGTGATAATAATATTCGCGTCATATTCCTATTATTATTATTTTCATTTTCACAATGCCTCGTCATGGTTAGTTTTCCTTGGCGTCACAAGATATGCGTTTTGGCAAAAAAAAGACATGGAAAAAAAATTACCTGCTCAAGGCGCTGCCGAAATACATCCATATGCAAAGTCCCCAGAAACCCCAACCTCCACCCCTGGCCCAACGCTGTACTCGTCTCCTTCTGCACCATCACCGATGAATCGCTCAACGTCAGTTTCGCGATACTATGATCCAGTTTCTCGAAATCAGCAGTATCGATCGGGAAGATACCCGCCCAGACCATGGCTTTTGCAGGGACGAACCCTGGCATGGGGGTACCGATGTGTTTGTGGTCAAAGAAGGTGTCACCGACATGGGATTCGCTGAGGGTCTTCATGTTTAGGACAAAGTAGCCCACCTGGCCTGCCTGTCTGTTTAGTTGGTTATGACGAGCATTAGGGAAGTTCAGTTAGAATGCTGTGGCATAGATCAACTCTTTCTTTTGCACTTAAACAGGCGGTGCAAGAAGGACAGAGGACTTACAAAGAGACCGTGGGCGTCTGTTCGGGGTACATGATTCCTGTCTCCATAACCTCATACTTTCTCTCCGAATGTGCCGACACGATCTTGTCACCTAAAAGAACAACCATCCTCTCGAAACGCGTGTTAGTAAATGGTTTCGCGTAAAATTCGGCTGCTCCATTCAGCGAATGAATCCTACAAAAGCAATTGAAGGTTTACCTTTCTTGACACGACCATCGATAACGGCCATGAGGCAGACAACACCAACATACGTGTCGTGCCAAGAGTCGAATAGCAATGCCTTGAACGGTGCTTCAACATCTCCCGGTGGTCTAGTAGATACAGAATTATCACCGCCCGTTAGAATAAAAAAATATCCAAATAACAACTTTCGCGCACAGATGAAAAAAATGAGATCTTACGGTGGGACGCTCTCGATAATGGCAGGCAGGATTTGATCGACATTTAGACTGGACTTTGCAGAGATCTTTAAACACTCCTCTGCAGGCATTTCGAACGCAACCTCGATCTGTGAAGCAACACGTTCAGGTTCTGCGGATGGGAGGTCAATCTGCCCACAAGCAAGTGGCGAAATAAAAAGTCAACAAAATTAGAGGGATGAGAACTTGTTGGTCGATGCGAGCGGATCGAATTAATTAACGACAGGGACTATACTATACCTTATTGATGACAGGCAGAATCCTGATATCTTGACCAAAAGCAAGGTAAAAGTTAGCGACAGTTTGTGCCTGGATTCCCTGTGCGGCGTCGACGAGCAATAGTGTACCCTGACAGGCAGCCAATGACCGCGACACTTCAAAGTTGAAGTCCATGTGTCCCTATGTTTCCGAAAACAAGAAGGATCCGAAAAAGTGGTGAGTGTGTCTTCCTGTATCTGTAATGTTAGCGACCCAGGTATCTCCGATCTCTGACGAGGGAAAGTGTCAAGTCCAAGTGTAAGCATACCGGTGTGTCGATAAGGTTCAGTAGGTACTTTTTCCCCTTATAGTCGTAAAACAACGACGCACTCTATCAGTTTGTATGTAACCAATGTCAAAAAGGGTGAGTCAGTAAAAGATCTACTCTGCTTTGTCAGACGTCCTTGGTGTCAATGGATCTTCTTAGAAGGGTCCTGTTCGACGTACCTGTGCCTTGACTGTGATGCCGCGTTCACGCTCGACTCTGAGTTTATCCAGGACCTGCTTGTTGTCCTTTCGCTTTGTGATCGTCTGCGCCAGTTCTAGTAGCCTATGTTCAATTCAATCATCCATGCGCATTAGTCACATATGCTCTGATTTGAATCCGGCGGTCACCGTCCTGTCACTTTGCAGACTGCAACGCCAGTACGCTCATACCTATCTGCCAATGTGCTCTTTCCGTGGTCTAGAGGGCAATTCAATGTTGATCCAGTGGTTAGTCAAAGATGCGGGTGTAAACCATCCCAACTAGTAGCGTCCTCCTTGACCCAGTGTATATGCCAACGGTGAGTCGGGTACTATTCTTCCTTACCGACGTGGGCAATGATACTAAAGTTCCTGATCTGATCCGTCTTGAACGCTTCCAGTTCCATAGATCCTAATGAATTTGGCTGCATCTATTATTTGGGTCCAAAAAAAAGTAAGAGAGAAAAAACAACAATTCTGGTCAGTTCTCACCCCTTCGCTTCAATTGAAAGGGTAGCATCCTGGGTAGCCGTGCGGGACGAAATTGAACGCTGAAATAAAGGTACCCTGTATCCTTGCCCGATCTCCTTTGTAGGGTCTGTAGCTGAAGAGGTGTACGTCCGCCTATGACCAGGCCTGGAGACTTCTCTGGTGACCCTTTTCATAGTTGTTGGTCTGATCAGGGTGAGAGATCTGTGACTGATGCAAGGACGCACCCTGCAGACGCCCTCCAGCAGTGATGTCGAGAGATTCATTCCTGTCTGTCTGTCTGTCTGTCTGTCCGTCTGAGCGAGTGTCCCGTTGATCCGAATGCTGATCTCGAAGGCGAATGAGAGAAAGAGAGCAAGTGTCAATGGGTGGCTCTTTGTTTCGGAGGGAGAGGGAAGTGTGGTAAAAGAATAAAAGAGTGACTTGTTATGTCAATCAGTCGCACAGACTCGGAAACTTAATTGTTCCAGGGGATGTCTTTAATTGCTTGACTAGGGGATGATATCCAACGGTGAGGGAAAACATATCCACTTCTCTGTCGCTCACTCACTCAAAGGACCGCACCACGTGCCACGGCTGCCTCCTTGACAGCGTGGACAGCCCCTTTACCCAACAACGTCTCCATCGTCATCCAAACTACCTCATGTGGCCACGCCGGATCTTGTAGGTTCATTCGAGTAAATTACTCTATGCAATTCCTGATACGTCTCCACGCCTAACTATTCAATGCCCACATTCTTCTTTCATCCTCCTTGTCCTCCTCCTCTGAAGTTATCAATCCCGTATTCGATAGCTCGATAACCAGGTGTAACAGGAATTCCATCTGCGGTGGCCAGCTGGAATAAGCGTACCTTATCCTTGCTCAGATAAGGATTCTTCCAGCCAGCAGTACACCAGTACAGCCAGCCCACCAACTCAAACTCCTCAACCACAGCCTTGAGACTACTCGGATCAGCCTCAACAAACACCCTATAATCGCTGTATCCACTCCAAGCTTCCTCGGAGTCTACCTTGTAAGCACAACCAACGACCGCGCTGTAAGTCGACGAACTTTCATTTCCTGGTCGAAACACTGGCCATGAATAGCCCGTGTCGGTGTAGCTCCTGAGACGTACTGGCGACGGTGTTGATTAACTCCTTCGTCGCCGCTACTCCATCATCGTCACCGTGAACCTGTCGCGATAGACGAACGACGTCTTCCAAACAACGTCAAAGAGGAACTCTTCTGTCGTGTGGGGTCGTCCTAGAGATCCTTTGGGAGTGTCCTGAGTTGAGCCCCGGTCAAATGGTATGTGTGGCGGCGATCATCATCTTGGACAGATTCAAGTACGACAGGAATAAAAACCAGCGCTACGTCGGCAGAGTAGTCGTCTGTTGTGTGGATGTCGAGAGAGTAAATGTAGATTCCTTGAAGTTGTTCATGTCGGACTTGCTTTGTGATGTGGTGTGTGAAGTGGATTGAAGAGAGGTGAAAGAAAGAAAGGAAGGAAGAGAAGAAAGAAAGAAGGCGAGAAAGAGAGAAGGAAGCTGTTAATCAAAGAAGGGTGAACAACAAAGAAGGGGAAAAGTGTCATTCCACCGTTTATATTTGAGGGCGGATGCACAAAGAGCGTTGATCGCGCTCTTGGGCTGAGCAAACAATAACCGCCGCGTTATGTAACAAAGACTTGAGCTGCTATATTTCCTCTCTTTGGATGCAATATAGATGCTCAGTACACAGAATTACCACGGCGACGCGATAAGGAACAATTGAACTAGCATACACTGCGTCATTGAAAGAAAAGGTGTTTGTGAGGGGCTACAAGTTTTCATACTAGGGGCATGTTGACTGCTCCTTGATCTGCCTCTCCGACAAGTAGGAGGGTCGCATGGCGTCAAGTCCCAGCTTCAAGATAGACAAGAACCAAACCGTCATCCAAGCTATCCCGGCGGCACACGACGGATTCATTTACGTTCTCAGCGGCACCACATACATCGGGGATCGAACAGCGAGACCGAGGCAAAGCCAATCATACCCACTTCTTCTCCGAAGATAGTGCCAGCACCGCCAGGATCTAGAGAAAGGATGAGGCAGTTCATATTGTACTGATAGCGGGGGAGCCGTTGAGGGAACCCGCGGTTCAGATTGGGCCGTTGGTGGAGAACTCGTCCGACGAGATCTATCGTTATTCTTCGCGTCTCTGCCTCCTGTCTGAAAGAATGAACTGTCCCTTCACTCAGCAACATCTCCGCCTCCCTCCATACTACCTGAGGTGGCCAATCAGGATTGTGCGGTGGTAGAAGTGCTGATTCGTCCACGATGCCTCTGAAACGTCCTCATGTCCAGCTTCTCATGCCTGCGTCATCATTTCGTTCTCATTTTGCTCCTCCTTCGGCGGCCATCTGCGCCTACTCCATGGGCACAGTCGTCCCCTTGTAAGCCGCCAGCATACTTGTACAGCCAGTCAACCAGCGCAAACTCTTCAATCACACTCCTGAGGTTACCCATTCCTTTCCGACATACATCTTGAAGATCGCCACACTCTTGCTATAGTCTATTGGAATATGGTGCTTGTGCGTGACGAGTGATCATGCGGCAAGACAACGAATGTCGCCATCAGACGTATGGACTCCTCTCGCGGGCCTACTGAACTGTTTGTTGATCGTAGATGGGCTCTGCGACCAGAAGGGCTTCTTCGCGCATCTGGGGGGTCGGGAACCGAGGGCGGACGTGCGCTATTAACGCTGCAAGCCTAATATCGCTACCATGACCTTGACGCGACAAATGGACAACATCCCCTGCCAAAAAGATACGTGAGGCGCCATGTTTTGTGAACTCGTTGACGGCGCTGCATTTCCTTTTGACGTCAGCCCTCGTCAGACGGTATCTATACTGGGCAGGTTTTCTTGTCAGTCCTTGGACGAATTCGATACTCTTCGACACCAAACTCTGTCCGGTATGGCGGCATAGGTTGTGGGTATTGACAGTCCATGTCAACGCGACAGTCGACACACATTCAATGAAGCTCTCCTGGGGTGTTTCCAAGCCACTCTGAAGTGGAAGGGCCCTGCATAGTTGCCGTTGTTGTTGTAAGAGTCGGCAAGGAATCCATTGGGTACTCTAGACAATTGGGCATTGATGCAGATCCTCATCCAGACTGGATGGTAAAGTGTGCTCCTGTGAATTGCTATTGTTGTTCATCTTGGCTTGATTTGAATGGACGTGTATTCGTGTTCTTGCTGGTTGTTCGTGTGTAGGTAACAAAAGCGCGTTTACTTTGGTGGCGTAGCGTGGAGGAAGAATGAGAAAGGAGCGAGCAAGATGAGGAGTGAGGGTGAGGACGAACAATGATTTTATAGAAAAAAAAAGGCGGCCACAGAACAAGTCAGGCACCACTCACCACGAACCTCATTTTGGTGGCGAACAAAGAAAGGATCTGGGTCGAGAGAAGAATAAGGACGATGAGCAAAGACGCAACAAACAAGGAGCCACAAGGAGAGCATTCGTAGCTCTGTTTTTTATTCTTCTTCCTGCTTGATAAATTTGTGAATGCTTAATGACGATCGACGGAGAGTGACCACGACTATGCGTAGAACAAAGAAACACTCAAATAAAAGGGTTCCGTGTGCATGGTTGATTTTGAGCACATTGTCATGCAGCGAGAGAGCGCGCGTGGGACCGAGACATACGATTTTATCTACGTCGCATAGCACGTCGAGCGTGTTTTTACCCCACAGTGTCCCTGTTCATGGGAATGTGCTAGTCGCCTCACATCCTCTTTGCTCTTGTTTCCAAGTAAAGCATGCTTTTGACGGATCAAGGAAAAAATAAGCAGCTTGTCTTGGTTCCTTGTATGCATGCATATTGGATGGGAGAGGAGCGACAGAGATTGTTTTGCGTCCAATTCTGTTCTGGTTACCTTATTGCCATTGTCCCTACTTTCTTATTCAAGTAGATTGTCAACATAGGAAGTACCAGTACCAGTGCCAGTACCCTTGAGCACAAGACGCATAAGGGAGTTTGTTTTGTTTGTTTTGCTTGCTTGAGTACCTGTGCACTGTAATGCCTTTTTTATTCTTTTTCTTCTGCACTAGCTTAGGCTTGGAGTCTTGACTCTTCTAGCTACAGGGACTGTCATTCTCCTCCCCTCCGTGCCCTATTCCTTTCTTACTAACTCGTTCGCTCACACAACTTTTTTTTTCTCTTTCTTTCCCTTCTCCTCACTCCCACCCTTTTCTGCCTTCCCTTTTGCTTCTTCCTCTTTGCTCACTCACCCAGCACACACTCAACGGACACAGGAACAGCTTGGACCCTTCACCTGCAACAGCAACAACAACAGACAACACGGGGCATCAGGACAAAAAACAAGTCAACAAAACAGACTCTTTGTTACCTTCACACTTCTACAACACACACTCATTGTACATACAAGTAGTCGTCGCTCGCCTGGTCGATCAACGCTCCTCTCGCTCGTCCCCCATCTCTCTCAACCCCACCCCCATTCGTCAAACTGAACCCTGAAAGAGATATGCTGGCCACCCGCTCCTCGGCTGCCAGCAAGCCCTCCCGCGCAAGCGCGCAACTCAAGCAAAAGGGCTCAAACGCTCAACGAAACGGTGGCAACGACCAGGATGAAGAGGATGACCTGATTGAACAGCTCAACAGGAAACTGTCCAATGTCACTCTCAACCCCTCCACCAACATCCCTGACGAGATGAACATCACCGACATCTCCACCATGGTAAGCACTAGGCGTAACTTTTCAAGGGCAAGCAAGGAGGCTTTTTTTTGTTATTTTTTTTATTGCACCATATTATTTTCCCGCATCGATTGGTACGCGTCTGTACTGTATTTACCGCTCCCTTTTGCAGACCTCAAAACTTTTTCCGACTGCAATGTGCTTTTTCGCCATGACCGGAAGTAAAGGACTTTTTCACCAGGATGGACACCATGGACAACGTGGAGACACGAGTTGTTTTTGGTTTGATATTGATTCAGCTGACAGGATTCGCCACGGGAGTTCAAAGTCACATAAGCGTCGGACCTTTTTTTTGCCATCACCCACGTCCATTTTTCAGGCTCCACAGAGACTGACTGTCACCCTTGGTTGACTTGACTCTCTACCCGTCAAATGTATGTATGTAATAGTTGCCTGCCTTTGCCCAGCCACTCTACAACCTGCTGGCCTCCGGGAACTATGAACAGCAGCTGCTTGCCATGGTCCGCATCCGCAAGTACCTGTCCCTCCGTAAGTTTACCTCCACTTGCCTCTGCACTTTTGGTCATATTCCCGCACCCTAGGTTATTTTGTTGTTAAGAATGGGATCACCTGCTGATAACTAGCATTTTTCACCCCACTTTCCGTACGATTTAGAGGACGTGCTGCCTAGGATCGATCATGTACTCGCGCTCGACTGCATCAACTTCTTTATTACCTTCCTGAACATGAGCGATTGCCCTGATCTCCAGGTGCGGATAGAATATATATGAGGGGACTATCCTTTTGTTGCACCTGCCCTTGACTGCTTGATGTTGTGCGTCCATCAGACTTTATCATACTAACCTCATTTCTCTTTTCACTTCTGCATTTCACTCACTTCTGTATTTCACTCATTTCTGCATTTCACTCTCTAAAAATATTCCAGTACGAGACGGCCTGGGTTGTCACGAACATTGCTGTAAGTGCGCTCAAGCAAGATGATACGCTGTAAAGGATGGCTGACCAGCTTGGGACCAAATGCACTAGGACTTTTACTAACCCTAACTTTTACTTCGTTGACTATGGTCATATTATCAAAAATAGGCAGGAACCACGGCTCAAACTGAAAAGTTGGTGGAGGCAGGCATTCTGGCTCCTCTCATTCACAACCTGCGTGTCTCGCGATGTGTCCATGTCCAGACCCAGGTAAGCCCACCTGCGGTGCTCATCCTATGTCAGCTTGATCTCATTTGTGTTGCCAACTTGTAATAACTATCTAACCTGTCAATTCGTTTTGTATATAATAGACGATTTGGGCGCTTGGAAATATCTCTGGTGACGGACCACCTTACAGGGACCTCATTTTGAGATCGGGCGCATTAGAAGTGATTCTTCAGCTTATTGAGATGTGCGAAGACCCTACTGTTGCCAAGGAGCAAAAGTACATGATCCTCAAGATTGCAGTGTGGTGCGTGTCAAATCTCTGCCGAGGTAGTGGCCGTCTTGCTCCCGAGTGGCTCCAGGTAACATTGGTTTCCGGGTATCGTCTGATCGCGTCCTTTTTATCCGCATATCGAGAAAGGTCAACCTGACTAATTGGTTTCCTCAATACTCTATCAACATATCACTAGGTCACTCCTGCGTTCCCTATGTTGAGGCGATTGATGTATATTGACGAGACAGACATTCTTGCCGACACTTGGTACGAGGAAATGAACATGAGGAATTATTGCATTTGGATGTCAGGCCGTTGATCTTGTTACGTCCAAGAGTTCAAATATTGACGTGCCATTTTTTCTTCCCTTGTTCTTCTTAGCTGGGCTATGTGTCGTATTTTGAACGGGACTCACAAGATGAACTTGGAGAACGTGGTCATCGACCACGAGTTGTGCGCGCGCTTTGTCGCATTACTGAGGTACGTCATTGTCGATTGACATTTGGACAGGCACAGTTTGATCCATTGCCTATGCATATCCACAAGACGCAAAGGATGAACGACATAACCCACCATACCTCGTTGTTGTTTCTTGAATCGCTTAGTGAACCACATCCAACGATCCAGGTGCCTTCGTTGCGGTCATTGATTAACATTGCTTCAGGACCCGAACACCACACCCAACTTTTGATTGACGCAATGGCTATTCCGATCTTAGGGTCTCCCGAACTCTTGGCTCATCCAAACAGCACTATTCGGCGTGATGCTCTCTTGGGAATCTCCAACATTACAGCAGGAACTGCAGACCAAGTGAGAGAGGTGACCGTTCAGGACAATGGAAACGTCATGCGCCGGGTCCTGGAGATCCTGAGGCGAGGAGATTTGGGCGGAGAGGAACAAGGCGAAGACGGCCCCGAATTCCTCACGGAGGGTGGCGACTGGCGTGTGTTACGTGAAGCTGCTTGGGTGGTTAGCAATGCCACAAGTGTGTTGGACCTGGAAATCACGGGGTATGTGCCCATTGTCATTGTCCAGCCTTGTTGAGAAATTATCCGTCCAGTCCACCTCCGTGTCGTGATTTTGTGCATGGTGGCTTATCAGGAATGACAAACACAGCGAGGCTAACTAGAGAATCTCTCCTCTTTTTTTATCATATAGCCACCTTGTATATCGTCTGGAGTTGCTACCATCAATCGCACAGTTGATTGACCCCCGCAAGACTAGGAAGACATCATATGTTCTCCCACCGATTGGACTGATGCACACGGCGTTGTTGACTAAACTGCTAGATGTTGTGTTTAACGTTCTGCGGTGTAACGAGCATCACCCCAAGGAGCAGTTCATGAAACTGTGGGTGGTGGATTGCGAGGGAGGATTGATCCTGCTGGAGCTGTTGAGGTTGTCGACCCAAACACCGAGCGAGACCGAGTTGAAATATCTAGACAACAGCAAGATGCTGCCGCGGCCACTGCAGCACCTTCGATTCACACAGAATGACAATGGCGAGATGTCGAGCACAAGTACCAGATCGGGACAGGTGACGATGGCACCCCTGGGAGCTTCAGTCAAGAAGCGCGTTGAGACGATTCTGGATAACTTTTTCGAGTTTGGACCTGAGAATGAAGGGTTCGGACCATTCTTTAGCGAGAGACAACAGGGATCAGCCAGCGGTCGGGGGCGTCGAGAGGGATACGGATCAGATTACCACGAGGATGGCGAGGATGAGGATCTGGACGATGACGAGTACCCTGATAGCAATGGATACTACAGCCATCACGTACAAGGAGGACGGGGCGGTGGATCGAATGATGTCGACTTTGACCTTGATGATATGGAGGAGCGCGTCAGTCGGATGAATCTTGCGTAACTCTTTGTTCTTGTCGTGGCGAGGAGTTGACTGAGCTATGCATTCTCTGTATTGCCTTCCCTCTCTTTCTCTCATTTCTTGGTCCCCACTTTGCATGGCTTCCATAGTTTAGACAGCTCGTCTCTTCTTTCTTTCTGGAGTCGCCGTTGATGCTGATGCCACTGCTTTGTTTTCATATCATTTTTCTACAGTGCAGGAAGACTCTTTTTTACATAATACAGCTCCAATTCATTCGTCATGAGCTTGAATTTCTCTGGAATGTAAGGGTCTGGGCTATGATCAAGTCATCGGCGGACTAATTGATTCGCAGGAGGATATGAGTGGGGGCGTGGACTTGTGGCCCATGTCATGAATGGACATGGTATGCGAAATTGTCGGCGCAGCTGGACTTGGAATATGAAGGCTGCAGCCGTGGGCTGGGTGCATGTGTTGGAAGTTGAAAGTTGGATGCGAGTGTTCTTCATTTCAAGCGGAGATTTGAATAGAAGGGGGGCACCACTTTATTTCTTTCAATTGATTCGGAACTATCGACTTTTGTCTAAGGTTTCGGGTGGGATGGGGGTCCGCGCCAGATATGTTTCTTTTTTTTTTGTTTTTTGTTTTTGGTTGTCTAAATGTGTGATGGACATGGGAATGTGTTTCTTGATTGAAAGAGAGAGAGAGAGTCCCGTTGTTGGTCTCTGTTTTTCCTTGGAGTCGCGTGGATATTTGGAGACGATTGAAAATAAGCGTGTGAAAACGCAGGAGCAAGAGTGTATGCTCGTGGATGTGTGAGTCCGATCGAAAAAAGAAAAAAAAGAAAAAAAGAAAAAAAAAGAGCTGGAAAGGTGGACGGGAACAAGAGCTAGTGAGAGGAGGTATGGTCAAGGAAAAGGATTCAGCCCTGGAGGTATCCCGATGCCCGTTTTTGGAAGGAAAAAAAAAAAAAAAAAAGGCAAACAGGCAAACAGGCGGTAAGGGAAAAACAGGAGTGCATATCTCATGGGATGCGTTGCTTGGGAGGTTGGGAAGGTGGGGGACATGAAGGAAGCCAAAGGAGAAAAAAAGTGAGGCAGGGTCCGAGTGGCGTGCGGAAAGTGAGGTGAGGATAGGAATGTGTGATAAATTAACCATACTTTACTCTAAGAGGGTAGTTGAAATGGGATAAATGCAGGAGGACGATCTAGGCTGAGGGTATCCGGCATGGCAGCAGCATTCCAATTGTTTGTTTTGGCAATTCGCCTCGCCATTGTAAAGTACCTTGTTTAGTTGTTTTTTTTGGTTGACAGATTAGAGAGTGATGAGAGGAGCCATAACTGCGGCATGGATTGGAGGTGTGTGGTAACTGCGAGGTACGATTTGTACGGTATAGTGTGATAGCAATTTTGCTCACACTGTTTACTCTTTACTGTAGGCAAAAATGAGAGATGTGGGTGCTCTCTCTCTCTCTCTCTGACTTTGTCATTATTTTTTGTCTCTGTGAAAAAGAGCCTAGGGGTGACTGACTGGCGAGAGGAGAGACATAGAGAAAGGGAACAAGGCTCACAAATGTTAAAGAGGTAATAATCATGATTTACCTTTGGACTACAGGACAGGTACACTCAGGCGGCAGGAAGGTAGGAAAAGAGAGGTACAGTACAAAAAAGACAGGGGGCAGGGGCGGCAGCGATGAAGGGGAGGAGATGAGACCACAACAGCAGCAATTGGCGAGGAGTAGCTGTTGTAATTTTGTCCCAGGGTGAGGAGTGCAAAGATTGAGCATGGATAAACAAACGGGATTGCGAAGATGCCATTCTTACCCGTTATCATAGAGATATACAGACGCGGCGAGGATTGTACTCAAAGACACAAACACAAGAAAAGTGTAAACAAAGGAGCGGACATGACATGCCGAAGAAGAGAAGAAAAACACAAATTGTCGAGAGCATTGCATCCTGTTTGCACTGACGGCACACAAAAGGTTGTTTGTCTTGCCTATCTGTCTCTCTATCTCTGGGCAGTGCCGACAGTTTTCTATGAGGGAAGAGAGAGAGAGGGGACGCCGCCGCCGTTGCAGCCAGGACCGACAACGGCGCGGAAATGAGAAGACGATGGTTGAGGCGTGTTTTTCATTTCTGAGGCAATTGAGGAGAGAAGGTGGATCGCCGTATGATTTTGATCGATTAGGGAAAGGAATGTGAGGAAGGCGGTGGTTGTTGAAAAGGAGGGAAAAGGGACGAAAAAAAGGGGAAATAAGAGACCGGCGATGTGTCTGTGTAAAACCCTATTGGAGTCCTTCTCTCGCGATAATTAATGGAGAAGGGCCGTTGGGTCGTTATTGTTGTTGTTGTCGACGCTGAGTGAATGAATGATGTGCAATTTAATAATTTTCTCTCGTTCCGTTTATTTATAAACGCACATATCGTTAAGCGACAGGGAGCAGAGTAGAGTACCGAGCTCGATACCTCAGTAGAGGCAACAGCAGCAAAGCAAAGATAATTTCAAAGTGAACAAAACGCCCTCTCTCGAGGAGAGAGAGAGTGAGAAGGAGAGTGCGAATGCGAATGTGTAATTTGTGAGGGTGGTTTCTACGGGTGAGAGAGTCTCCTTAACCCTTCCTTTGGACTTTCTCTTCTCTCTTTTTTTTCTTTCTTCTTTCTCCTTTGCCCCTTCCTCGCCCACGCCCATTTCCTTCAGCCCTTCCCTTTACCTCTTTGTTGTTGTCCTCCCTCCCTCCCTTCCTCCCTTCCTCCACCACTCCTCCTCCTTGACCCTTCCCCTTCTCCGACCGGCAACCCTCTTTTTTTTTACCTCCCTTACCTCCCTTCACCTCTCTTCTCTTCTCTTCCCTCTCTTCCCTCGTCGCCCCTTCCATCATCCTCATCACCCCCTCCAACTCAACTCCCTTCTTCCCTTCCTCATCCATCTACAACAACTCCGGGCTTCCGCGTCATCATTCCTCTCCTCTCTCCTCTCCCTCCATCAACGTCACGACCACCACTCCATTCCTTGGGCGCTCCTTCCTTTTGTTTGTCTCATTACACTCAACAATTGAACAGCCCCTTTTCACTCTCCCCTACACCCTCCTAACTTGCACAGGAGAAGGTAAGAACATCCATCCTTCTTGCACTCTTAACCCGCTCACTCACTCCTTCCTTCCCTCAACCCACGACGACAACAGCCATCTTTATGTGTCTTGCTCTTCTATCATACACATACACATACACATACACACACGACGATACATCAATGATAACCACACTTATTGCAACAGGCGAAGACTGGGACAGAGAAGTATAGAACGGGGACGAGAGTTGAAGCAGTGATGATTGATGTTATTACTATGGTACAACTAAATATATATACAAAGTCGCCAACTAGGTTTCTAGGTGTAGTGTCATAGTGAGTCAGAGATGATAGAGAGTGACAAGGAATGACTAACTAGAGAGCAATGATAAACCTAATATGTTGCACCTTCCCCTCTTAAAAAAAAATCCGCTAAGTCCTAAGGCCATGGTCGCGCTTGTACTTGTTGAGGATGTCCTTACAGTGTGCCAGTTCACTCTCTGGTTCCCATGTCCAGTCCTCGCGCGGGTATCCTTGCCATTGTAGAAGGTACTCCATGTTGTTGTTAACCTTCCTATGATCTGCAATGGCCTCGACCTCATACTCTTCCTCGTCTTCAACGATAACCGGTGGTGGCCGTGCTGGTGTTCTTGGTCCTAGCGTCGCAGGTGATGGTTGGTAGCGTCGGAATCGGTCGACGTGGAAGACGGGGTGAATCTTCATGGACGGTGGAAGATCAAGGCGGAAGGAGACCGGGGACAGCTGTTCAACAATGGTGTGGGGGCCGGCAAAGCGAGCCAAGAGTTTCTGCGACGTGCGGGTGCGGTCCGAGGGTAAGGTGATATTCTCAAGGTTAAGGAGAACGTGGTCACCAACCTTGAAATCATGCTCTCGCCGATGGATGTCGGCGTTGGCTGCTTGACGTTCTTGGGCGGCAGCAAGGGACTCCTTAGCGAGGGTGAGGGCTTCGCTTCGAGATTGCACGAACTCGTTAACCGATGGGTTGGGGCCGGGAGTAGGGGTCAACAATGACATGGGCATGTTGGGATGGGCTCCGGAGTTCAAGAAGAACGGGGAGACTCCAGTGGAGGCATTGGTGGCGTTGTTCGTGGCAAATTCGGCGGCGGAAAGTAAGAGGTCCCAGTTAGACTGCCGTTGGTCGACAAAGTTACGGAGCATGGTGATAAGGGTGCGGTTGGCACGCTCGGTCTGGCCATCGGTCTGAGGGTGGAAGGCAGTCGACATGGCAAGGTGGACGTCCATCAGACGGCTCAATTCTTTCCAAAAGCGGCTCGTGAACTTGGTATCGCGGTCGGAGACAATGGTGGTTGGCATGCCGTGCAAGCGGAAAACATGGTCGAAAAAAATGCGTGCAACTTGCGAGGCGGAGTCGGTGGTGTGGCAGGGGGCAAAGTGCACTTGCTTTGTGAGTTTGTCAACAAAGACCGTAATGGAGTCAAAGCCGCGTGGGGTCTTGGGTAGGGGGCCGACAAAGTCCATTGTCACCGTTTGCCAGGGTCGATCGGGAATGGGTAGGGGCTGGAGGAGGCCAGCAGGTGGTTGGTTGCTGGGCTTAGTCCTTTGGCACGACTCACAGGTCTGCACATACAGCCGGGTGTCCTTCGCCATAGATGGCCAGAAGAACCGCGAGTGGAGATGACCGTACGTCTTCTCGAAACCGAAGTGACCAGCTATAGCGGAGTCGTGTGCATCGTGAAGAAGAGAAAGCCGAAGGTCAGAGTTCGAGGGGATACAAACAAGTAAAAGATCATTACGTTGAATGCAAAGAACACCATCAACAAGAGAGTAATTAGACGGTGGACTTCCCTGGAGGCAGCTTTCATAGATCGGTTTGAGGCGGTGATCCTCTTTGTAACCATCCATCAGGCGCTGCCGGAGCCTGGGGTCGAGCTGTACTGAGAGTGTGTTAATCTCTCTATGGTCCGGTCGGCGAGACAGGGCATCTGGGACAATGTTGTCGGCTCCTTTCTTGTACTTGAAGGTGAAGTTGTATTCCTGCAACAGTTCCATCCAGCGGGCCTGACGGCGGGTGAGTTTGGGTTGAGTGGGGAAGTGTTGGAGGGTGGCATGGTCGGTGTATACGATGAAGTGGGATCCGTCCAGATAGTAGCGCCATGTCTTCAATGCATGTACAACAGCCAACAGTTCCTGTTCGTGTGTTGGGTAGTTGCGTTCGGCAGAGTTCAGCTTGCGGGAGGTGAAGGCGACGGGGCGCGACTCGCCATGCTCATCGGTCTGAAAGAGAACGGCACCGAGAGCAAAGCCGGAGGCATCGGTTTCGACGGTTGTTAGAAGGTCGGGGTCGAAGATACGTAGAACAGGTGCTTTACTGATGGCCTCCTTCAGAGTCGTAAACGCTACTTCCTGCTCCTGAGACCAAGAGAAAGGAACGCCTTCACCTAAGAGAGCGGTCAACGGTAGGGCGATCGAGGCAAAGTTAGCGATGTACTGATGATAGAACTGTGCAAGACCAACAAACTGCTGAACATCTTTCTGCTTCTGGGGACGGGGCCATTCACGGATGGCACGAACGAGACCGCCGCTCGTATGGATACCGTCCTTGGAGATGACGTGGCCGAGGAACTCGGTCTCTTTCTGCATAAAGGAGCACTTGCTCAACTTGGCGTAGAGACCGTACTTGCGGAGGAGCGTGAGGACGGATCGGAGATGTTGTAGATGTTCGGCCTCGGTGCGCGAGTAGATAAGAATGTCGTCGAGGTAAACAACAACCCACTTGTCGAGAACAGGGTCTAATACTCGTAGCATCATATTGGAGAAGGACGCCGGTGCATTCGTTAACCCGAAAGGGACCACATTAAATTCGAAATGGCCGTAGCGGCAACGGAAGGCTGTCTTGTGTGTGTCCTCTTCTGCTATACGTTGCTGATGGTAACCGGAGAGGAGGTCAAGTTTGGTAAAGTAGCGTGCCCCGCGGAAACGGTCGATAAGTTCATCAATGCGGGGAAGGGGGTGTCTGTTCTTTTTTGTAATCCGGTTTAACCCTCTGTAATCAACACACATACGCAAGGAACCATCCTTCTTTTTCACAAACAATACAGGGGCACCATAAGGGGAGGTAGAGGGTTTGATAAAGCCTTTGCCAAGTAGGTCGTCGAGTTGCTTCCTTAGTTCATCCAATTCAGCAATCGAGAGACGTATAACAGGGCGAAAGGGGGGATCAGCGCTCGGATCAGTTTCGATCTTCATTGCATCGCCTCTGTCAGGGGGAAGGCCAGAGGGGAGGGAGGAAGGGAAAACGTCGGGGAACTCGTTGTGGACGATGTTGTGAATGTCGGGTGAGAGTGGAGGGGAGGTCGGTTTGTTGTCATTACTGTTGTTGTCGTTGGTCTTTTTAGCGATGTTGACGAGGGCGAGGTAGACAGCGTTTCCAGGTTGGGTAGCAAGGGAGTGAAAGTGAAGGTGAGAGAGGAGTTTCCCTTGTGTGCGAGCGGAGATGGAGTTGGCGTTGGCACCACGACAGCGCCAGAGAACAGTGTGTCCATTGTGGGTGAAGTGAAGGTCGTTGTTTCGCCAGTTGATGAAAGGGTTGATGGTCGTTAGCCAGGGTTTTCCAAGGATGAGGTCGTAGTTGGAGAGGGGGTAAATGAGTGCTTCCAGTTTGTCGGAGTAGTGGTCGCGGTCGATGGTAAAGGTGGAGGTGGATGATGAAATGGAAGAGGAACCGTTTGGAAGGATGATGGGGATGGAGGGGCCAGGAGTGCGAGTGAGGGAGTGTTGTTTGCAAAAAGAAGAACTGATGACGTTCCCTTCCGCACCGCAATCGATTAAAATACGCGCAGGGGCACCAGCCACATTACCAATAAACGACAAGAGTGTACGGGAGGCTTTCTCAGCCGTGAAAGCGTGCAGACGGACGGATTTGTGTCGCAAGCGTTTGGTCCTGCGCTTGGACATGGGTTGGTCTAAAGCAGCAGGAGAGGAGAGTGGGTCCAGGTCCACTTCTTCTGATGGGCTAAGACCAACAGGCGAGGTATCAGATACGTCGTCGGTGAGTTGTAACTCATCGTCAAAGGGTACCGTGGTGGAGTGAGTGTTGGGGGCAGTGGTGGTCGAGTCGATGGCAATTGAGGAGGGAGTACGAGGCGAGGCAGGGATGGATGAGGGAAAAAGGGAGAGTGGAGGAGGAGAGAAGGAGAGTTTGTGTAGGCTACGAGGTGCGGATGTGGTAGTGCGAATAATGGATACAGAGGGGGGAGTGTTTTTGATAGCAGAATTTTTATTCTTGGAACTGTAACTTAACTCTGGTAAGGAAACACTCCCTTTGTCCAGAGGAGAAAGGGAGGGAACGTCGACGATCAAGTCCTGGACTAAGCCTGATCGTCGGAGGCTTTTCCCGACTCGGGGGAATCACCCACGGCTACTTGATAAACCCATCGTCCTTGGCGGTTGTTGTTGTTGCCACGGTTGGTATTGTTGTTGTCGCCGTAGATGGGGCACTCCTTTGCATAATGTCCAGGTTGGCGACAGCGACGGCAAGCATTGTTGTTTTTACACCATTCGCGTTCCTGAGGGGTCAGGGAAGGGGGATTACCGTTGTTGTTGTTTCGGGGGCCGTTGTTGTTATTGTTGTTGCGGTTGTAGTTATTGTTATGACCCATGTTTCTCTCTAGGCGATTAAATCGTTGGGTGATATTGTTGAGGGCGATCTGGATGTTGTCGATTTCCATGGGGGTGGCTTGAGAGAGAGCGGAGGAAGAGGTGAAGGAAGAAATGATGGGGGCGGAGGCGATGGCGAGCGAGTTGGTCTTGGGGCCGGTGTCGGGTTTGAAGGAGTAAATGCGGTCCATCTCTTGGGCGTATTGAAAGATCTGAATGAGGGTGATATTGGGGTTTTGAATAATGTGTCCTTCGATCATCTGTTGAAGAACCAAGGGGCAGTTGTCGATAAAGGATGTTTGGGCGAACTCGTTGACCGTGGTCTTGGCAGCGTCGGTGGAGGCATAACCAAGAAGGGCGCCCAAAAGTTCCTTGAATGTAGATAAGTAGGTCGAAAAGTTGGTGGTCATGCGAAGATTGGTGAGGTGTCGTCGACAGGAGCCCGCAAAGTTGTTGGGAATGTACTCTAGCTTAAAAGCAGGAGTAAACTCGGTCTCGAAGTTGCAAGTATCAGGGAGCCCACATCCATCAAACCATCGGGCAGGGCCAGGCGTGCCCAAGTACGAGAGAGCGTGGGGTGTTCGTTCAGTCTCACTTATCTTAGCAAGGTTGAAGTAGCGGTTAACCGCAACGAGCCAGGCCAAGGCAGAGAAACCGTCGCGGGCGCCTGTAAAGACAGGAGGGGGGTTAAGGCGGGCAGGGGTAACCATGACTGGTAGTGCAGAGAGAAGTGCGGAGAGGTCAAAAATGTCCAGAGTGTAAGAGGGTACGAAGGAAAATAGGGGCAGGGAATGAAATTCAGGGCTGGTGTGCAGAGAGAGCTGGGACGAGGGAAAATTAAAGTAAAACGCGGGCAGTGAAAACGAGGAGGGAAAAATCAAGAGGTCAGTGGAACGAGGGAACCTTTGCTACCATGCAACAGGCGAAGACTGGGACAGAGAAGTATAGAACGGGGACGAGAGTTGAAGCAGTGATGATTGATGTTATTACTATGGTACAACTAAATATATATACAAAGTCGCCAACTAGGTTTCTAGGTGTAGTGTCATAGTGAGTCAGAGATGATAGAGAGTGACAAGGAATGACTAACTAGAGAGCAATGATAAACCTAATATGTTGCACTTATCATCGACAGCAACAACAAACAACGACAACTTCTTTCCAGTCCAATGTCCGTTGCGTGTGTATTCCGCCTGAGCCCCCCTTTTTTTTCTCCTGCCTGTTTGTCCGTTCACCGTTCGTCTGTTTCTGTTCCTGAAAAACATTTTTTTCATTTTCACTTTGTACCTGAGCAACAGCCATCCTCTCTCTCTTCTTTTTTTTTTCACTGCCACATAACCATTACACTCTGCATACAACTCTGTTTTTTCATTCCCCTATATCTCTCTCTCTCTCTCTCTCTCAACACGCACACGATGACAATACCGACAAAACAACTACAAACAACCCTCCCTTCCACGTTCACACGCAATTCTTTACACTTCCTCATCTTCATCTCTTACCGCAACTCTAAACTCAACTCCACTACACTCAACTCAACTCAACTCAACTCCACTCAACTGCACTCAACTTTTACTTCATTCTACCAAAGACGCATCCTTTAGTAGGCACGACATAACGTGTTTTATGTCATCCCTCTCCATTCCCCTTTTTTCATCGCCCCCTCCCCTCCCCGCTATCTGAGGCAGTTAGCTACAACCATATCAACTCCAACAATCCAGCTGTACCATCATCAACATCAACAACGATAACTGCTCACAGAGGCAAAGGGTGTGTGCGTGTGTGTGTGGGAGAGAGAGAGACGCATCATGTGTCTGTAGGTGTGAGAGGGTAATTTACCATCGAATGGACACGGTGCACCAAAATGGGTTCAATTGACTAATAATTGCCCGTAACCAGCCAATGCCCCTCCACTTCGTTTATTTTTATCTTTTCCTCAACCACCGACTACAACCACCAATATGCATCTCATCAGCAATACCAATGCTCCCTGATTTTTGGGGTACCATATCCTTTTACATTTTATCCGCGATTATTTTCTGCCAGAAAACTGCCCCCGCCCTTTTTCTCCATCTCCAACGGACTTATCCTTCACCTTTCTATTCAAATCTCGCCAGACGCGAAACTGACGCGTCTCACCTCCATGACATCTTACTGATCATCGCCTCTTCTTTCCTTTCATTTAATAGACTAATAATTTCAAAACATAAAAAGTAACTACAATGTCATTCTTCGGCATCTCCTTCAAAGTGAGGGAAGCAGGCGCTCTTCGTCGCCGTGCTGAGCACTCGTCCTCTGTCGCCGCCGAGAGACATGCCGCCAAGGCAACATCTGCCATCGCCTCGCCCAACGGCAGCCATCACGCCAACATCAAAGCTACTACCACCACCCACACCACCACCACCACCACCACCACCACTACTACCACTACTAAGGCGCACCAAAAGCCTACCCAACAAGTCTCCCTCCCCAAGAACGAGCACACCAATGGCATTACCAGGGGTGTTGGCATCCTTGCTGTTCCTAGCGAGGATGAGTCTGAGGAACCACCAGCAGAGTCTGGTGAGAAGCCATCCGAGAAACCAAGTGAGTCTGGCGAGTCCGGTGAGTCTAGTGGGACGCCAAGCGAGGATGAGGGTGGAGAATCCAAGCCTCCAGTCAAGGTTGAGCTCCCAGCTGTACTTCCGGTCGAGGCTGAACCCTCAGTTGGTGAACCCAAGCCCACAGACACCACTACTGGCACTGCCACTGGTTCAGATTCCGACACCGCTACTACCACCGCTACTGCCACGGATACTACCACCGCTACTGCCACCACTACTGTCACGGATACTGCCACGGATACTGCCACCGCTACTGCCACGGGCACTGCCACCGCTTCTGACACTGGTACCCCCACAGTGACGGATACTGCCACAGCTACAGCTACAGCTACAGCTACAGCAACTCCAACTTGTACTATCACCTGTACCGAGTCCCCCTGCAGCACCACTGTTTGCCCCACAGCCACCGCTACCCCCACAGACACGGTCAGTCCTACCGATACTGTCACCCCCACAGCTACGGTCAGTCCTACCGATACTGTCACCCCCACAGCCACGGTCAGTCCTACCGATACTGTCACCCCCACAGCCACGGTCAGTCCTACTGATACTGTCACCCCCACAGCCACGGTCAGTCCTACTGATACTGTCACCCCCACAGCCACGGTCAGTCCTACCGATACTGTCACCCCCACAGCCACGGTCACTCCTACCGATACTGTCACCCCTACTGCCACGGACACTCCTACCGATACCGTAACCCCCACAGCCACGGTCACTCCTACGGATACCGTCACCCCTACTGCCACGGACACCCCTACCGATACCGTAACCCCCACAGCCACGGTCACTCCTACGGATACCGTCACCCCTACTGCCACGGACACCCCTACCGATACCGTAACCCCCACAGCCACGGTCACTCCTACGGATACCGTCACCCCTACTGCCACGGACACCCCTACCGATACCGTAACCCCTACTGCCACGGACACTCCTACCGATACTGTCACCCCTACTGCCACGGACACCCCAAGCCCTACCGATACCGCAACCCCCACTGTCACGGATACTCCAACTGACACTGCCACCCCAACTACAGACGTGCCTACGACAGCTCCCACCACCGACGTCCCAAGCCCTACCGATACCGCAACCCCCACTGTCACGGATACTCCAACTGATACTGCCACCCCAACTACAGACGTGCCTACGACAGCTCCTACTACCGACGTTACTGTGCCTGTGACGAGTATTTCTGTTAGTATTACAGAGTCTCCCCCACCTGAAGTGACTACCGAGACGATTGCTCCCATCAGCCCTACCTCGGAGATCGTCCCCAGCACCACCAGTCTTCTCATCACCACCTCCGAGAACACTCAGCCTATTTCCACCCAAACGACGCTCTCCTTGACCGTTATCAGTGGGACCATCTACACCATCGACCCCAACGGCACTATTCTTCCCAACCAACCCGGCGGAAACAATGGAGGCATTGGCAGCGACGATGGACTGAGCGGATCAGGCTCGTCCAAGGGATTGAGCTCTGGAGCCACTGCAGGATTGGCTGTCGGAAGTATTGCAGTCTTGGCCTTGATCGCTGGAGCCTTCTTCTTGATCTTTAGACGCCAGTCTCGCCGTCTTGAGAACCCCAACAACCGTTTCGTTTCTCGTTCGGCGGCTGCTGGAGCTGGAGCTGTTGGAGCTGGAGATGACCTCGGACATTTGTACGGCTCTCGTCAGCCCGAGGGCACCGGCTCGCACGGCTCTCATGGATCTGTCCGCCATCTTGGCGGTGGTGGAGCTGGTCACATTGTTGTCGCGCCCGAGATGATGGAGCACCCTGCCAACCGCTCGAACCACAACTTGCATTCTGGACCGATGGCCTTTGGAACTAACGCTGCGCTGGGAGCATCGTCAGGACTGGCGGCTGTTCATGCCCATGATGGATACCACGAGTCGAGCTCGGATGGTCGCGAGATGTCGTCGAGCTATGGCGCCAGTGGTGGAAGTGCGCCTGGAGACAACACAGGCAGTGCCGCCGGTGGCCACAGCAATCCGTTCGGTACCGCGACTGGCTCCGTTCCTTCGATGCAGGGCCATCACCAGGGCTCACCCTCCGGAGGCTCTGGTTCCCCGCAGAGTCAGAAGGGTAGCATCCACTACATTTAATTATTGTTGATGCCCCCAAAACTAGAGTTCAATGCGCCGGCGGTTATTTCTTGGTTGATGATGTCGTTACTTAGAAAACTGGTTCCTTTATTCCCGCCTTTTTCTTGAAGGATTCTTAATGTCAGGAATTGGGCCCCATTTATTATTCTTTTTTATCTCTATCCATTCTCATATTCTTTTTTCTCATTTTTCTTCTTTCTTTGCCCAAAAATAAAACTTAACAATAAAACAAAAAAAACTTTTTTTTCTTCTGGTTGCGGTTCAACCACGCCATATCCACTGTCTGTCTTTTTTTTCTTGCTCTCTTGTGTCAAGGGTATGTGTTATTTTGCCTTGGTCAATGGTTTAATATTGCCACCAACGTTCAAGAGACAAGAAATAGTGGCTTAGTAATAATTTCGGACAGTGCCTTCAAGTCGACAAAAGACAGGCGCGAGTCGAGGGTTGAGCAAATCCTCTTTGACTTGACCTAGAATCAGACATGGTACTTAAGGGTTCCTTATAGTCCACCCACATGGACATCCATCCGTTACCATGGATGCCATCGATCCATCCATCACATCGTCGCCGGGATCAGCACCATTCATTATCAACATTTTGGCATCCTTGTTGGAGGAGGCGTTATCATCGGCCATCGATTTGTCATAAGGGCGACATCTGCATCAGGAGATCTTTTTTTTGAGGCGGCTGGAGGAACCCGACGTACAAAGCCGAGCATACGATCGGATGATGGTCTGGGAAGATGCAAAGACAACACGTTCCCGCAGGAAGAACGAGAGATCTCTTCTACTCCATCGCATCATCAACAGCAGAAGACAGGATCCCGAGCGGAACTCTAGACTAAGGGACCGAGTAGTGGCGATGTCGAGTCTCGTTTTGTAGGAGAACCTCTGAACCAGCACTCGCCTTGTCGCTACATCCTCTCTTTTGGTCTATGATGGAGCCTCTTGCCGTTCTTCGACAACACCAGCAACAGTCAGCGGGAGGAGAGCACTGAGCTTTGCCAGAGGGGTTGATGAGAGCCAGACGACTGGCCGCATCAGACTGTGTGTCTACAGTCGAACCTCTGTCCGGGATCAGCAAACGCTCCTCGACACACATCAACACACTCGACATCTATTCATCAGCCAACAACACCCGTTTTACCTCAACCAAGCAACTCATCGGGATCAGCTCCGTGGGAGAACAAGGAACCTCTATCAGTCTGCTTTGCTTTTTTGCGGCTTTGCGCCGTATGAGTTTACAGACTGGTCAATTGGTCCGTGTTGTTTTTACACACTGCGCCAACACCTTTGACAAGGCCAAATATCAGGAGAACCTCTTACAGGGAACATTCAGGAAGAGGAGTCAGCGGCACTACCACATTACTATCAACCCCATACATGCACACACAGAAACCCATGCAACAAAGGATACTCATCATCCCTCTCCTGCCTCTTTTCTTTTCTTTCCTTTCCTCGGGAAATTATCATGATAATAGCCTTCCAACAAGTCGTTCATCATCAAGCGCAAGCTCGGAAAGAAGCAGAAGCAGAACCGCCCTCTGCCCAACTGGTGCCGCATGCGTACCGATAACAAGGTATGTTCCGCTCTCCCTTGACAAAACGCAGACATGGCAACTTGAGAACAAGCCTTTTTTTTTTGTCTCAAACATGCATGGAAATGTTAAGAAAGCAACGGTTTTCCTAACCACTTTATGCTTGCTTTCGATGGACATGAATCGAAATAGATCCGCTACAACGCCAAGCGCCGTCACTGGCGCCGCACCAAGCTGGGTCTGTAAATACGCCTTTTTTCCTATTCGTTTTTTCGACAAGGCTGTATTTTTTTATTGGTTTTTACGACGACGTTCTTTGGAAAGTCTCTTTCGAAACAGAGTTGTGTTGCCATTAAAGACAAGATCCCCGCTTTTCTGCGTTTGAGCACTTATCCCTTTGTTTTTGGTTGTTGCGTGAAAGGTTGTCGGTAGTGGGCGGTAGTGTCCTTATTCTTGTTGGCTCGTGTAACTGTGGATGGAGGAATGATTCAGTTGTGGTGAAGGTATATATGTATGCCTGTGGAAGTGAAGGTGTTCCCGTGTTTTCCCTTTGAATATGTGCCCGTATAAGAGGAGTTCATTTCGTACTATTGCGACATTCTTGGGGAGGTCGACGAACGAGCAAACAAGGTTGTGCTACATTGGGCTTTGCTGGTTTGAGTGTATTTCTATGTTGTTGAAGGGAGGCAGCAATTTGAGCAGGAACAGGAGAGAAAGAAAGAGACAAGACGACCAGGTCCTAGGTAGCTGAACAAGTCGTAGAGTAGATTGCGTCTTTATTAAAGACGCGAGTCTCTAAAGTATATACTGTTGTTTCCCTATGTCACAACCTATGGGACCCTTTGGTGATATATCAGTGCATGTGTGCCATCAGTGTATCATCACCATTGCGAAGTGCGCGCACACATAATTTGCTCTCACGCAGCCCATTCGTTCCTTTTTTTTATTTCGCCCCCTCTTCCTCTTCCTTCTCTCTTCGTTCTCTTTCTTCCTTCTCTGCGCCTTATTTCCACTCTTCACTTTCAACACTCTCTCTTCCTTCCCTCTTCCCTCTTCCCTCTTCGCTCTTCCCTCTTGCCTTCTCTTCTCCATCAACCCATCTCTCACAACAACCACCCACCCTACCCATCAACTAAAGCCCTCCTATGCTATTCCAGCCCTCATTCCCCGACTCGGACCCAGAGCCCCTGTCGCCCAGCAGTCACGAGGACACCACTCGCCCTACCTGGTCACACGCCATCCTCGTTGAACCTTCTTACGACACCACTCAACACCTGCAGTTTCAAGCTACTGACCCCTCTTTCTCTGGCTCTGGAACTGCTTATCAAGCACCCTCTTCCTCCCCGGCTTACTCGCCCACCTCAAACGTCGAACTCGGTTACGTTGGTACTTTGGCAGAAACAGGACAGGTCTCCTCGGGTTCCCACTCGCTCTTGACCAACAGCTCTCAATACGGCTATGGTCTTCATGACGACGATGAGGACGAAGAGGATGAAGTCGAAGACGAGGAGGACACTCTGCGCTTTGCTGTTGCTGCACGAGAGATTGAGAAATTGGAGGAGGAGTATGTCCAACAACAGCAACAGCAACAGCAACAGGAACCGCAGCAGCAACAGCAACAGCAAGAGGCTATGGTTATTGAGGACGACGAACATGAGAGTGAGCTTAATACTTTGTATCCTGTGACCCAGCCCTTCACTGAAGCTGTGCCTGCGGGCGTTGGGTCTGACGTCCCAGAGACTACATGTACGTTGTATGTTTTTCCCTGCTTTGCCTTTGGGTTTGCCTTTGCGCCTGTTTGTTCTTTCTGCGAGTGCATGCTTTGAATGGCAACAAAAGGGAGGCAAAGTGCACTAACTAACTCAACCTTACCATATTACTACTGCCCCCCCACCCCCTTATTTTTTCTTCACCTTTCCCTTACTTCCCTATTGTCTCTATTGCTTCGCTGACGACTCCAATACGACACAGATACGACCCGAACTGGACCCTTTGTTCACCTCGAGATTCAAGAACTGAGAACTTCTCAGAGCAACAGTGGTCACGAGCAGCAGCACCGTCTTACTGGCACCTTGCCCCGACCACGACAGTTCATCTTTGAGCCCAACACCCGGTTGTTGCTGGGACGAGCGCCCTCGTCCGGTTTGGATCCCAAGGCCCGCTTGAAGCAGCTCTCCGAGGTCGGCAAGGACGCAGGTCAGGCTCGGGCCGAAAACGGATACGATGATGGATTGTTCGCCAATCAAGTGATCAGCAAGTTGCATGCCACCATCTTTGAGCGAGACGGACAGTTGGTCCTTGAGGACTGGGAGTCGACCCACGGCACGTTTGTCAACGAAAAGTCTGTTACTCGCAAAGCCTTGCACGACCTAGACCGCGTCCGATTGGGCCGCCCCGTCACCCGGCGAGATATTCATTACCAGCCCCTAGAGTTTGTTGTTCGCATTCAGAGCCGAGAGCATTATGAGCACCCGTCCACACGAGCTGACCCAGCTGACCTGGTTGCTGGTATTGATCAACAGATGATGACTGACATCCTTGACAACTCTGCTGATACTTCTACCCCTCAGAGCCAGAAGACGGTTATCTTGTTGGATGACGATGACTTTGAGGAGGAGGATCAGGCTGACCTCTTGGCTCGCACCCAGACCCGAGTCGAGTCCCTTGACGTTCAGGAGCCACTAGAGCGGACTCCCACTGACGAGCAGGAAGCACAGGAAGCACAGCACGAGGACGATACATTCTATGGCATAGAGAACGACTATGAGGCTGACGAGGATGAGACTAATGTAGATTATGATGACGGCGACGGCGCATTCGAGCAACCTGAGCAAGGTTACGAAGAGGGGCCGCAGCTTGATTTCGAGGTTGAGGATGCTGCGATTGAGCAGTTTGGGGACGACTTCTGGGCAGGCGGGGGTGAGCCTTCTGCTTACGACGAACAGCGCAAGCAGCGGAAAGAGTACGATGTTGATGACGACGAGGAAGAGGAGGCATTCTCCCGCAAGGCTGCCGACTACGAGCTGGATGACGATGAGGACGATGTTCTCTTGACCCGCTATGAACCCGCTCAGTCTGACCTCACTGAGATAATCAACTCTGCCACTATTCGTGATGCTCCCGAGGTGAGACAAACACAAACTGGACATATGCTACTAAAATCATTTCTATATCCACTGCGCCATCAGAGTCGAACTGGCCGACATCCTTTTAACCATACCTCTTTTGCTTTCGTCTTCGCCCCTAGGATGACGAGGATATGCCAACTGTGGACGAGACTGTCATTAAGGAAACAACGTCGACATCCACCACGACGACTACGGTCACCATTGCTACAGCCTTGCCCACAGATGCAGTCGTCGAGGAGAGCCAGGGTAACAATCTCAAGCGGAAGCACAGTGAACTCGAGGACGAGCCTCCTGTCTCACTCCACATCGCACAACAGGAGTTGCAGACATCAAAGTCAAGGAGGGCTGCGCTGCTCGCTGCTGCACTCGCCGGCGTGGTTGTCGGTTCTGTTGGCACCGTTCTGACGTTGGCCAACATCTAGAAGGAACGATAGGACGTTCATTTCGGCTGGACCCATCTATGATCGCTTTGTGTTTTATTTCCTTTTGCTTCTTTGTACCCCTTTGCGTAGTTCCTTTTTTCTTTGATTTGCTTTTTTTTGCTTGCGTTTTTCTTTTCTTTTGGCTCATGTCTAGCCACTACTTTGTACACACCTCTCAGGCATACACATGTGCTGCGCGCACTCCCAAGTTTATATTGCTTTTTTATCCAACCTCACACACACCTAGCTATGACAGCTCACACAGACACAAAACCACAAAGCCACAAAAGACGAACGAACACACATATCAATCTTAGGCAGTTGTTCAATACACACCGACTTTTTCTTGATTGTTCTCCTAGTTTGCATATGTCGTTGTGATACAAAGAGGTGATAGGGTGTCGCGAACTCAAATTCACGCGCTCGGCTGGTGCATCGCGGAAATCGGTTCTTCGCCTTCTTTTATGTCATTTTGCTCTCAGACTTGCTCTTCATAGCAGACTGCCTTTGAGAGTGCAAAGACCGCAACCATCTCCGGCCCAACCCATGCACCCATAACAGTTGAATAAAAACAACACACGCAAAAAAAAAAAGATGTATGGTTTGCAAAAGGTGATTTGTATTTGATAATGTGTCAATGGGGGTGGGGTGGGGGTGGGAGTGTTCCCAAAAAAATGAATAAAACAAAAAAAAAGTGAAAAATGATGCAACTCTCCTCCTCGTTCATAACTTGCTCGTACAACGCAACGTAAGCAGATACCTAAATACCTTCCAAGAGAAGGATTTAGTAACCGCCACGGCCACGGGGAGCACCACCACCACGGCTGAAACCGCCACGTCCGCGAGGAGCACCACCACGGGGGGCACCACCGAAACCGCCACGTCCTCCGCGGGGGGCACCACCGAAACCACCACGTCCTCCGCGGGGGGCACCGAAACCGCCACGGGCTATATCGATTTGAGGAACAAGGTAGAGAGGGGACAGTGTTAGAGATAGGTATAATGGCAATGAAACGAGAGCAGGGTCGGATCAATGAATCCCGATGGACGGTGGAGAGAGAAAAGGAGAAGAGACACTTACCACCACCACGGGCACCACCACGGGCACCGCCGCGACCGGCATTCATTCCCTGCATACCTCCGCGCTTGGCGACTATTAAGGTGCACAATGAATTGAAAATGAGTTAGTCGAGTGTCCTTTCAACCATCATCACAACCTGGGCGCAATGAAACGCAAAAAATAAAAGAACAAAAAGGAAGGTAGACGTACCCTTGCCGCCAACGACCTTGGGCTTGGGGAGGAAGCGCTCGAGGGGGAGGAGCTTATCAGGGGCGATGAAGACCTTGTCGTTAGCCTTGAACGAGGTAGCGACCATGCCGTCCTGGAGCTTGATAGTGAAGTAGAGCTCGTTCATGGGACCCAAGATCTCGTCGACCTTGCCGATCTGGGACTTGTTCTCGAGATAGATGGGGGCGTTGAAGTAGGGGATCTTGACGTTTGTCGACTTGCAGACCATCTCACCCTCGCAGGCGTGCATGAACTGACCGATCTCTGCAATGGATATAGAGGAAGAGTGGTGTTGTAGTTAGTTTCTTATTCTTTTCATGCATTTTGGTCAAAGATGTATACTGCCAGGAGTATTGACACAAGGCTGATGGCGCCAAATGTGCTCCGGATCTACAGGAGACCGATTGTCCACAACGAAAATGACTCCTGAGATCAATGGGGTCCATGAAAGTCCAATTGGCGAGAATGTCTACGACCCAACACTACGATTCTCAGGATAGGTCGATGTCGCGGCACGCCGGATCGAGAAGTGAATCTGATGGCGTCCTTGAAAGGAAGTGTTGTCAACAATACGGGATCCAATGTTCCAATAGATCGCCTCGCCCAGTAAGATGATTGATCTCGATCCTGTATCGTTCGCTAAGATATCGCCTTCCTTCAATTGAGAAGCTACTGAACGAGGGCCAACCAAGGAGAAGGTGAGAGGTATTTACCAGTGACGGAATCTGGTGGTCCGAAAGAGGGAGCACCACCGCCAAAGCCGCCACGACCACCACGGGAACCACCACCGAAACCACCACGGCCTGGGAAAAAAATTGAGTAAGTTCAAGAAAGGAAGAGCGAGGTTAATATCAAAGTCGTAAGCTATGTGTCGGTGCGAACTTCAACTGTTCAATCCAGGTCGTTCATAATAACAGCATAGAAAGCGAGACTGAAGAGAGGTGAGAGGGCCGAGAAAAAAAAAAGGGAAAGTGTGTTGTTTGTTGATGTTCTTGTTGGTCGATGAGGCAGTAAAGGTGGAATGAGTTTTTTACCTCCACGGGGAGCACCACGACCTCTGAAGCTCATGTTATATATGTGTTATTAAGGCGAAAGGAGAAGAGAGAAGGACGATCCAGCGAGAGGGTAATCGATGGATTGGAAGGGAGAGAGAGAGTGTTGATGGGTGGGGAGTGGAAAACAAACAAATGGGCCAGAACGACTGTGATAAAGTATTCTGTAAGAGAGAGACTTTTGTCTACACGGTGCCAGTACTAGAGTAGAAGGGACTTCTGATTTTTTTTTTTTTTTTTTTTGCTACTGTTTACATGGTGCGAGAATGTGGCTTATCAATGTGACTAGTTTTTCTGAGAGCTTAATTAACGAGCAAGTCCTAGGCAAAGCAAAGGTGGATGTTAACGAGCCTAGGAAGCAAGCAGCCAGGGTACGCTCAGTCGTCAAGGACTTGATCCTTTGGCCTGTCCTCCTGTAGCTAAGGAGCTGGTGCACTCTTCTTGGTCTTCTCACCCGCCTTGTCAGGACCATCGACACCAATATCCGCTGCATCGCCAATACCAGCATCTTCGTCAACAACAATATCATCATCACGCAGCAGGCCAGTCCGACCGATATGTCCATCATGCTCTCCATCTGATGCTTTAGGTACACACATAAGCTGGTACACCGAATCATCCACCTCCTTATCGATGCCCTTTGGTTCCTTTGGGCTGCTCAAGCTGGGTTCAGCCTGGCCTTGATATTGATTCTCATTGTTTGGTCCTTGGTTGTTGGGAACGTTATTCAAAGGGTAAAGATGGCGATATTCTGCGGGGGTAAGGTTGACGGTCCGAGAGGCGTTTCCGATAGCAAGGATTGTCTCCACGATTGCTTCCTCGTCATCGGGGCAAGCCGAAGGTTCCTCAGTGGCGGCACTCACATCGATTGAGGGCGCAATTATCAAATCCTGGGTCTCCCATGGAGCTGGCTCCAGGTCATCTCGTCGCATAAGATATCGCCAAACCGTGAATCCCGCTTTCCCCTTCTCCGGCCAGTACTAGAAAAAGTAAAGAAAAGGGGTGAATTTCTTGCATGAATGACAGACTAGTTATTTTAACCTCAGTCATACTCAGTTCAAGTAAATACCTTGACGACTTTATAGATGCCATCATAGCGATAGCCAGATTTGGGAGAATACATGTTCAACAATTGGTATCCGCGGATAACACGGATAGGATGGCTTCTGTGCCAGTCCAATGCTTCTCCCCCTTTAATAGTGTCGATGGGACAGTCGCAGGTCATAGCCAGTCCATGATTCGCACGGGTCAACTCCTGATGGGAAGTCTGTTTACCGCCCGTATTTCCTCCGGCCCCCGTGTAGGTGAATTCATATCCCTTGTCGTCGTCGTCCATATATCCTCTTGAAAGTACCACCGATTCCGCACCCACTCCCGCTTGTCCTGAGATTCCTGCCATGGCCGGTCTAAAGCGAGCGTAGGTAAATTATCATGATGGTCAGTCCAGGCTCATCTATCATTCAACAAGGCAAGTTGAGTCTAGCAGGATCGTGTGAAATAGTCTCCTCGACACACCTGTGAACTCCAGCACGAGAAGCATCGATTCGCATTGGCCAAGTCGATCCAACAGGAATTCCTGGAATAGGCCCTGCAAATCGCATGTCGATACTTGCTGACGGAGGAGGACGTGCTGATAAGCGAGCTTGTGGTGGATATGTCGGCGGTGAACGCGGACGCGGCGGCTTCTCCTCGCGTTTGCCTTTTGCGGGCGATGTGCTTCGTCGTGAGTCCGTGTGAGACCGAGCTGGGTCATCCTGTTTGTCCTTTGCATATGGCGGTCTTTTTTCCAACACAGAGCTCAATTCGCTCGAGGCCCGTGAAGGTGTGGGTGTGGGTGTGGATGTGCGTGTGCGTGGAGGTTTGTTCGATTTGAGGGCGACCTTGTTGTTGCTCTGGTAGTCGTTTTCTTTGATATATGTGATCGGAACGATGGCGATATCGCCGCTTTCGACGAACCCGCTCTTGCTGAGTGTGCTTTCGTTGTTGAGCTAAAAGCGAGTTTTAACAAGGGGAACAATTGCGATCTATGTGAGACATCATCGTTGGGTGGTTTGATGTTGGACGCGCCAAGACTCTTTATTAAAGCAGGAAACGTTCAAGGAAAGGACAAGTAGAACTTGCAAAGATACTGTCGAAAGAGCTGTTTGCTGTCGAGATTTGTTTTGTTTTGTACTCTGTACCTGGTTGTCCTGGTAGTATAGGTAGAATGCGTTTTCATCGACGTCGTACTGCTCCGCGATCCTCTCACGCACCCGCTTGATGGTGGTGTTGATGGAGGGGACGAAGAAGGATTCCACTCGGTCAGGTTGCTGGATGAGGTGGAAGTTGACTTTCATTGTGGGTTTGGGTCGTTCTGTTGTTGGTGTTGGTGATGAGGTGGTTCTGAGGAATGAGTGACAAAGTTGCGATGCATTTGGTGGCGTAAACTTTATTCTTCGGATGAGAGTATTAAGGGCGATGGAAAAGTCAAGTGATATGCAAGGGTATTGGTTTGAATCGCATTTACTGTAGACGCGCGCCCGATTACGCGTGCGCCAACCATTCACTGAATATTGGTGGCAGACCAGCTATTGACAGAGGGCAGTCGCCCCGTCGTAAGCGCACTCTTGAACATCGCTTTGACAGTACTTTTTGCATCGCACAGGAGACAGAAAGAAGCACACGTCGCCCTTTTCACTCTTCTCTTTTTTTACTTGCAAACACATCCACCCATCAACTCAACACTCTACTCGACCCCCCGGGATATATCTGTCTTCTCTTCGCCTCTCACTACGAACAAGACACTACAGCAAAGAACACGCCCAACTCTCATTCACACTCACTCGCTCACCAACTCAACAACCTACCACTCACAAAAACACAAGGACATACTCCTAGGACCCAAACTATGGTCGGACTCACTTCTGCTGGTACGGCCTTACTTACAAGACTACAGGAATAAAGCGCTTTGCTGGTTCATAAGCAGGAAGTGGCATGCGTGCATACATCCTTAGCACTTTGCATGTTGTTAATGTCCCTGCGTTCATTTTTCATTGTGCGCCTTTTTTAGCCGGAATTATCGCGCTCCTTGACGAGCATGACGACGACCTCAAGGTCTACGCCCTCCAAAAGCTGAATGGCATTGTGGATCAGTTCTGGGCAGAGATCTCGGACGCCGTCTCAAAAATGTAAGCGCCCGTCTTTGCGTGCGTCTTTTGTTACTCTAGATATTCTTTTTGAAAGAGAAACGCTCCAAGTTGTCGCGTCCATAAACAAGTCGACTAACACCATATTGCTTGACATCGATAGTGAGATCATGTATGAGGACACAGAGTTCAAGGATCGTGCATTGGCAGCCTTGGTCGCCTCCAAGGTACTGTAACTCTGATCAGGACTTCACGCTTTACTTGAAAACTGCCTGCGCCTCCAGGAGACGAGACATTGATAGTGAGAGAACTGAACACTAACGCAACAACTGGATTATTTGCACTGTGACTTTCGACACCTTGTAGGTCTACTACCATCTCGGCGAGTTTGACGACTCTCTCAACTTTGCTTTGGGAGCAGGCAACCTCTTCGACCTCTCGTTAAAGTCTGAATACGTCGATACTATTGTTTGTAAGTGGATCGGTCAATTTATCAATGTGCACGTTGAAGCACGAGTTGCTGTCAAATAGATCACAACTAACCGTAACCTGCTTATTTGCTGTTGCATGTTGATTAGCCAAATGTATTGACAAGTACATTGCCGTCAAAGTTCAGGAGCAGCAAGACTTACAAAACGCAGAGCCAATGGATTCCCGACTCAAGGCTGTGGTTGAGAAGATGTTTGACCGCTGCTATCAGGATGGTGAATACAAGCAGGTACTGTTTACCGTTTTGCACTCGACCATTATCAAGGGGGTTATCTTTGGCTGGCATATCAGACCTTGGACATGGACGCGGATCTGACCTTTGTTCAAAATTGACATTTCGTTACATATAGGCTGTCGGTATTGCTCTGGAGGCACACCGTTTGGATGTTGTAGAGCACTCGATCAAAGCCGGTGGGCCCTCCGTTATCCTTCCCTACGTTTATGATCTGACCATGACAGTCGTGCAGGATCAGGCATACCGCAACACTCTTCTCCAGCTTTTGGTCGAGCAGTTCCGCCAGTTGGAGGAGCCCGACTATGTCGCCACCAACCAGTGCCTTGTCCATCTTGGACACCACAAGGCCAGCGCAGAGCTTCTTCAGCATCTCGTCAGCTCTGGTTCTCAGGTTAGTGACACCCCTAGCCGGTGACATTGTTTATTGTTTCGAAAACCCTTATAGTGTACAGTACTAAACCTCGTACTATGTTCTACTTTCATGACAATAGGCAGATTTGTTGATGGCATACCAGCTCGCATTTGATCTCGAGAACAACGCAACACAAAAGTACTTGACCAAGGTCTCGGATGCCCTTCCTGTCGATGCTGCTGATGCCCCTCAGCCAAAGTTTGCCAAGGTGAAGTCGATCTTGTCGGGCAAGGAGACCATCAAGCTTCAGCTTGAGTTCCTCTGCCGCAACAACCACACTGACATGTTGATCCTCAAGGACTCCAAGGTGAGCATCTTTGGTATCCTCATGTGCAACAACATCCGTTTGAAACGCGCAACGGTGTCGAAACCCTGTTGACTGACTGACCTGATATCCCTTCCTAATTTTTAGAATGTGCTCGATGCCCGCTTATCTGTCTACCATTCCGCAGTCACATTCGCCAACGCCTTCATGAACGCCGGAACCACCAGCGACGATTTCTTGAGACAGAATTTGGAGTGGCTCTCCCGTGCGACGAACTGGTCCAAGTTCAGCGCCACTGCTGCCTTGGGTGTCATTCACAAGGGGCAGCTCTCACGAGGACTCAGCCTCTTGGCGCCATACCTTCCCCAGGATGGCGTCACTGCCAGCCCTTACTCTGAGGGAGGATCCCTCTTTGCCCTCGGACTCATCCATGCCAACCACGGAGATGAGGTTCTTGACTACCTTCGCGGAGTTTTGAGGGACACACAGATCGAGGTGTTGCAGCACGGCGCATGTCTTGGTCTTGGTACCGCAGGCATGGCCACCGACAACGATGGTAAGCTGTCGTTAGCAAACTGTGCTCACGATGTCACCTTTTTCACGTATAATAAGACCCTCAGATGACCAACCTTTTGTCATTTATTTCCTAACTTTAGATATCTACGAGGAGCTCAAGAACGTCCTGTTCAGTGATAGCGCCATTGGAGGTGAGGCTGCCGGTTTGGCCATGGGTATGGTCATGCTCGGCACTGCATCAGAGAAGGCCTTGGACGAGATGTTGCAGTACGCCCACGATACTCAGCACGAGAAGATTATCCGTGGATTGGCTGTCGGTGTCTCTCTTGTGATGTACGGCAAGGAGGACGCTGCCGATTTCTTGATCGAGAGACTTTCGGCCGACAAGGACCCCATTTTGCGCTACGGAGGCATGTACACCATTGCCATGGCCTATGCTGGAACTGGAAGCAACAAGGCTATTCGCCGCCTCCTCCACGTTGCTGTCAGTGATGTCAATGACGATGTTCGTCGCGCCGCCGTCACTGCCCTCGGCTTCATCATGTTCCGTTCGCACAAGCAGGTCCCCCGCATTGTCCAGCTGCTTTCTGAGAGTTACAACCCCCACGTCCGCTATGGTGCCTGCTTGGCTCTTGGAATCTCTTGCGCCGGAACTGGATCATTAGACGCCATTGAGTTATTGGAGCCTATGACCAAGGACAATGTCGACTTTGTGCGTCAGGGTGCCTTCATCGCTTTGGCCATGGTCTTGATGCAGCAGAACGAGGCGCAGAGCCCCAAGGCCGCCAGCGTCCGCAAGATGTACGAGGAGGTCATCAAGAAAAAGAACGAGGATGCTTTGGCCAAGTTTGGTGCTGTTCTCGGCCAAGGAATCATTGATGCCGGTAAGAAAAATGAGCTGTGCGAATGGCGCAGCACATGGTTATTTTGTAACAATGTTTACAGAGTACTCATCAATTGAATGTGTCTTTTTTTGATACTATAGGAGGGCGTAATGTGACAATCTCGCTGCAGTCTCGCTCTGGACACTCCAACATGCCCGCGATTGTTGGCGTCGCTCTTTTCACACAGTTCTGGTACTGGTTCCCAGCAAGTCATTTCCTCAGCTTGGCCTTCACTCCCACAGCCATCATTGGAGTCAATGCTGATTTGAACTTGCCCGAGATTGAGTTCACCTCCAACGCCAGACCCTCGCTGTTTGCCTACATTCCCCCCACCAAACCCCCAGCAGCCGTTACTGTCGAGAAGGTGGCCACTGCTGTTCTTTCTACCACAGCCAAGGCCCAGGCCAAGGCAAAGAAGGCCAAGAACGCCGAGTCTGACGCCATGGACGAGGATGAGAAGCCAGTGGTCAAGACCGAGGAGGCGAAGGAAGACGAGGTCAAGACTACTGCCAAACCCAAGAAGGAGGCCCAGTTTGAAAAGTTGGGTAACTTGGCAAGAGTCGTGCCTGCTCAGTTGAAGTATATTTCCTTCGACAAGGATGCACGCTATGTCCCAGTAAAGAAGGTATGGCGCGTCGACTCTACTTCTTCACCATCTCGAAGGAACGCGTACAAGTCCAATTGTTTTTGACCATACAACTCACTCTATGTTTATATTCGTTCAATAGGATGTGACTGGAGGAATTGTAGTTTTGCAGGATAACAAGCCCGACGAGCCAGAAAACTTGATTGCAACGACGACCTCGGCGGTTGCATCAACCCCACCAGCGTCTGGTGCCGATACCAAGATGGAGGTCGAGGAGGAGGAAGCACCTCTGCCAGAGCCCTTCACCTACCCCTTCGGGGACGAATAAGGTCTAGACACTCGATGACTGTGAGGAGGGGGCTGTATTATTTTTCACTTAACCATTGCCTGCTCTTTCATAATGAACCCGTTACTCAACCGAAATCACTCATCCTCACCAACGCTTGAAATAAAACCCATGATGAAAGAATACACACACCTGGCATACGTCCAGTCATTGAAAGGGGGGGTTAGTATCATGTGCGACTGAAAAAGAAAAAAGAGAGATTGGATGCGGAGGGGACTGATGGACACCATGTTCTGCCTTGTTTAGTTCACGTCTTTATTCGGGAACAGCAAGCGAAATGTGAAGAAGACTCTCGACCGGCCAATGAGAAATTAGTCGGAGCTCGTAACTGAGGGCGAAGGCAAGGCGAGGTTATTACCATATATTTTTTTGCTGTTGTTGTTGTGTTCAGGGCTACATGACCATTGTGCCCCTTTTTTTGCGTTTCTCACCTCTCCAGCAGTTCAACACACAGCTTGTAAACATAGTCATACGCCTCACTTTGTTTTCTATTCTTTTACGATCATTCAGTCGTTGTGGCCTCACCTTCCTGGACGACTTCCATCTGAATGAGGTCCTCCTGGGTGAGTACCTCCTGGATGACCTTCTCATCGGGGAACTCCTCGTGTAATGTCAAGGTTAGGATCTCGACCATTACTCTGTCTTCATCCTCAGGCACCTCTCCATACAGCTCGAGCAATTTTCCCTGCTGTCCTGTAGCCATATCCACGATATGGGCCTTCTTGCTTCATGGTCAGAGTCATCATTGTCCAGGCCCTTGTTCGTCTCTTCCTGTTTGCGCTTGCTTTCTTCGATGCAGGATTGCGGCTGCACAAAGATGTTCCAAGTAATGTCTGAGTAGTTTCCGGAGTAGTTTTGGGAGGTTAGCTGCGTTTTGAACGGGGTCTGTCAACCTCATCCCATTCGGTCAATCCAGGTAGCTCTCCCTTGGCCATCTCATAAAGGACACAGACCAGCGATCAAATGTCCAATGCAAAAGAGTGTTACTTTTTCTCCACCACTTTAGGCACCGTGCCTGACTTCTTCCTATGTACGTAGCAAATGCGGAGCGTTCATGCGTTAATATCTGTTCCCTGCATGTATGCGTTCATTGCAGTTCGTGTTCTAACTTATATTCATATTTTACCAGTAGTTGCATTCTTCCATATCCTCCGCAAACCCCAGCTCGCGCAGCTTGTCGGCATCGCATCTGTTAAGAACAGATTCTGCGGCCTCACATCTGAGTGGGCGCAACCCAGCTTGTGCAGATGTTACAGGGCAGCTGCGACCTGTTTTCTGAAGTAGCGAACCTCTGGCTCTGTTGGACTGTCGCGGGCATACATGATATATCCCAAGTCCTACCGGTAAGTATGTTTGCGAGGCGTTATTGCGGTTAGAATCGACTTTGACGTCATCACCATTCACAATTGCTGCCCATGGAGAACGTCGAACGGTGTTCTTACCAGTCCAGAGAACATTTCAAATAGAGGGCAGGTCGATGAAGGGCATTCAAAACGACGTAGAAAGACAACAATGTTCGGATGGGAATTCTCAGCGGTCGCCAGCGGTGCAGCCAGTTCCCTCTCGACCTAAATATGCGACATGAATCAATTTTCAGTTAGCAATTTGTTATCAGGATTGTCATTTTTTCCTTCGACACCATTATCATGACCCATCATCCGAAACCTATCCCTCTGGTCTACCTTCTGCATCTTAAAAGGTTTTAATGGCGTGGCAGTCGCCATCCTGGTCCTTGACTTTGTCCACATGTCCATACCCACCCTATTGAAGATTCGATTGTTAGTGGAATTGTTAGTCATCTGAAAGTATGTTCGATGGTACTGACCCTTTCATGTTTCCTTGTGTTTAAAAACAAAAATATAACTCCTGTTTCCTTGTGTCAATTGATTGCTTACCTCGCCTACGTCCATCGTGTTGATATGACTCGCTCGACTCCTCACTAAAATATCGCACTGAATTCATGGACACCCTCGATAACGCTGCCGTGAATGGTGATTCCCTCAGTATTGACGTCTTCGAGGGATGGTGCATGGTGATGGAGTGGTGGAACCGGCGGGCATGTCACCAACGGCGGGAGTCCCTCTTGCAGTTGAACTAAGTCTCGTTGGTGCTGTCGCTGTATCGAATGACGTCCATGTTGATCGCGGTAGTTGGGGTCTCCGAGTAAGTGTGAATGAGTGGTTGTGTTGTCAAGTTGGAAGGAGGGGATGTTTCTCTTTGCAGTTGTCAGGTTGGCCATTGAACCTCGTTAGTTCAGCACAAGGGCTGACTTTTAATTGGACGAGGGGAAGGACAAGGAAAACAGTACATTATTCATCGCCATATTTTTTTTTTGTTGGTCAACTGAAATGACTCTATTCCATTTTTTCCGAAGTTCAACCTGTAAGTATCTCGTCCTTGAGCCCTGGAAGAAAGAGAACAAGTCCGACAATGGGTATGGACCGTGGTTGATGCAGATATCAATTTTACTCGAGGTGGGAGAGTAATGGCAGCTCTTCTTTATCTATTGTATATACAATATGTTACTTTGTAATGGACTGACATGACTACTTTTTCTTTCATCCATTCAAGGGTGGTCTGGGCACACCGACTGCCATGGTGAGAAAAACTTGGACAGAAGGCGGCGTAGCTTGCTCTATCATTTTTTTCTTTATGTTCCTTATGTGCCTAACAACCCTTGTTCTTGGCATTCTGCACGAGAAAGTACCAATAACATATTCTCTTTCCTTTCCTTTCTCTGGACAAAAGCCAAGTTGCTTTGGTTTGTTAGGTGATGCGTCTATCCGTTTCCGTCACTCTCTCTTTCCTTCCTTTCTCGTTCGGTTGGCAACTCAGCTAAGCTACCTTCTTTCCTCCTCTCCTAATCAGATACCGCAACATGCTGTTTTTCCCATGACCTCACCTCCATCTTCTTTTTTCTTGTCGCCCTTCTTTTTTCCGTTAGCTGTCTTTTTTCTTTCGCTACCAAGCTGCATTTGTCTTTCGTGCTCTCGTTCTTTCTTTGTGGTACCCTCCGGCCATTGTTCCCTCGCTCGGGCCTTCAGTTTCTCCTCTCTCTAATCTTTTCCTATCTTCAGTGCATTCATTACTCATTCAACCAGCAACAAGTCATTCGATATCGCCTCACTGCAAGGACCCCCCATTCACAACCGCCCACACTTTTTTTTTTTTTTGCGAAAAACCAAGGAAAATACACTGTAAACATCAATTCATCAATTACCATATTCGTTGCAATCATCAACAGAAACAGGGGTAAGGTGTTGTGGGCACCATCTTGGGCTCAGTGGAGTGCAATCATTTCGCTAATAGGAGATCTCTCATGGTTTCTCAGAGAGGCCTTTCCTTTTATTCTCTTCAGGGAGGAAGACATTTGTGCTTGTCTGTTATGACTACGAGGGCGATATTTTTGCCTCACACCAAACAATGAACGATTGTTCAGCTCATATCCATGTTACAATTCCCTTCGTCCCATCAAAACAAAAAACACATGGGCGTATGGACTTACGTCGACACTGTATTCATATTCTAGGTCTTTTCGAAGAAGGACCAACAAGAAAGAAAAGTGACCCTTAATATTTTGGAGTGATGGCGCAGCCCTCGGATAAAAGAGAATAAAAGAGAAGGCCTTGGAATTTTTGATCCTCCACCTTTCCTTCTTTTGCGCTTCCTGATCTTTTGCTCGTCACATTTCACTCGCATCAGCTTGCACAGGACCATTATGTACTCCACATTCAACCAACCTACATCTACCCAACAAGGCTCCCAGAGCACTCAAGAAGGCTCCTCGCAAGAACCCTCAATGGCAGCAAGAGCAGCAGCAGCGAGCTCCACCGTCGCCACCACTAGCTTTGACTCTACGACTTTGTCCGCCACTGCTGCTCCTGCTGGCACCAAGAACCCGTCAGATCAAGGAGAGTCTCGGTTGTCCAGTCAAGACCTGGACACTGAAGGCGAGGACGAGGAGCTGGAAGGACCCCTGCCTCCCACAAGGATCAAGAGCCAGCCAGGATTCTTGGATGCGTACCCTGTACGTACTTTGACATGGTTACTCCACTTTTGCCTTTGTCTCTATCGAGATGGTCATGCTAATATATATTTGCTCTTGTTGTGTCTCGATAGTACTACTACGACGGTATCACCTACCACCGATACAAGTATAGAAGAACGATCTCAGCGGTAGGAACATTTTTTCATACGATGAGTTACAATCGAGATATGTGCCTTGGTTCCATGAAGGTGGGACTAAACCAATATTTTTTGGCGTTATAGGGAGCATCAGCTACAGCCATCAAGGTTCGCGCGGAAGGAGTTCGATTTGATGGGGAGTCTCTGTGCATGAAAATCCTGAAGAGAACCTCGGAGAACTGGGAACAGGTACGACCAGATTGCAAAATAGTTGATATGTAGTTTAAAAGGTTACACAATGCTTGACAAACTTTTACGCGGTTCCAACGAGGCTCGTTTTTAACCCGTTATTCTGGGATACAAATAGTATGAACGCGAGGTCGTGGCTCTCCTCAAGACCAAGTCCCATCCATCGCCGTACATCGTCGGATTCTACGGAGCTTTCGTTCAAAAGGATCATTACTGTATCGTCCTCGAGTTGGGTGAGCAGGTATGAACGGGCAAGCCGATTTACAAGACTGTGCATTGTAAATACTCCATTGTTTGTCGTTTTGCTTGTTTTCGCTAACATGTATCTCGAATTTGGCCCGCATGTTATAACAGAGCTTGCTAGACCTACTTGTGACCAAGGGTCGGACCTTGCAGAGGGCCGATTTCCAGCGGCTCGCCCACGAGATTGCGAAAGCCCTACACCACCTCCACAACCTTGACATCATTCATAGGGATGTCAAGCCAGACAATGTGCTCTTGACATTGTCCGGCAAGGTGCTTCTTGCAGATCTGGGCGAGTCGGAGGCTCTGGACGTCAACGGTACTACGACGTAAGTTTACAAGTTACAGGTTACGGTTGAGGATAAGGAAAGTTCATTTAATGATCTATTGACTTCTCATTTCTTCCACATTCGATGCAATAGTGGTCGATATGGCACGGAGGGGTTCATAGCGCCGGAAATCGTGGACGATACGATCCGCTATGGGCCTGAGGCCGATGCCTATGCTTATGGGTGCCTTGTACATTATATGCTCACATCGAATCTACCTGTCAAAGGAGTCTGCAGACGCAAGTAAGTACTGGCCTTAATATTTTTTTGATGGAGAAAATACCACTCTTGCGTATCCTGACTTGTTTTACTCATTCATGACCTTTAGGCTTCAGGGATGGCCAGAAGCATTTGACCTTGTTCAAAGCCTCATCTGTCAAGATCCTGTGCAGCGTAGAAGCATCTCTGCTGCTCTCGCTCACCCGTTCTTTCAAGAAGAGCATGCTGACCAAGGCTCAATTGACACCCATGGTGCGGCAGAGGAGGTGTCAACGGTCGAGTATCTTATGACACAGAGATACACGCATTGTGGTCGATGGACGGGTGCGTATGAGATGTCCGAGGAGTGAGTCACGACTGTCACGACTATGAACGCGGTGTGGAAGGCTGTCGTGTTGGAAACCTTGATTTTGCCTTAAAGTGATCGTTGGAAGGGAAGGAGGTAAGAGGGAGAGAGAGTGTGTGGTGCCATTTCCGCTGAGGCGGCTTGCATTCGACTTTCCCTTCTTTAATTTTTTGCCTCTTTTTTTTGGTTTCCCATTTCTCCTTCTAACCCCATCTTGCAGCACTTTTTCTGTCTCCAACACCTTCACATTCGTTTACCCACTCCCTACATAGAACAACAAAACACCATGACAATCGTGCCCAGCTCTCGATCTCCCTACCCCTCCGCGCCTTCCTCGTCTTCTACTGCATAAGAGAAGTGATGTGTCAAAGTCGACAACGACAGCGACACCACCGAGGCCCTTTCTGCCCATAGGAAGAGGTTACGCGAGGACTCCCAGTCCGGTAAGAGTCTACTGTGTCCATTATTCATCGCAAAACGAGTAGAAATTGTTAGATTTTCATTGCGAATGAGAAACGCCACTGTTTCTAAATAACTTTTTATTGGGCTCCTTGCACTCCTGCCCATGGTCTTTTATGTTCTAAAGAATTATGATTGAAAGCCGTACAAGGTTAAGAACGTCCTGCTATGGTATAAATTCGGTATTTTAACGCGGTTCTTCAATCTCCACCTTAGCCCCGACTGAGTCGGACCTTGCCATCGCCGCTCTCCTCCTTGCAGTGCTGAAGCAGGAGAGGAGGATGGCGGCCTCCAATACGACTATTCCTATTGGACACCCACCGGCCGTCGTCTCCACCAGGGCAAGGACATATAAAGTCCTTGGCCCTTACCCTCCACCCCTGTATAATATTAAAACATCATCATTGCTACCCACGCACTGAGTATTACCGTATAATTAAAGAAAGAGTTTGAGTGTGTATGCATGTGTGTTCCCCAATTTGACTATGCTTAGCCTGCATGGCATGTTTTGAACCCTCGACCCCTCGCATCCTCTCACTTGTCTTTTTCTTTCTCTCTCTATCCTTTGTCATTGCTCCTCGTTTTTGTCTCTGGAATGTCATCCTTTCTCGTTATCCCCTGTTCCTCTCTTACTCATACCTTTCACCATCAGTATAGAGAATGATGGGGGTTGAGGAGGAGCGGAGAAAGAGAGGGAACTGATGCAGCTAGTAGCCATGCCTACGACTTTCTTGTTCTTCATTACTGAGATTTTCATTGACGTATTGGATTACAATCGAATGAGACATCTTAGCATATTGGGGGATTGTTATCATTCTCGCGAACCACCTTTTGATTTTTCCTTCCTCTTTTTCTTCATAGCCATCGACTCAACACACTCCACCCTCTGAATGACACAACAGCATCAACCCTCTCCACAGGACTAGCGCCTTCAAGTCCCTGCTATTCGATCCCCTCTGTCGTCAGATCGTCTCAACATACTGTCGAACACTCAAGACGGATTTTGTTTGCCACCAGCTACCAGTAACTCAGCTTACCCATATTTCCTACTCTGTCTGCCACCTGCTCCTGCTCCTACTTTGTCGTACAAGCGGGATCTCTCAACCAACACCTTCCTTCTTTCTTTGTTGCAAAACCTCAGCTGCACTCGAAACAAGAACAATAAGATATTAACAACCGTATCAACAACATCAATAACACCATCAGAACAAGGACAGCCCACCACCGCCAACTCTTCCTACAATACCCTGTCTTACAAAAACATCAGCTCACGCTCTACTTCAGGGAGGATCTTGTATGGTTGGAACGACGGGTTCTGAGGGGAGACATTGGGCAGGCAACTGCCAGGGATCATCTCGACCGGACTCGAGGCTCTCGGAGGCTTTTCGAACTTGTCGAAAGACATTTTGGTGATTTTTACTATGGCCTTGACATCATGTTTCTCCGCGCAGCAGTGCTGGGCTTCGTACTCCATGACAGCGACATGTTGTTGCCAACCTTGGACTTTTGCCGTCAGCGGTACATCCACTACGTCATTGGAGACCGGGGGACCATTGTTGACAGGTTGGAACGGGATGAGTGGGTCCGTCGGCGCACCACCGATTTAGACTATGTACCCGAGGAGGGGGAGGAGGATGAACCGAGCGCCGTGATTCTGCTACCTGGATAGGCACTGGATAGGAAGGACTACCAAATCGAGCGCAAATTGAGGAGCTTGCATGGATGGCTCCAAGTTCGTCTGGACAGCGGCGTGTTCTGATCTTACAGGTTGGATCCTGAAGGGTATGATAAGCCTTCCGAGTCGGTCTGTGGGCTCTTGGATATGATTGATTTCGGACACAAGGCTTTTTGATTTGCGGTGGAAAGGCTCGTCAAGTGGAATCAGGAGCAGGAACAGGACACTCCGAATGCAAGTGCGCTGCTGCTGGAATCGATATCTCCGGATGAGATTCATGAAATGCTTGATGCTCAAGAAAGACTGTTGGGTGCTGGTGCTGCTGCAGAGGCGGCGACAGATGTGGTTGTAAATATGTTGCTGTCGCGGCTTTTGAGAAAGTGGGGATGTGTGGGTGATCTAGGAGGCCAAGGAAAAGTTGTCGTAGGTTGTTTACGATGCTGATGTGATCAGCTTGGGGTTTTGTCGCAGATTTAGCGGTCAGGTGTTTTGGTTGGTCAATAAAAGAGAGTGCGTCGTCCTTCGAAGGTGCATGAAAGGGCATTTTCTATTGGATACGAACGTGAAATGAAAAAAGGGCGAAGTCATTGATATTGATATCAATGTCTTCGTATGCAGGAATGAGAAACGCCAAAGCGCATTATCAATTACAGAATGACGCCACCAGGTCATTGGAAAGCTGGAAAAAGAAAAAAAGAAAGCACGCTGGCAAGCGGAACAGCCCCTTTTTTTTTCTTTTTTTACCACCCTTGTCCATCTATCACAAGGAAACATGGCCATTCTATTACAACGATTTCTGAACATAAGATATCGCTCCTGTCAAACCATGACCTTCTTTGCACCTCTCAGGCAATAGATGAACGCATGTAAAAATAGGTACATGATGATTGACACGAGGGACAGAAATACGCAATTAGAACCCGGAAATGTGCGCGCACCTAAAACTCCCATCACAGAAAACTCAATTCCGGGACTGAAGGACTTTACCACACAGAAACCCCTTCTCTCTCTTAGACTGTTCTTGTTGCATCTCAGCACTCGCACCTCCCTCCTCTCTTCCCTTCTTCCCTTCCTTCTGCTACTTCATTCACGGCTTAAACCTTATGTGCAATTGAGGGGTACAACGATGCGATGGTCCTTAACTTTTCCTGCAACCCAATCCCTTCTCAATCCAACACTAGTGACATTTAGTGTTGGACACAGAGCATGCTTCGGGTCTTACAAAATTAAGCTAAAGTGGGACCAATGCAGAACTAGTGCTCGTTGATATCTCTCAAAGAGGGAGAAGAAGTAATAGAGTCATTTTTAGATCCCTCCCCCTTTCTTCTTTCCTGTCCTTCGTTCTATTTTGTTGTTTTTGTGCTTTTGTGCTGTCACATCTCCCTTCTATGAGGGATGAAAAAAAAAAAGAAATGCTGCTAGAAATGTGGATCAGGAATTAATTCAAGGGGCGGGAGAAGCTGATATTGCGTCAACTCAGGGAATTACATCCGTCATTGTCGTACAGGCCTACAACATACGCAACGACTATAATGTGAGCAACTAAGACGTAAGAGAAAACCATTATGGGGAAGGTCCTTTTATTTCTAGTAGGTAATTGGGCCATAGAATCCTGCATGAGCATAACCTCTATTTTGCAAAGTGTGTTCTATCCCATCCACAAAGAAGGAAAAAAAGGAAAGATGGACGGATCGAGACTAGAACGTACAATTTTTGTTATCGCCCTACGAACGAACGAACGAACGAACGATAAGGACGACATCAATGTGCATTGACTCCCCTTTCAACCTGCCCCTCCCAATTCTTCTCATGTCTTAGTTCTGAACACTCATCCCATCTAGCCCCTTGACACGACTCGGGTTAGACTCACCTTAGTGCCGTCACCTTCCACCATCCCACCGAAGACAAGTGCTACCAATGCGGATCAAATTCATAAGTGCCATCTCTCTTCAGTTAGATCCGAGTTGGATTTTTGGCTAGCATGCAGAGACACCCACACCGAGCCAATAGTCCAACACTAGTGCCTTTGCGAACTACACCGAGACACACGACGCCGAGATCGATGGATAAAAATATATGGCGAGATAGGGGTGGGGGGGTTTGTGAGGATCCCATTAACAAGTATGACGATTGATGGGAGATATTTTTTTAAAGTATGCGAACATGGGCGAGGATAGGTGAAGGGAAGGGCTGGATCTGGCTAGCCAGGGATAGGGGGAGGTGTCATGGGATCCTGCTGCGATGACGATGATGATGATGGAGGAGAACGAGAAAAGAAGGCGATGTCTATGACGAGGCCGGTGTGATTTGATGTCTCCCAACATCAAAATAATGATCAATGATGAGTACACATCGTCATTTCTTGCAAAGCAAAAAAAGAAGTAGCCAGGGTCCAAGGGGGTATGAACGCTCAGAGACATATGCACGCCCGATAAATTTTTATTTTTGGGGTAAATGAGAAAATAAAAGGGCTGAAGACTGACTGAACTCATGCATGGAGAAAGAGACGATCCAGGTATGAAGTAATTGTTCTTAAAAATACGGAGTCTCAAAAAAAAACAACTTTGGATAGACGCTTGAGTGAAAGAAGGTTGATTCCAATTCCATTCGGTCATTAAGAAAAGGAGGTCAAGGGTAAACTTGCTCCGTATTCATTCGCACATGTCCTGCTCTCTCCCTTCTCATCCTTCTTTTCTTTCCCATATCTGTCACCCACCCAGTAATCTCATTTGTGAGCGGACAAGCCATACGCACTTATAGTGGAGGTAGTTATACCCTCGTGCATAGGTTAGATATACCTGTTCAGAACAG